GCCAGGACGCGCAAGAGTTTGCAAGGAACCTTACCGCCGCGATCCGTGCAGGGGATTACGGATGGGATTCAAGCACTTGGTTCATTGGGGCTAGTCTCAACGATACCAAGGCGTCGGCCATGACTTGGGCGCGCGAGGCAAATGCATACGTTTGCAGCGATGTACTTGCGGCAGGTGTAGACGCGGTCGAGGAGGGCGATCTGAGTGGAAGCTACTACAAGGCACATTTTGATGTGGCACGAGTCCAGCTTGCCAGGGCTGGGTTCCGGCTGGGTGCGTGGTTGAACCTGATCTACACGGGGCAGACAGGTGACTGATGGCCTGAACGTGGTGCTTGAAATTCAGGCAGTACGCCGGAGAAATTGACGTCCGAGAAGAAGCGAAGGGTGTCACTGATGTCTCGTGGCTGATGGATTATCCTCGTTGCGCAGCTTAGGCCCATGGGGGCGTACGAGGCTCTACGACAGTCCAGTAGGAGCATGACTGCATCGCTCTCGCTCCTATTTTCTACCGACATTACCCTCCAATCGAGAGTCTCCTTGGCCACATCGCATGTGGTACCTCGCGCAACTTGTCAACCTGATCCACAAGCACAGTCTGGGTCGCTGAGCTGCTTGTACGGCGACTAGGATCGGAGACGCTCCGCGTGTCCTATCTGGGTGTCGAACGCCCGCTCTGGTGTGCCGCCTACCAGCGGCGTGTATAGACGAGGCCGGGATGCCCATGTTCCCACCTCACGAGAGGATTTTCCCTTGTGGGTATCTGCTGATTAGTATGTAGTATGCGCATGAGTTCCGGGGTCTATGTTGGCGGGGCTGTGGTGCCAGGAGCAAGAACAATCGGATTCGGAGCAATTTAACTACCTAGGTTCGTGAGGCGGGCATTCTCGTTCAAGTTCCACGTTTCAGGTACAGCCGTCTCGCCCAGAAGGGCAGGGAAGGTCGATCATGCATGCTCGTTTCAGGATGGAATGCGAAGGAACAGGGAGTCACCACGTCACCTCTTGTCTGCTTGTGCCGTCCAGACCCAGCTCGACAATACCCATTGCAGCGTACGGAGCATAATGCCAGACTAATGCATTGACCCGGCAAGGCGTGGCCCATATGCAATGCAGTGTCGAGCCAGCCGTCAGTCTTATGTCGGGCTGCCTGTCAAGCCCAGGTGGAATGAACCACTGTTGACCTTTCAGGTACTCTGCACGAGAGGCGGTGATGACGAGGCCTTTCAGAGGACCACTCCGTACTGTCCAATTTCGATAGACTTGCTGTCATCTTAACCTACTGTAGCATGTACCTTTTCGGGAGCACGTTCCACTTCTTCGGAATGACAGCGGCCATGATTGAGGGTGGAGTGATGAGTGAGTGACTTGACGAACCAGCCACTCGCAGATCAGAGGAGGTTCTCTTTCGCCTGCCCTCTGCTCATCTACGGTTCACAGACTTTTCACTCTTGCCTCAGCCGAAGACGAAGACAAACGCTTTCTGATGAAACGGGGCTGTGCCCAACACGGTTGCCACGAAGCACACCTTGCTGTAGCCAGTTGAACTCAGCACTCGACGGGGCACTCAGTGGCTCAGCAGCGGCATCAGGCTCGACACGCAGAGTTTCTCCCTCGTCATTCCTCGCTTCTGGCCCCCTGTGATCGTAATTGTGCACGACGAGCAACTCGGATCCTTCCCACATTTTCTTGGGGGCGCGGGGCGAGGCTAATTTTGGCGATACCTCGTAGTCCGAGCGAGTACGGAGCACTGACAATCCGGAACGCCATCTCGAAATCTGCCAGGAGTCGACCCTCAGACATAATAATATCCGCCTTGTTGCGCTCGAACCGACCCCATCACGATCGTTTCACGTCGGCGCAACAGACCCAAACCACCAAGCGTCGCCAACACCGGGATTGCCCTTTCCCGCGCGTCCTTTTCTCCACCAGGCTACGACACCGCAGCCCACGCCAGAGCCTGACTGCGTAGAGCCTGGTCAACTGCATCCGCAATTCCTGCGCGATCTACTGGGTTATATACCTTCCGCTCGCGAACCTCGTCGTCCCAGCCCCGCGACCACCGGCGGGTGCCTTTTATGTACCTACCGCAGCTTCGGCGAAGACCACCTGCAGCTCGCGATCCGCTGTCAGCACTCTACTATTCCAAGCATCCAGTCACGTCAGTTCCGTCCACTCCACGATCGCACGCGTGCCTGCTGGGCCTGAATACACCGGCATCCGGCAATCTCAGGCCAGCCCAAGAACGCGGTGACTCGTCCAGGCCCTGGTCACACAGAACGCCACCATTTTGATCCTTCCCGTGGCTTGTACGCCTGCGGCCATGCCGGCCTCCTACTCTGCCCAACCGACCCGCAACATCCTGATCATCGGGGCGACGGGCGTCATCGGCACATACATCACCCGGGCCATTCTTGATGCAAGAGACAACTTTGATCGAATATGTGTCTTGACGAGTCAGAAGACGTTGGTGCAGAAGGTCCAGGACATTGCCGCCTTGGACGCGTGGGGGGTGGAAATCTTCACGGGCAGGTTGGAGAAAGAGTCTGCGGTCAAGAGGGCATATGAAGGTACGCCATTCACACACCAACCTGGAAGCGCCGGGGGTCATGGGTCTGGACGAGACTAACACAGGTCGAAACGCGTAGGGATCGATACAGTGGTTTCCTGCGTCGGTAGAGGTGGCATAGAGAAACAAATCAACCTCATCACATGGGCCGAGCAAGCGGGCGTGCGACGCTTCTTCACCTCCGAATATGGCACCGACATTGAATACTGGCCCCAGTCGGCCCACGAGCCACCGCATCAGCTCAAATTGAAAGTCCGCGCACACATGAAGACTATGAAGAGGCTGGAGTACACATATCTGGTCACTGGTCCCTATAGCGACCTCTATTTCGGGACCATGAAGGCGAGACCTGAACTCGGCCAGTTTGATGTGAAGGAGAAGAAGGCAGTGTTACTGGGAGACGGAGAGGGACCGGTCAGTTTTACTGCCATGGCTGAGTATGTGCCACTCCTCGTCAAGAAGGTGGGACCTTGGCTGACGGCGCGTCCAGTGTCGGGAAATTTGTAGTCGCAGCCCTGATGAACACCACCGCATCTCGGAACACGACGTTGATTGTGCACTCATTCACCGCAACGCCACACGAAATCTTGGCCGAGTACGAACGACAGACGGGTTGTAAGTGGGAGAAATCATACACCACGCTCGAACGGTTAAAAGAGATCGAAAAAGAAGAGTATCAGGTCTATTCGGCCATGGCGACAGTTGTGACACTCCGGCGGATCTGGACGGAAGGCGGAACGCTGCACAAATACTACGACGAGACCATCCTCGGGCAAGTCGATGCCGAGACACTGGAGTCCCAGGTCGCAGCAAATATCAGGAAGCAAGAAGATGGAGAAGGCGACTTCCCCAGTCTGATGCGAAAGCTAAGTCTGACGTGAAGAGGAGGAAAGGTACTACCGTTTCGATCAGGAAAAAGGCAAGAACATCCGAGATCACCGCTCCGATTCGATCTCGGCATGTGGTACGCAGCATGAACTACATTATGAGCACTGTAAGAGCATTCGACGGCCTTTCTGATACCCTGGCAGGTTCATGGTAAGGGTATAATCTAGGGGAGTATGGACGAATACGGGGCCCCCTGACCTCGCAGAGCCTTGCACCAGGGCGAGAAGCGATCGCTTTATATACATCATTTTAATCCGTCCAGAAGCAGCATTTCGATCGCCTCGGACTGGTGGGAGGTTTTCGTATGAAGTGTACTCGATTGTCTCTCAAGGTCGGACACAGGCAATCATTCCCACGGCCCAGCCGCGACCGGACCGGGCGTCATCTCAGAGTACATATAACCGAGGTTCCTTCCCCAGCGGCGCTGTCGATACTCCTGCATGGACAATTCTTCTGTCTTGTCACAGTAGGCGGCTTTGGGCCAAAGTGGACCGTATATCATCCCTGCTCCTCAGCTACTGGTCTCCTACTGCACGCGGTGCTAGAACCGAGGAGAACAATCGGCCCGGCAAGCCCTATCTGCCCGTTGATGTGGAAGCTTGTCGTTCTAAGGGCGCAGCCAATCACAGCACGTAGCACCGAAGCAGGTGCTGATGTCCATTCCCATCTCTATCTCCAAGTTCTATATTCCATATTCCGACCTGCATCTCACTTTCTCCAACTGTAAATTCTACCGACCGAGCACGGCGTACTGCTCCGGTGCAGCCTACTACATTTTCCCTTCGCTTTATCCGACGGCGCACTGTGTCGAGGGTATCGAACGATTCTGACGAGTCTCTCATTGCTAGTTCTTCCGGCGTCAAAGCCTTTAAGACAGTGATCTTGGTGAGGGATCTGTACTGGGTAAGGAATCCGCTCACACGGCGCAATAAACTCTGTAAGTTGCAGCAGGAAGCAGGAAGAGGGAAAATCAACTGTCGGTCGTTTCCAACTCCGAGGAGTCAGAGCTCGGCTACGTGGTCGTGTGGCTTGCTTGACTGGTTCACCGGGCCGGCTTTGCTGCCGAGGAGGGGACGGAGGGAACGAGGAGACAGCTGAGGGCCGTATCGCGGTGATTTGGTGGTGCCATTGAAGCGTCAGGCATTTCAAGACCCAGCGGCAGGAAGAAAGCGACGGGCCTACGCAGTACAACACCATTTCCGAGCACCAGTCAAGACCTTGGCTGCAGGCGGATAGTCTCAATCCCGTGGCTTCTGTCATTCTCGGGTGTTGTGGTTTGTTCATGATATCAGCTGGGCGATTTATCCGCAATAGTGTCACCCAACAACCTCTTGCCTTTAGTACACCACGATTCGAGGCGAGCACACTGCTCTCCCAGAGACAGCGACGAATCGCCCGGGAAGCGAGTATTCACAGATTCACTCACACCCTCCCAGCCATTGAACATCTTCATCAGCAGCCGAGCATACTTCACTCTTGTCCTCTGTGGAGAAGCCTGTTCGATCTCGCTCACTACCCGCAATCTCTTTTGCTTCTGCCGCCGAAATGCCTTCCGCGTCACTTTGCAAGCCTCCACCGCTCCCTCCAGGCAAGGATAAACACCATATCGTTGTGCTCGAAGGGATCCACGCCGAAATGCCGCCCTTTGACTTTCCACATACCATTGATGTCCACCAACGGACTGCGCCTTCCGAGGTCGCGGAACGGATCAAAGACGCCACAATTGTCATCGCCTGCGTCGTCCCCGTGACACCAAAAGCCATGGACAATGCTCCTCACCTCGGCGTATTGGCCGTAATGGCCGTGGGGATCCATTGGGTCGACAAGCAAGACTGCGCCCGCCGAGGCGTCACAGTCACGAAATGCCCGGCCGGCAACGTCGACGCCGTGACCGAGCACTTCCTCGGCCTATACTTCGCGGCCCGGAAAAGGGTGGTCCAAGTGCACAACATAGTCACCAAGACGAACGATTGGGTTGAAAAGGGCTCGTTGACCAAGCTGTGGCCCGGTGGACCGCCCATGGGAGCCGGACAGGAGACATTGGGTATCATGGGATACGGGACGCTGGGAACTCGACTTGAAAAGCTGGCAAAAGCCGTGGGGTTTAAAGAAGTCCTGATCAGCGAGAGGAAGAATTCCCCGACCGTGCGTCCAGGGAGAGTCAGTTTCGAAGCGACGCTCGAAAGAGCGACGGTTGTGGCAATATGTTTGCCCAAGGAGCACGACACGGTCGATCTGGTCGGCGAGGCAGAGTTACGGTCGATGAGAAAAGAAGCTCTGATCATCAATGTCGCGCGGGGAGGAATCGTCAACGAACACGCCCTGGCCAAGGCGTTGAAGGAAGGCTGGATCGCCGGTGCTGCGACCGATGTGTTGGAAACAGAGCCCGCAGGCCTGGGAACGAGTCCGTTAATTCCCGACGTCGCGAATGGTGAGGAGGAGGTGCCGAATCTGACGATATGTGAGTGGTTTTGCTCCGCATCCTCTGCCCTTTTCTATTTCTCTTCGTCGAGGACCAGAGCATCCCCGTAACTACTTGACTGGTTACTTGAACTAACCCCTGGTCGTGCTTCCAGCCTCGCATATCGCGTGGTTCACTCAGTCCACCATCGAGAACTACCAGCGCCTGCTCAAGGAGGGGGTTGAAGGATGGGTCAACGGCACCTTACAGCAGGCCGAGGACAAAGTGCATAAAGTCGTCGTGGTACATAACGGTACTGTGTGGAACTGAGAGCTACAAGCCCAGCACACCACATCGGACCACACCACACCGGGCGCTACAATTGCGAATGAAACGTTAGGGAAGCTAAGGATGCGTCCAGATCGCACTGGGCGAACGAACGGCCAGGAGAGAGGGATGCACCCAGATCGCACTGGACGATCAGGACAGGAGAGAGGAACGGCCAGGCGATGGATCAAGGATTGGAGACGGGTGAACGCAACGCCAGTGCCAGTTCGAGTCTGGGCATTGAGATGCACGCTCAAAGTCGTGGCTCGGCCTTGGCTCCTTATGGCAAGGGCGTCAGATTGCCTTGATCCTGGCGCGCGGATATGCATGAGACGCCGCACCTAGTTTACTATGGTGTCATGTGTTGTGATGTGTTGTGATGTGTTGTGTGATCTGGTGTCCTCGTCCAATTGAGTCCGGAAACACCACAAGTACAGTACACAGCAGCAGGATAGACACGATTCATCGATAGATAGGATAGGGCCTTGCAACCCGGACACAGCGGAAGATAATTAGCGTCCTCACGTACTGCATCGACGGAGCCGGTCAAGGCTACTGTAATAATCAGCCACGCCTTAGTCGTACAGTATGTCGCGGGAAGAAACGTAGAATGTGGAAACCACAACAGCTGGAATGTACGGAGTACATACTACGGGGTATGTCTAATGTCTACTGTATCTGTCTGGAGTACAGTACTCAACCCGGACGGAGTAGAGTCTAGTTAGAGACAAGGTACGTCGTACTCCCTTATCATCGCAAATCCTGGTCTGCGTGACCGCCGAGGAATTCCGATTTTACATACTTGTATGTAGTATTGCGATGGGGCTGATGAAGTTGAGTTGTGGTTTAGCAAGGCTGCCGTTTCCCTGCATGGCTGTACAATGTGTACAGAGTACAGGGAAGCAATCTGGCTGGTCGAGCTTAGCGCAAGCTTGTGCTTCTCTCCTTTTCCTTTGGGTTTGCCTTTTGCTTTCGATAGGTCATACTCCGTAGAGGGGACACACACATCGCACCGTTCCTTCGAGATGTAGTGTAGTTTGAGTGTAAGAGAGGCATACCCGTCGGCCATGAAGCCTCACCCCGGTTCAGTAAATGACAGCAGGGGAGCACGCAAAATACGAATCGCATCAGTCCAACTTACGCACACGACGGTCTTGACTCTTTGTCGAGTTGCGCTCCGAGCGCCGTGCCCGACTCGTCTAGCAAGGAACACTGTATGTAGATGTCGCCTCTCTCGTCGGAATCTGCAGTCAGGTACTCCGTACTGTACAGTAGCGTATGGCATGTGCAGACTACACGGTAGGTAATTACTTACTAATGACAAGCCATGTTTGCCAAACCACCCATCTCATTCAGAACTGTCCGAGTTTTATAGATTCCATCATGTTCAAAGGTCTAGCTTGGCCCACAGGTATGTTCACGTTCTGCAAGGAACAGCCTACGGCGATAGGCAGAGAGAGTAATAGTATCGGGTATCAATGGCATTAGGTGCCCCTGGACCTCTCCGTCGAACATGACGAAAAGCATGAGAGAAGGGGGAGACTTTCAAGCGGGGAGCGTGAGAGTTATCGGTGTTCCTTTGGCAGGCTTGGTAAGCCCTAGTAGCTATTCCTGACATGTTCACGTTCACCTTCATGTTCACCACATTCACTCCTTTCTCACTTCTTCTCATTGCTCCTCGTAGACCGCTAGACCCAGAGCACACCACGGCACATCACAGCATACTATATCAGTCGTCACCATCGACGCGTGTGTCCCTTCCCGACGTACACTGTCGGCGCCAGCTTTCTCTTCACCTTCCTGAAGGTGGTTTCAGAGGTGGTTGTCTGTTCGATTCGTTTAATCGTGTGAGGACGAACAAGCAGGTGGGAGGGGGTGGAATTCCGCTAGAGGGTGTCGTGGTTGGAGTCGTACTCGTCTGTGTAGTAATTGTCAGTTTGATGCAAGTGGGAAGGTAGAGCGCCTTGTCTTTTTTCTTACTGAGGCCGTTGTGCTCGTTGTAGTCGTTGTGGTCGTCGTCGTCGACCTCCTCCTCCTCCTCCTCCTCCTCCTCCTCCTCGTCATAGTCATCGTCATCGTCGTCATTGTCTATTCAGAACATTCATCAGGAAAGCTCAACGAGGCGAAGAGTGCCCGTCAGCATAATTACCGTGGTCACTATTTTTGGAATGCTCAATGCATGAGCATAACGTCGAAAGGAACCCTCCGCCCCTCCTAGAACAACTAGTCCAACCCGAGCAAGTCTTGTCGCAGTTGTTACTCATCGTCATCGTCGTCTTCGTCGTTGTTGGCTTGGCGGTGGTTGTTGGGTTGACTATGGTTGTTGCTTTGGTCGTCCTCGTAGTTGGTGTTGTGGTTGTGGTCGGAGTAGGCTTGGGAGTAGTGGCTTGCCTCTTCTTCTTGCGGATGATGGTCGGCTGGCTCACAGTCACAGTCACGGAGGCAACGGGGAAGAATGCCGTTCAAAAGGCTTCCGCGATGGGATAGTTGGACAGGAACAAGACTTCCTCGTATGGGTCTTGGTTGCAGACGTTCGAGTCGGCGATGACATGTCCCGCGAGAAGCGCGGTAACTGCCACGACGAGCATAAACGTGGATATCATATGTACAATAATCGAGAGCTGAAATTGAGGAAGAGAAATTGAGACCATGAATTTAGTAGACTGATCGTGGGGGAATGGACAAGCTCGAGTAGATACTCTTGTCGAGACAACCACAAGTGAGAACAAACCTGCTGAGAACCGCCGGCATTTCAGCCATGCTCGTCAATCGAAGGGAGAGGACAATAAGCGATCATCCGCGTTTGTATACTGTAGTCGACTCTTCCGGAACTGCATGTATCGCCCTGCATGGGGGACCCTGCAGATCGGGGATGATGTTGATGTGACCAGGGCGACCGCGAGCAGTGAAGTCTCTCCATGCAAGGAGGAAATCGAGAACAGGGCGCTTAGCGGACAGACCTGGACCAAGTAAGTCCATCTGTGGTTGTTCTCGCCTTGTAGCCACAAGAACGGGAAAGGACTGGATGTCAGCGAGCTGGTTGACGAGCAGGGATTTCGTTTTCGATCTCCTCTGGATGAAAAGGACCCAACCTGTCGGTGTCGTTACTCTCGCACTTTTGGGACCTTCATAGCCATAGACCGGGAACTTCGACCTATGAGTGTCAAGCCTCGTCCTCAACGGCAATTCTCATATGGCCCTCATCCTTGTACAGACGACGTTTGGCGACACTTTCAGGCAGCCTCGACTGTGCACGAGGTAGCCAGAAGAGTTGAATCTCCCAAAAATGCTTTCGGACGAAGAGTTCGATCCCGAGCTTGGCAAGGCTTCGCTCCCGTGGCTGGCTGAATCAGTGCAACGGTTGATGTTCCCATTTCTCGTACTGAGGTGTGTAGATTTCACGGGACCCGGATTTGATTCAGCTGTGGATTTATGGACCCTCGGCACGAAGCTCAAGAGTCGTGCATGCCGCATACAACTTCGTCAGAATGGCCAATAGATCCTGGACCTCGACGCGGAGCCCAGGGTCATTGCAGTACTCGTACATGGCACCACAATTGTGAATCATGCGTCATCCCAATTGCCAGGCAAATCTCCCGTCCTAGACGTCCCAATTCACTGTCTGAGCATTTCCATCGGCAACCAGCCACCAACATGGACAAGCGCACCGGCTCGACATCCAATACCTCAATAACTCATTACTGCACGTCTTCCATCACCACTTCCCTTGACCCCGGATGTGACACGTCCTCAGCGTTATGGAATACTTCGGTTTGCCGGTTGAGTTCTTTTAGGGCATCGGGTCCGGTGCGAATACCACCCTCTCTCTTTGCCACAGGTGCTTCTTTTCTAGGGTCATCTGCCGGTTTCTCACCTCCGCCATCAGCAGTATGAGCCATATTCGCTGTGGAAGCTTGCTCATTGACCTTGTGTTCGGCGGCGAGCGGTGCCTCAACGTGCGAGTGTGGATGTGGTTGTAGCTGCTTACTCGGGGTCGGCACTGGTCCGTTGGAGCTAGAATTGCGTAGCTGTTGAGGGCTTGGCCGCAGATTTTCGACCGGCGGGAGGATTGGCGTGCCGCTGACAGAACGCTTCTCACCAGGGTAAGGGGCGGTAGTAACGGTGGGCATTGTGGGCTCATTCGTTGGGTGGAGACCGTGCTGGATTGTGGATGAGGTGGATAGAGGTGGGGATGCGGTTGCTGACTTCTGAGGAATGGCGCTGGGGGCAGGAAGAGGACCAGGTGTTTGTTGCTTTCTGGGCGAGAGACCTGACAGTGGATAGTTGGGCGTTCTTGAGATAGGGGTCTGATGCAAGTCTGCAAGCTGGTTCTGATGAGTCGCTCGAGGAGTCACTTGGGATTGAGATGGTGTCGTGTTGGCGGGGCCGTAGATGCCATTTGATGCGAGCTCGGGAGATTGAGAGGCTTTCTGAGGAATGCCCGCAACTGGACCGACGTCCATATTTCCTTGTGTCGGAGACATAGTGGGACGATTCAACACAGGGGACGGCAGACGAGCACTATTGGGCGAGGAATTGGGTGCTGAAGCTGAATGCTTCGGAATGGGCGACGGTGCCAGGGGCCTCTGGGCGACGGGATAGTTCTGATATTGATGTGAAACACCATTGTAGTGGGATGGTGGGTTAACCGCACCAGGAGGTGGCGGGCTTCTAGCCTGGTTGTTGCTCACGGAGGGAGGATGAGGCTGGATTGCTTGATAGCCCGAGTGAAGAGAACGGCTGCCATAGCCCTGCGGATGTTGGGGAGAGCCAGGATGAGGACGCTGAGGTGACCCAGGAAGTTGCTGATGGTATGTCCCGTTGACCGGTGACGGCTGGGGATGGTGAGTGGACTGACCCGGTGTTGAAAGGTGCCCATTCGACTGTGGACCATGAGTTCGCATAAGTGGAACCTCAACGCCAACGAAGGTGGACTGAACAGGTGCCGGACTTGGAGGAGCCGGCGACGACGACGCACCAACACGGAACTTGAGGGAGATCTTGGGCTTCTTTGAGTCCTCTTCTTTCTGTCTGCATTCCTTGCAAACGAAATGGAAGTCTTTCTTCTCTGCCGCCGACTTTGAGATGCCCAAGCATTTGCTATGCTGCCAGACATTACATCTCTCGCACGAGATAATGTGGGTTCCGTCATCCTAGACAGCAGAGATTAGAGTGCGGCCGGCCATGTTGAAGAGATACTCACAAGGTTTTTGCCATATACCCCACAGCCAGAGCAGTCAAAGGTCCAGTCTTCGTCGGCGTCAAGGTCCTCCAGCTCTTTCTTGTTCCGTTCCATGCGCTGCTTGAGAGCTCGATCGGACCCTCTGATCTGGCCTTCCTCGATGCGCTTCTGCTCCAGTTCGTCTCGGGCGAGCTCCTCTTCTTTCAGCAATCGCTTGTATTCACGGTCCTTGATGCGTTGCTCCCGCGTCATCATGCGATATTGTCTCTCTTGCTCCATCTTCTCTTGTCTCACTTGTTCGCGATGAGCAGCGGCGAGGTCGGCTTGTCTCTTCTTCTCCATTTCAGCTTGTTCAGCATCTCGTCTTTCTCGGTCGTGTTTGTCGGCTAGACGACTGGACCGTTTAGCACCGACCATCCTCTCCATCATGAGTAGTTCCTTCTCACGACGCTCAATCTTCCGACGTCGCTTCTCCTCCGCGGCTTCGATGACCGGAATGACTTCATCCAACAATCGTTGTCGCAGAATCTTCTCATTGGCATCTTTGCTCTTTTTGAGAGATTCACAGAATTCCTGATAGTCGGGAAGATTTATGCAGAGGCATTCCCACTTGAAGCCGCCGAAGGTGTCAATCTCCCAGGAGTCAAGCTTCTTTTCTTCTTGGATGGCCTCTGTTTCTTCAGTATTGTCTTCGTTATCCTCCTCGGTGTCGACGCTTTCCGCCTCCAATCTTCTCCGCTTAGATTCCCGGCGTCGGGCGGCGATGGCTTTCTTAGAATTCGCCTTCGGTTTGGCCTTTGGAGCTGCGGGCAGGGGAGGTTCAGTGCGTCTGTAGAAGCGATTGTCATCCAGGAGGTAATACTGTCGATCTTCTCGGTCGTAGCCGAACTCTTCGATGCGCTTTTCGAGCAAGGTTAGTCCCACCTGTGCTTATCTGAGCGGCAGAACTCACCCATTCAGTCTGGTCCGCTTCACGAGGATGGTCCGACATCTTCTCTCTCATCCGATCGGGGTTCCAGAATGTCCATACTGTCAGCTGGTGAAGGATCCTAATCTTAGTGCAGATGTCAAAGTCTCGAAACCGCTTGGGTTCTTCGTCATCGCCATAAGGATTGAGATGAGGGGCCTTGGCCAGGTACTGTCGGCGGGTGTATTCATCCCAAATATCGTAACTGCCATCAATGTCAGCGGGTCACAAGACAATAGAGGCAAGGCAGGACCGACTTCAGACCACGATGCGATGAAATCCACTTGAGAAGGGTGAGGCCGATCTCCTCGAGTTTCTCCGAGTTGCCTGGCTTCAAACACTCGTTCTCAAAGTCCTGCGAGGTCACCATTAGCCATTCCGCGCGCCAAAATTACTCCGCCGCAAGCGTTGAGCGCTCAATGCACCACAGCATTATGGACGTGGCCGGCGTACCTCGATGTCAAAGTCTTCGTCGATCTTGACGGCCTTGCCGAATGTGAAAATAAACTGCATCACTGAGGCAAACTCCCACATATTGCGTATTCTCTGCAGTAACGAGGTCTCCTCCTTCTTCTCTTGAGGCTCTGACGCCTCCATCTCGTCTCTCGTGCGTTTGCGCGACATAGTGCAAGGGAGGCCGGGGGGAGACGGCGAGGTGAAGGGAGGAAAGGGTGATGGGGGAGAGTATTTTCAGCTTCTTTGTATCATCAAGGAGAGGTATGAAAGATATCTACGCCCTTTGTGGGGGGTGGTGAATTGATATCGTCGATATTGGCCGAAGTGTTACTGGATCTTTTCGGCTGGGTACGCGGGATTGCATCTACACGGAGCGAGGCGCGACTCGTGAGGCCAATTCAATTTGCAGGTGACCGCAACAAGAGAGGTCAAGGGCTACGGATCAAAGTTGTTCCGTGATCCGGCCATCCGTCTGGTCACTACGCACAGGGCTTTCCGACTTTCTCAGTGCTTGAAACACATATGATTATAACCTCAGTTAAATAGATGGTTCGATCCCTGGCTAAGCCGTCTTTGCAAGGCCTCAAGCTGTTCAGCTGTGTCCCTTCCTTCGTTCCAGTGGGTCTCTAAGGTCAAATACCTAGCAAAGAACGAACCTTACACTATTTATTGCAGTTAAGAAGGGTACTATCCCAGCGATATGGGCTTGGAAGCTGGCAGTTGTGTGTGAGCGATCCCAGATAATGCCCTCCGAGCCGTCGTAAAACTTCACATTCTTGCTCTGAGACTAAAGCCCTCCTAATCGATCAATACCATTCCTCCCATTTAAAGTCACATAATGTCCTCGCCGCCGACCCGCCCATCCACCCTACAAGACCATCCTTCCCTCCTCCCCGCATTCCACCTCACCATTCTAATCGGCCCCGCCACTCCCATCGGCTCTCTCTCGCGAGGTACACCACTCACGGTTGTCCCACTCGTATCAGGTTCTTTCGTGAGCGAGCCGGGTTTTGATGTTAGAGTTGATGCCAGGTTGAGGGGCCAGGGAGTAGATTATGTCCATAATGACCCGGATGGCGGCAGAATGAGATTGAGGAGTGATTTGGTCGTTGGGTGAGTCACAAGATCCCCTTCGTTTCCTCCTCAGAGGCGGATTGCAAGTGTGTCGTCGATGAGCCAGATGTGCCGAGACTGATTGTTACGTTTTGTACGGGGCCCAGAGATCAGAATGGAGAGGTACGTTCTGACGTTTTTGATGCTTCTGTGCTCTGTCCTGGAGAAGAGGAGTCGTGTGCTGACAGCCCGTCCGGCTCTTCAGACGATCCACATCCATTACACTGGCATAATCGACATCACGAATGAAATGCGCCGCATCCTGGGTCGAAGCGCGAACGCGAAAACGACTGACTTCGGAAGCTCCTGTGAGTCATCCAGAATAGGCACCTTTTCTTGTCTTGTCGATTGCCTTCCAATGTCCATGTTCCTATCTTGTTCACAGATACTGATATTCTCCTTTTCCCACCAAAGTCATCCAGGTATCATTCGAAACGGGCTCAATGCGGTATAAATCGTTGGAACAGGCACTCTTTGTCGGATCTGGAAGGTTCGTCATTGATGAACGCGGGCTTACCGTCGAATACCGGATAAGTAAGGTCTGCAAGGGACTTGGCGCGGCTGCTGAGGATACTGAAGCTGCTCCTGTTGAAGGTGAAAATGCTGGTGAAGGTCAAGCCGACACCTCAAGGCCGAGCGCCTGAAAGGGCTCTCTTTGACTTTGTGTGGATAGATTGTCCGCAAAGCCTGTCGGCTGGGTTTATCCAAGTTGCTGAAACTTGCCGTAATACATTTATGCAAGTAACGGCGTGCTTTCACTGGCGGCTGCTGGTCCGTTGACCTCGCTGCCCGCTGCAGCTTCCGTCTCCGTAGAAGCATCCTTCCTATCATTGACACTCCGGACCCAGCTGGGCATCCATTTACTCATCTTCCACCATCCCTGCCTCCTTGCCCTCCATCTCCTTGCGGCCCATCTCCCCAGCCTCACACTCAACCATATCACCAACAGGCTTATAAGCGTCCCGAGTACAGCGACAACGACACTTATGAGCGTCATACTCGAACATCGACAAATGAATGGCCGAGCCCTCATCTCCCACCGTTCCCGCCATGCCAAAGGACATATATCAGCGGACTTTATCGGTGCAAGGATCCCGAACGGGTAAGGGAAGATGGTGTTTGGCACGCAGGTTTGCGATGTTGCGCACCAGGAGCAAGGGTATGGGTTTGATGCAGAGAGGCAGGCGGGACAGTGCGGACGGATCCAGCAGTGGAAGAAGAGGTCGAGGTCATCTTTGGGAAGGGTAGTGGTATTAATGTTGTTGAGGATGTTTCGTATGGGAGGAGAGAGCTCGGCGAGGTCGTAAGCCATTTCTCATCAATAAAAGGTAACTCTGGAATCACTCGTCGCCAAAGTTCTCCATTGTCCTCACTTTGTAAGTCTTTGTTGAACGTGTGGAAGGGGCTCGAAGGCTGGTGCCTAACGCTGCCACAACCTCAGCTAGGACTTGCTAGAAATGTCCAACTTCTTGGTTGTCTGTACGATGGGATCGATCGCCGAAGATCGGTCGTGCCGGATCTTTGTATGTATCGTCGGCGAGCTTCCATGGGATTACACAGTATGTGACTCGTACCACAACTGAGGGGAGCATCGACAACGTTAGCAGCTACACAGTACCACCAGATACAGTAGGTCCTCTCACAGTCCCACCCGCTGATGCCAGGGCTGTGCCACGCTGTGCTTACCCTTGCTGAGCTTAGGGTTCGCCTGCGGGGCTGTTTGGGGATCTCGGGGCCACTAAATTAGGGGCACCACAACACTGCTGCAATCATCGTCATACAGTAGGTTGGTGTTGCGATATATGTAGGTACAGTAATGAGCGTCGTTGAACTCGCCTTCACGATCAGGCAACCCAGGTGGCCGACTAAGGTCGAGATATCCATCTGCTGTTCTTGCTCGCCCAGCGACACTACTCTGGTGGCTGCACGCCATCGACAGCGCTCTGTGGAAGTGTTCACATGAGATCTCAATCCTCTTTGCATCTCCCGACACCACCAAGTATGCCTAATCAAGAGAAGGGCGGCTGGGTCAGAAAACTGCGACCTGGCAGACACCTACTCGAAGCATGGATTCTCTCTGCTGCTATTGTCTCAATCTCCAACGTTCTTGCTCAATTCATCGATGCCTCGAGGGCAGAAGTATGCTAGGCATAAAGTCTTCGGCACGCTACATTGGTCGAGGCTAATCGGTTACAGGACCCGTTTACTCTCGACCTGCCTCGACTACTCCGCTTTCTGTGCCTTGATCTCATTACAGCGCCCTTGAACTACAAATGGCAGGAACTACTCGAGAACACATTTCCAAGACACCTCCATCGCCCAGTAGGCGGAAAGTACGAGTCCATCCCACTCGAAGATCGTGACGAAGAAAAGGGCTCCCTGGCCAACGGCATTGAGGGAGATGACGCCAAAGCAGGAGAGAGCTCCGGAGGTCGGTACCGGCGGCGACGAAATAAGACTCCACAGAGGCTTCCTAAGAAGAACTGGAAGAACATCTGGACGAAATGGTTCATTGACTGTATGACTCTTGGTGCTTTGTTCAACACAGTTGGCTTCTTGATCATCATGGGTTTCCTGAATGGCCAACCTCAGAATATCCTTGCGAATTTGCGCACACGGACGATGGTCATCGTGCTCAACGGGTACAAGATTTGGCCTTTTGCGAATATCGTCGCACAGGCCTTCATCCCCTTCGAGCGACGAATCGTATTCTTCGCGACGGTGGCGCTAGTCTGGAATATTTATCTGAGTTTGGTTGCGGCCACGCTGTAGTGGAGCGGGCTGTACCTAGACTGTGCGTGGATACTGAGCAGTATATACTGACCTTGGCGATGAAGACTGGGCCACAGTCGATGTTTGATCCTTGCTGCAGACTGAAGAGCACAACCCTGCAAATCTCGAACGAAGAAAACGAAGCGAGAAGGGGAAATGGCTGAAGGCCCGCTCGTACCCAATTCGTACGTATGTGGGGATTTCTCCAACACCACGGTTCCATAAGAATGGGTACGCAGCAACACCAGATAGATAATGCTCTCTTGTGGAAACCCAATCTGCCGAGCTCTTCGTTCAGGGCCAGAAATTTGCGGTGCTAGCTACGTGGTGGTTGTCAGGCACAATCTTGAATATTGGTCTCGCTGAATTTGGAAACACGACTGACACTCTGACGGCGGACTCGACGAATACACAGGTCTACTTAGGACATCCTAGCGGTCGAGCCGAAGAAGGCACAGAATCTACACGTCAACGATGTCGAATTCAATACCCACGACGACCAGTGGCTATCGGATAGACCTCAAAGCCGGCAGCTTCGATGGCCTGCATCTTGATGCATCGATGCCCGTCCCGGCGCTGGGAGCGGATGATGTTCTCATCTCCGTTCAAGCTGTCTCGCTGAACTATCGAGACATAGCCATGCCTCTGAAACTATACCCGGCATACACAAAGGAAGACCTTGTGCCATGTTCAGATGGCGCAGGCGTCGTAGTCGCGGTCGGAAGCGGCGTCAAGGCTCTGAAAGCAGGAGATAAGGTGTGCCCGACCTTCTTCCAGGATTTCGAGGACGGTTATGCCACGAAAGCAAGCAGGGCAACGAGTCTCGGAGGGCTCAACGACGGTGTACTCAGAAAGCATGCCGTGTTCAGGGAAAAAGGGTTGATCAAGATCCCGGATTTCTTGAGCACAGTCGAAGCGAGCACTTTGCCATGTGCAGCTCTAACCGCTTGGAACGCGCTGTTTGGGGTTGGAGGCCGGTCGCTTGAGCCTGGACACTGGGTCTTAACCCAGGGCTCAGGAGGTGTCAGTATCTTCGCCTTGCTGTTCGCCAAGGCTCTCGGCGCGCATGTGGTTGCTACGACGGGCGACAAGGGTAAGGAACAGAAGTTGAAAGATCTAGGTGCTGACCTCGTGATCAATTACCGCGACAACCCAACCTGGGGCCGTACTGCAATGGAATTCATTGAGAAGCAAGGTGGAACAGGGGCGCAGCATGTCATCGAAGTTGGTGGCGAGACCACAATGGAACAGAGCTTGAAGGCCGTCGCACCCGAAGGCCTCATCTCAATCATTGGATTTCTCGGTGGCAACCCGGCGGAAAGGAAGACAGGTTTCTGGGATTGTTTTACAAGCGCATGTCTGGTCCGAGGTGTGCTTGTTGGGAGCAAGAAGCAGTTCAGAGATATGTTGAGCTTCATGGAGGATAAGGGCGTGAGACCAGTCGTGGATGAGAAAACTTTCAAGTTTGAGAAGGCCAGAGAAGCATATGAGTATCTTCTTGCACAGAAGTTCTTCGGGAAGGTCGTTATGGAGGTTCAGAATTGAAAAGGCTCGTAAGGCTGTCCCGCACGTGACGAGGCTGGATAGTCACTTCTTCTCGGCTGCAGTTGCCTAAATGAATTAAGTAATGGGGCTTGCACTCACCTCTGTTCACTTCACACTTCACATCATCTTCAGCGACACCATAGCACCTTGAGTGTCGAGCCTGCCACAGGCTCAGCCTGCCATCTCATATGCCTAATCCTGAGGAATTGTTGCGGACAGTGCCGGTGAATCTGCAGATGTAGCAAATGAGCTTTCTACATTAGACATGGAAACTACTGGGGAGGCGGCTCTTCGATCCAGATGCCACTCAGCGACGAGCGCAGCAATCGGTATAGTAGCCATCCTCACATCACCGAGTGCGGAGGCGGCTCGACTCGTACATTGTGGCTTCTGCAAATTGCACGAATCTTCCTCATCTGAGGTGGAGCACCTCATCATTCTCTCACAATAGAGTCCTGTCAGCAACCGGGTTGGACAATGCAGCTGCTTTCCCACGGATTCTGGATCTTTGGGCTCAGTAAATTGCGATTCTAACCGTGTGCCGAGCCGTTCGTCGGCTCTTCAAACGAGTCATGCTTGGTACATGCCCGTTTGGCACGGGCGAACGGGTTCACCAGGCCTCGTATTGTCCATCCAGATCAGCCCGTTGCCAACAAACACTGAGCTCGGTAAGTGATATGGCTAGGATTAAACACAAAATGACGGGAGGGATCACCGAGTCAGGCAAGCTTGATGAGTCCGTGGCAGAGGACTGTGTGCCCGAAAATGGCGCCTGGCGGATCGAGATTAACGGTGCAAAGCTTCAAACCGAGAAACTTTGTGGTAACCGCGCTCAACACCACACTTGCTGACAACAATAGATATGCCAATACTCTCATATGAGGACAGCACGTTGGGATGAAGGGTCAATCGATTGGCGAGGACAATAGCCAGCAGTCACAGGATGAATATGCAGGGTGAATGATGGCGCGAATTGTACCGCACCCACCTCTTCAATACAATACACCAACTATTCACTGAATCACAGCATGATATCAATTGCGCAGCACCATTCACTTCCTCCGCCAAGGTTCTCTGTACGCGCACAACTGCCTCTTCCGAGGTCTTTCCTTTTCATCCACCTTCGAATCTCTCTCTCGAATTCTGCCTTCGCTTATTCTCCTTACAACACCACCTCTCCCACATCCTCAGCAACAGCGAAGATGCAGCTTCTCAACGCCATTATTGCCCTTGTGGCCGCGTTCAGCGCGTATGTTCAGCAGCAGACAACCGACCTGGTTGTCGCTTTCCGCGAACGGGCCTTCCAACCCGTTTTCCACAATTTCCTGGCCATCGAGCCATCCACCGTCACCTCCACCGTAACCTCAACAATCACCGCCTCTCCGACAGTGTCCTTCACCACAACGGTGTATCATGGCGGGTCCATCGCTTTTGTGGCAACCTCTCCACCTCCTACACCTCCCTCGACCACAGTTCCTCATGTGCAATATTGCCTTGCACCACTAGCGTGGGCAAACTGGGAAGAACCTTCGTTCTGCGTGTCAGAACGCGCTTTCGAGCTCCTGTCTGCCTTCCTCACGACGTTGCCGGAGGCACCAACCCTCCATATCTCTCAATCAATCCTCGCCCGACTATCACCCTTGTTCTCTTTACACTGGGAGCGCATCCGAATAGCCACCTCTCTAATTCAGCAACGGACCTTGGGAACGATGTCCGTCGTGGTCAATCACGCCACTTCGATCGTGTGGAAGTTCAGAGTCACGGCCTCAGCGGTCAGTTGTTCGATGGGAGACCTCCTCGCGTCTTTGACACTGCCACAATGGCTCATCTACTGCTTCCTGTTCGTTACCACCGGCTTCCTTCTCATCGGCGCAAGCATCACAATCGTGAGAGCAGAGTTAAGACGTCAAGACCTCCTGCAACGCAAGCAGCGTGAAGAGGTGAAATCGACCCGCGCTCGTCACCGGAAGGTTATTGCAGAAGCACTAGACTATTACGAGCAAGGCAAGATCACCACAGCTTCAACCAAAGAGGAGGCTCGAGACTTGTTGGTTGCGTTACTGGCTCATTTCATAACCTCGGAGAAACAACCAGAGTTCCCTCCACCAACAATACACCAACGCTGCCCTGAAGTCCGGCCTGCGACGACCTTGCGGACGCTTTCCTGCGGGTTGCGCCACAAGCTACTAGCTGCCGTGAAATGGATGTTCGACATACAGTACTTGTACCTGGTGGAAATCCCTCTCAGACTGTCATGGCGTGTCATCATCACACCTCTTGGACAGGGCATCTGTTGGCTGTGTGACACATATGTCGAGAAGTTTGTCTTTGGGGTCATGCCGTTCTGTTTCCTCTTGATGGTCAACGTCCTGTTTTCCCTGCTTGGCCTATCGATGGTCATGGGTCTTGTTTGCCTCGGGGTTGCCCTTGCAGTCCTTGTCTGCGGCATCTATGCCGTCGCATATGCAATGGTACCGGCGACTCGCCTTGCTGGCAGAATGCGAGCTCGGGTCGTCAACTATGTACGTGAGGGTGTGGAAGGCGCCAGAAAATGCTGGGAAGAAGAGGAGGCCGCCGCACGCCGACAGAAAGATGACCATACATCAACTTCACTGGCTCGACGCACACCACAGACACCTGACCAGCCGATCGCACAACCCAACCACTTCTCGGTCCCTTACAGCCACCACACTAGTGTTCTCACCGGTCCATCCCCTTATTCCTCTTCAGGCCCAACAGCTACAACCCGGATAATTTCCGTCGATCACTTCCGACGTCTCCTCCATCTCGAATCAGAACACTTCACTATTTTCCAAAAACTTCACAACGTTCCAGGTTCGTCGGTGCTCTTGAAAATCGAGAGTCTCCTTCGCGAGCTACAGAACCCACACCGCCCAATAGAATCCCAACGACCTGATCAATGCGACAAATGCAGCTCAAAGGATACAGACAGGAAGGCAAAAGCATTAGAGAGTGCATTGGCTGAGAAACAGCAGCTTCAGACGAAAGTCCAGGAACTTGAATCCAGACTGAGAAGCCAAAACGAGACGCACGATTCGGCGGAGAAACAGCAGCTTAAGACCAAAGTCCAAGAGCCTTAATCCATACTCAGAAGCCAGAATGAAACACACGATTCGGTGGAGACGCAGCAGCTCCAGACAAAAGTTCAGGAACTTGAATTCAAACTCAGAAGCCATCAGGAGAAGCATGAAGAAGAGGTCAAGAACCCCAGACTAGAAGCGCAGGCAAATGCAAAGCTCGTCGAGACAAAGACGCAGGAACTAGAGCAAGTCCAGGCTCATCTTTCACAAACACAGCAAGACTCCTCCAACGAAACGGCCACTACCAGTCAACTGCAAGAGACGGTAAAGCAGCACCTGGCTGGCGCCGTTGAAAAAGAGGTCGCTATTCGTGCCGAGTATCAGGCACACATTGACCTCCTGATGACTGCCGGCCGAGAGATCGAGGCCAATGCTGAAGCCAGCCGTGGCCAGCATCAGGCTGAAGTGGAGCAGCTCACAGCTGCTGGTCGGCAAGTTGAGGCGGAGGCCGAGAGCCTCAGAGGCATGCTGCAGACTGAGAAGAGCGCACACGCTGCAAGCAAGGTCCAGCTGGACGCAGTGCGAACCCAGTTGGCCCAAGCTACGCAAGCGTTGTTGGCAGAGCGACAGTCTGCTCGTTTAAACGAAGGTGCCATGGCTGTCGATGAGCCTGGCCACCTTCCGTGCAATCAGTCGGGCCTCGCCCCTAGTTCGGGAACAGGCTTCAATCATCCAGCCACCACAGTGCCCACCAGCACATCGGCGCCAGCAACCTCCTGCGGGGATCTTGAGGCGTTACGCGAGTTACGGGCTGCTGCGAGCAATTGGCACAACCAGCAGCAGAGAGCTAGAGCTGGTACCATGCAGTCCTCCGCACAGCCGCCAGTGCTGACGGCCACATCCAGAGCAACCCAGCCAGCAGCGTACGTTACTTCCGATGGGATCTCGAGCCATGCTAACCTGGCTTCTAAAGTGGCAGGCGAGTCAACCGCCCAAGCGGTTTCACAATGCTCTGAGGTTCCGTGTCAGTACATCGCTGTATACACGGCAGCCCTTACTCCAATAGCAATTACAGCCACTCTGCCACAATATCTCCCATCTCCTCGTTCTCTCATACCTACAAGGCCGGTATATACTCGGTCGACCTCCCATCCAGCAACTCCAGCCCACTATGACGGCTCGGAAAGGGATCCATTACGCCGGCAGATGATGGCGGTTGTCATGAAAGCGCCTCCTCTTCAAGACGAGTCAGACTCTGACTCCGAGGTGGATTTCGAGGACGTCAACCTTGAGCCAGCGGCTCTTGGTGACAATGGCATGAAAGCAGCAGTGGTGACCCAACCGGGAGAAGATGGTCTTGGCACAGAGCAGGTGATCGGTGCTCGCAGATGGATCGAGCTGAAGGGCAGGGGCTCGAGCAAGACTCTTGAGCTGGAAGCCAGGCGAAAAGCTGATGAGATAGAAGATCAGAAATGGAAAGAAGAACAGACACAACTGTAGAGAGAACGAGAGGAGCGAGGGGAGATCTTTGAAGTGTGATGGCAATAGGGATAGAATGGTGCTGCCAGCTCGCTTGATTCAGCGCAGTGGCACCCTTACCGTGTGTGGGAAACAGGACAGGGCAATGAGATGAGGCTTCATCAGGATTTCATGTTTCATGTTTCATGATTGCTGTTGACGAAGTATGGGAGGGTATCAGCGCAATGATTTCGCAGACGAGAGCGATGCAGTAGAATGCATCAGAGCGGCGTCTTGAGATGACCCGTAAATGACCCGCGGCATGGGTAGAGGACCGCTGGACAGTCGGGAATCGAGATCAAAGCGCAGAGGTCTCAATGACGACTAATTGAACCAGAGTTTGCAAACCTGTCACGGCACGGCAGCCTTTGAGCTATTCAACGCGACATCATTGTCAAGTGGCTTCAAATAGGGCTGGTGAAATGCAATTGCGGACTTCCCTCATCAAGGGCAAGGTGTGTGAATTGAGGCCATTACAACATGCGCAGAGAGACCTGTAGGAGGTACTTGAGAAAAGAGTGAGTGTCTTCTCACGTCGCTTGAGATTTTCTTCAAGCAGCAGTGAGCGAGCAAGCGAGCGGAATTCACCGCCAGCTACTTTGACACCTAGAACTTAGACAATGCTGAGACAAGCGTCGCCTTTCATCCATGCGGAGCTCTCTCGGTCTTGCAAAGCCCGAGACTACGCAGCTGCTACAAGCGAGGCCGGCGTCCCGTCGAGCTGTATATAATCAACTACAAACAAATATAACCGTGACTTCAGCGAAAGGGCAGCGCGGCGTAAAAAGTCCTTCTGCACGCCACATTTCATCTAACTTCTACTACAAGTCATCAACAGAACAACCATGGCGGACTCGCAAGAGGACGTAACGCCGGCGCCGAACAGCAATTCATCGCGGCTTCTCCGGCCAGTGAAGGTATTCTTGAAGGAACTCGGCCTGGTCACGCTCTACCACAGCCATGTCGACACCAAGATCCTGATCCTCCAGCGTTTCGTGCGCCTGTTCGCCTACGGGGGCAGCACGCTCATCCTCGCTTCGTACCTGTCGGATCTCGGCAACGAGGACGCCCGGATTGGACTGTTCATGACCTTGACGCTCGTGGGCGACGTGTTTATCAGTTTCCTGCTGACGTTGATTGCCGATCAACTGGGCCGGCGGTGGATCTTGGTCCTGGGTGCGGCGTTGATGTGCGCCAGTGGCGTGGTGTTTGGGCTGAGCGGGGATTATTGGGTTTTGCTGGGGGCGGCCATTCTGGGGGTCATAAGTCCTGCGTATGTTGTGACGAGAAGCTGAGAGCCTACAGTACCGGGGGCGCGCCACGCTGACTGAGTCACTGACTGACATGTGTTGACGACAGGGGCAATGAGATCGGTCCGTTCCGAGCGATCGAAGAATCGACCATCGCGCATCTCACGTCCAAGGAGGAGCGAAGCGATGTTTATGCCTGGTACAGCTTGATCGGCACCGCAGGGACGGCACTCGGCTTTATAGGCTGCGGCTGGGTCATCACCTATCTCCGGGATGAGAGGCATTTTGGCACGATCGACGCCTACCGTGTCATCTTCTTCGTCTACGCCGCCGTGGGCATTGTCAAGCTGTGCTTGGCTCTCATGCTGAGCAAGGCGTGCGAGCTCGATCCTAAGCCGAAGCCTGCCAACGTGACGGAGGCGACGCCCTTGTTGGGCAACGGCACAGCGTCGACAAAGGATGATAATGATGATGCGAAACAGCGGCAATGGAGGCTGCTGCCGAACATCAGCAAGGAGAGCCGAGTTGTCCTGATGCAGTTGTGCGTCCTGTTCGCCTTTGACAACCTCGCATCAGGATTGGCACCGCTGTAAGTGTTCTTGGCCCTAGGGAGCACTCGTGGCCGCTGACGACCGCAGATCATGGGTCACGTACTTCTTCAAGCGCAAGTTCAACCTCTCGGAGGGCCAGTTGGGGTCAATCTTCTCCGTCACGGGTGTCATCTCGGCGCTTTCCATCTTCGTGGCGTCGTCCATCTCAAAAAGAATCGGGAACGTCAAGGTATGTAAGGAGCGATCATTCTTCGCAGTGTCCCATACAAGTACTGTCTGTCTGTCTGTCTGTCTGTCTGTCTGTCTGTCTGTCTGTCTGTCTGTCTGTCTGTCTGTCTGTCTGTCTGTCTGTCTGTCTGTACTGATATAATCTACGGAGCAGACCATGGTGTTCACGCACCTTCCGTCGCCCATCTGTCTGGCCCTGATACCCATCCCCTCCAGTCTGGGCGGAGCCCTGGCCTTCCTCATCGGCCGAGCCTGCACGCAGGTCATGGACGTGGCTCCGCGCTCGGCCTTCCTGGCAGCTATCGTCCTACCTCATGAACGGACCGCGGTAATGGGCACCATCAACGTGGTCAAGACGTGTTCGCAGAGCTGGGGCCCGGTCATCACCGGTGTCTTGGGGACGAAGAAGCATTTCTGGGTCGCCTTTGTTGCCGCGGGGGCGTTGAAAGCTACCTATGATCTCGGCTTGTTGGCCGTGTTTGCCGAGAAGGAGGCCCGGAAGAACAGGACCGAGAGGGTGGATGAAGAGCAGCGAGGCGCCTCGAGGGGGGCGGTAGGGTAATGTAAGGGGTGAAGTCTCATGATGGTACGGGTGCGGTGGCTTGTGCTGGCGCCACTATCAAATGTCGACCCGTGGGCACGTCCTACCATTTACACGGCCATCTTCAAACCGTCAAGGGCTTGATCCGAATCGAGCTCGCGGAGTCGTGCGGCATTTCTCATGGTAGAGGAACCCGTTGCAGCGCACTTACACCCGTAGTCGCACTGTCCCGCTACAACGTCCCATTCTATTCCCCCTACAGTTGCTCAACCCGTGCCGAAACCCGTTCGCGACACCGAGGAATGTATATACGACTGCATCTGGCTAGCGTGTGAGCTTAAGCTGCTTGATTAAAATCCGCGCTAGCCACACTGGGTTACTACTCGTTGTACGGAGTACTAAGTATCAAAGTACACAGCACTTGACGGAGTAACTGAACTTACTACAGTGTGCCCTTGAAATCGCCAAATGGCACTTATCACCAAGATAAATGTCAGGTATGAGCAGCGACAGTCTCTTTTGGGCGTCAGGTCAGAGAGTTACTAACCTGTTTGCACCTTGTTCTACATGATGGAGAGTATCTCCTGGTTCACTATTGTATTGGCTCTGTAGACTGGCATGCGACCACATGGCGTGTTTCGTGAGGAGAGTGCAAGGCTACACTGTGGAAGTTAAGACAGGTACTTTCCGAGTCCGGAGCAATACTCCGTATATGTAGTAAGTAGATTCGACACTGGTGCGAGGAGAACCCTTCCAGTTACAATACTGAGTACGCACGCGATATTCACAGTCGTCTCTTCGGTGTTGAGTTGGAATTACCGTACCAGTTCGATGCATTATATATTGTATCGTCTGTCTGTTGTGGATACTACCTAGGTACCTTATGTATGCAGCGTATCTTCTCCGTCAGCCTTGATGCCTGATCGGACGACACCAGCAGCTACTTATAACCGACCAGCAGGACAGGAGATGTCCGTGGCACACCATCAGCATCAAAACTGCAGCGTAAAAGGACACGAGCTGGCCGTGCCACACCATCAGCATCAAAACAGCAGCGTAAATCCACCTATCTACTTTAACCAGCCTGACTGGTTGACGACCAATTCCTACCATTTAAGAAATACACCAATCCCTGAGAACCTCTGACCCGTGAAACCACGCCATGTTACCCGTCCGCGAACCCTGCGCCACCGCGGCCCTTTCGGCGGTCAGCCTGTGCTTGACGGTCCCCGGATCGGACGCCAGATTGTTCCCCCACATGGCCATCGAGTTGCGGTGACACCAGACATTGCATAAAAACCGGGCGTGCCAGACCCCGTCGACCAGCTGGGCCTTCGTGACAAGGATACCCGGATGCTGGGCTGCGCGCTCGATTCTTCGCAGGTGCGGCAGCACGACGACGGGGTCGATGAGATCTTGCTCGCTCAGGGATGACCAGGGCGCGACTGCAAATCCGGTGGCGGCGTCGCCGAACTGATCCTGCACCGTCTGGTCGTAGTGCACGATGGCGACGACCTGCTCGTGGCTTGCCCTGATCTTGTCGACGTTTGTCAGGCGGTCCTCGTCCTCCTCGGGGGGGATGTGCCCTGGCGGACCGGGGAAGATGTAGAAGTTGTCGTTGAGTGGCGTGTCGAGCGAGGCGAGCGGGTAGCCCGCCGCGTGGAGCCGGATGCCCGCGTCGGTCACTTCGGCTTCGCTGTCTTCTTCGGAGAGCAGGACTTGGGTGGTCATCAGGCTGATGGGGACGCCGATCAGGGACCGGGGCGCCCAGCGGAAATTCTCGGCCTCGAGCTTCGGCACGGGCAGGAAGACCAGGCCCGCGGGGAGCGTGCCCAGGCAGGCATACAGCATTTGCATCCTGTCTTTCGGGGCCGTGTCCAGGAGGATTTGCGGGTCCAGGCCCATCAGCGTGGCGAGGCAGATGGGCTCGTCGCTTGATCGGCTGGTCGCGCGGTTGCAGAGGAGCCGGAGCACACGGCGCCGGTATTCCATGTTTTCCTTGGAGACTTTCCTGTCGACGGTGATGATTCCTCGCTCGTTGGCGAGGTGTGACTTCTCGATCAGGTCTGTGAGCCCCTCTTTGACTCTGTCCGAGGAGAGATCGGCGCGGTTCATGACGTGCTCTTCCGCCCCGGCGGGCACGACGTGGCTCAGGTGCATCGAGCAGTCGGCAAAGGCCACGAAGAGGTAGTCCGGCAGGACGCCTTCTTGGAGCGTCCACAGTCGCCGCCACCAATCCGAGAACATGACCGACATGACCAGGTCTTTCTGACGGACCGGCGGCGGAGCCCGGCGACCCCTGTACGACACCGTTGTGATTGTCTTGTCGTCGGTTCGGAGTGACGTGTACAGCAGGCCTTCGTCGAGAACCAAGACCGAATGTGCCTGTTCGTACACTTGGGCCATTCGCGAGATCGCCATTTTCCGCACGTCGACATTGGCAGGCTGCACCGGCACACATATCGTGTCGAGCCAGAAATAGCTCAATCTTCTGTTTCGGATGTTGGCGTGCACTGGCGGAGCATCAATCGCACTGAAGCTGCTCAAGAGAACGACAGTACGCTGGTGGAGTGACTTGAGCTGGCACCTTGGTAAGGTGTTCCTTTTGGTGTTGCCCATCCCGTGAGCCCATACGTGGCTGATAGCAACATAAGAATCTCCATCACCCAAATAAGGGACGACGCTGAACTCAAACTCCCCATGCGCATTGATCTCGGACCTGATAATGGGCGTGAGACCGGACCGGATGGTCTCGCAGATGGTCTCATAGTCGAACTCCACGTCGTCACAATTTGAGCCGTTGCAGCCAGAGCCCAGCGTCCCATGCCGGGTCTTGTATGTCGATTCGTCAATGTTGTTGGCGGTGCAAGCGGTCGTGCTGCACGCCATGTGGCGCTGTAGACTGCCGTGCCGACGCAATTGCGAGGCGTAGATGATTTCGTTGATGCCGAAGTCTCGCTTCAAGATGCCAATATCAAAGGGACACCAGCCAGAGAAAAGAAGCCCGTTGAAAACAGTCTTGGGGGCATCCCATCTTCTCTTTATGGGCGACCAGCCCGGCGGAGTAATCTGAGTGCCTCGCAGTTGCACGGGCAGGAAGTCGTAGAAGCAGCGGTCGTAGACGACCACCATGGCATCGTCGATAGTGTTCCCGAGACACATCAAGGACAGGAGCAGATCTTCGTCCACATAGCTGTGGTGACTCCGGACCAGACGGAAACACATCTTGTAGGCCGTCTGCAGATACGTGTCGATCCGCATGCACAGGCGCTGGACGTCTTCGAATGAGAGCTCTCCTGTCGCTCTCTTCTGCTTGAACGAGTCAATCCAGAAGGCGAGTAGCTCGGGCAAGGCGCTGGTGTTGACTCTCCGTGTCAGGCCTCTTCCCCGGCCGTCGCCTCTGACCAGCAACGAGTCCTCAGAGATGTAGTCGCGTTGATTGAATGGCCGTCCGATAACTCTGTACACCTCGCATAGAAGCCCAAAGAAGAGCCACGACTGGAGAAACGACTGCACCAGAGTGATGCCAACGGGTTCATCCTTGCCATCGGCTGACTTGCGCGTAAAGTCGCCCTCTAGCACTCCCATATCGTCAAATCCACGCCGGGACGGGTAAGTGAAGAACTCTCCTTCATCGTATGGCGCCAGACACACGAATGCGATCTTGAACTGATCTTTGACGGGATTGGCAGGTCTATCCAGGTGGTCCATGTTGCTCCCGGTACTTTAGTCCATCTAGTTCGTCGACCCGGATCAAGGTGATTATCCCTCTTGGAACGATGCTCGAATATAAGAGGAACATCATGTCTGAGGAATGGTCAACTGAGAGTCCCGTGACTCCTTCAGCCGCTCGACGGTCATGAGGGGCTAGGGAGTCGAGACCCGGTCCCCCTGCTGTATCACATACACAGGAGGCGAATGTCGTCCCCACAGAACCCCCACCTGGCCCTTCACGAGTCCTCCAGGACTCAGTACGTCCGTAGTAAGTACGAGTACCTTTGATAGTCTCGATCGCTCGCCAATCGGCTATCCGGTCTGGCCCGTGCCGCCCGTCTCAATTCAGTGCTGTAGCAATTTGGTGACTGTTCGTGCGATGAGGGAGTAAGGAGTACCTGGCTAATCTAGCCGACGACACAGTTGGCTTCCAACGACAAAGTTAACTTCGTGAGATTATCACCTTTCGTACGTAGTACTGACCAAAGGAGCATATTGCCCATCTCGAATGGTCGATTCTTCTTTCCCCCGTACGGCCGTATGAGAGCGGCGCCAGTTTGGTGCAGACTGCCGTCAGACAGCGGGACAGGCAGGACGCATATATATCGGGTAGTGTACCGTTGCCCACATGCGCTGGACTATGGAATGGCACCATCAGGGAGGGGAGAGTAGTAGTACGGTTGTATTAGTCGTATTAGTCATATATGAGGTTGGAAGAACAGGGCTGAAATCTCTGACAATCTGGTGGGGAAAGGCATGATAGGAGGCTGTGACGAGGGCATCGTTTGCTTGCACTGCAGAGGGCGAGCATCATCGTCGGTAGGAGCGCAAAGAAGCGCACAAGAACCGGCCAAACGCATGGATGAAATGTTCTATGGCAAGAGGGAGCAGCTGCTGCTTCACCCTCGTCCTTTACCCACGGGGGGTATCAAAAGCGTGCAAGATGGGTAACTGCTGGCCCAGCACTCACGTCTATTCTTTCTCGTTGATCAATCGATGACTGCATTCTTTTTATTCGTACTCTGTGAACCCATCGCGATTGCGTCCGCGCCTGCGCCCGCGCCATGCCTGCCTGCCTGTTGAAACATAGTGTGATAGCAGAGAGCACACTCAAGCACTTCCGTTCTGATGTGTCGTCTCGGCGGACTTGATTTCGCCTCTAATCCCGCCTTTCCCGCCGACTTGCCGCGCTGTGATGGACAGGGAGAGCTCCGCATCGACGTTGACCGTAACCTCGACTTTCGACTTCTTCTTCAGGTCCTTGAAAATGAATTCTGCGAGAGCCTGTTTTGGCTTCCAGATCTTCTCGCGGATCTCCTCGGGCTCGTCGTCCTCGTCGTCTTCATCTTCATCTTCGTCATCCTCGTCATCTTTCGTTCCGTTTGTCTCTGCTTTGGGCTTTGGTTCGGGCTGAGTGACTTTGATGGCTCGCTCGCCTTCCAGGATACGGACGAGAACATCTCCCTCGAGGCCTTCGATGACCTTCGTCCTTCGTGCAGGAACGGCCGTCTCGGGTGGAACGATCACGGTGAACGAATCCTCAGGCTGCTTTGTAACTTGGAATCCAATTGCAGCCGTCAGATGAGGCGTCACAGTGACCATCTCGTGCGTTGACTGGTCGATGTCCTCCTTGTCGAATTCCTGGATCAGAGACGCTTGAAGAGCAGCCCCCCGTGCCGACAGCTCCGAAGGATTCAATGCACTGGTCGAAATCGCAGGAGCCAGCACTTGCGTTGACTCTGGAAAGAGGGCCTCGACATTCTTCGCAATCTTCGGCGTGTGCGATGTGCCACCAGACAAGATCACCTCGTCAATGTCAAGCACATCGAGATCAGCCTTTTTGATAACCTCCTCGACAAGTCTGGTGAACCGCCCGAAGACCTTGAGAGCGATAATCTCATACCGCGTCCTGTTGACGGTGGACCTAAAGTCAAGACCATCTGCAAGACTCTCCACGCTGAAGGTGGCACTGTTGCTTTGACTGAGCGTCTTCTTGACCGCTTCTGACTCGAGCTTCAATTTGGCCAGACTCCGCTCGTTCTTGCGCGGGTCGGTCTTGTTCTTTTTCTCAAATTCTTTCGCAAAGTGGTCGACCAGCACTTGATCCAGCTGAGCACCACCCAACTCGTAGTCGTGAGCAGTGGCCAGAATGCTGTACATTCCCCCTCTTGATGCAACGACTGCGGCGTCAGACCGGTTTCCACCAAAGTCCGCGACAAGCACAAGCCTGTCGGCGGTGGAATCGGGGGACCGTGAGTCGTAAGCAAGGAGCGCGGCAATGGGCTCGGGCATGAATTGCAGGATTTCCACATTGGCGTCCGCCGCGGCTTTCGTCAGCGCTGCTTTCTGCTCATCGTTGGTATCTGTGGGAACGGCCACGACCGCCGCGGTAACGGGCCTGCCGGCAAAGTCGGACGCGGAGTTTTTCAGTCTCTTCAAGTGTCGTGTGGCAACCTCGAGGACTGGCAGCTTGTTCTCCGTTTCACTATCTCTATCTCGAACAGGGAAGCAGATGTTGCCATTTTCTTCGATGGGGTGTGCAGAGCCATGGCAAGGCGTGGGGTCTATCGACTTGTAGTCTCGGCCAATGTAGTCGCGGAAGAATGCGATGGTGTTTTTGCTGTTGCGAACCAACTGCGCCTTTGCCTGGGTGCCGTGGAATTCTTCTCCCTCGATATACGACAAGATGGAAGGAATCTGTCGATCTCCCTCCTCATTGGCGATCACCTCGACCTTGCCCTCTCCAGATATGTGCGCAATCGAACTGTAGGAATTTCCGAAGGAGATACCAATGGCGTACTGTTCCGGCGACCCTTCGGCGGGTCCTCCGTTCGTTTGCTCACTCATGGCGAACTTTTCCAGTCAAAGAAATGCGAGTGACCAAGATACAAAGTGGGAAGCCCCGAAAAAGATATGCAGCGATCGTGCCCTCCTTCTGCTATTCAAAGACGGACTGAAACTTGCGGCATGAAACTTGTGAAAACCCTAGGAACTTTTTTTCGAGGCTCGCAGCGGGTACCCACGGTCCGAGGAAGGTCGGGCGAGAATTTCAGCCTTACCCACATTTTCTCAGCCTTGTCTCTCCGATCCTTGTCCATGGGCACAGCCTTTCCAACCATCACTCTATTCAACAGGCACGTCGGAGGCTATATTTTTTTGGCATGGCCGGTCTGGAAGTTCTTCTTCCCGGAGATCGGATATCCGCGAACCAGATTCCCACTTCTCAGAAGCGCAAAATCGGCCATGGCCTTAGACAAGAACCAGATACTAGCGATTTCACAGCCACCATCGGCGGCCTCCTGGACGTCGACTACAGGAAGAAGACGGCGCAGATCGCGACACCAGATGGACGGTATATCCCTAAAGCAGGAGATCTGGTAATCGCTCAAGTACGGTTGTCCGCAGCAGAGTCTTTCCACCTCTACATCAATGCATATTCACCCCAGGCTATCTTACCACAACTGGCATTCGAAGGGGCGACGAAGAAGACGAGGCCCCAACTGAAAAGCAACGATCTCGTCTATGCCAAGGTGGTCTCGGCCCAGAAGAACATGGAGATCGAGCTGAGCTGTGTCAATCCCGCGACTGGAAAGGCCGAGCCGGACGGACTAGGCCCGCTCACAGGTGGGATGGTGTTTGAAGTCAGCCCTGGTCTTGCAGAGAGACTTCTGAAGAAGCAAGAAGTTGCGGCGCTGGAGGAACTCGGTTCAAGGCTGCAGGGCGGATTTGAAATCGCGATTGGGAAGAATGGCAAAGTGTGGGTCGATTGTCCTGAGGCCGGTGTCAAGGGCATCTGTGCAGTGGGCCGATGCTTAAGAGAGATGGACGAGAACGAGTTGAGAGACAAGGAACAGAAGAAGCTGGTCAACAGAATCATGAATGAACTCGAGCGTGGTTGAATGCCTTGCAGGGATCCCAAGTCGATCTCATGGCTCGAAGCAGGAAGCCATCAAAACTTCTCAAGATTTCACGCGGCAACCGAAGCAAGGGACGACGGCATGGCCACTGCAGAAATGAATGAATGGGGTGCACAACCGAAAGCCAGCCCAGCGACATTCCGAACAGGCAGAGGGCGAGCCCAACGTCGTGGTGAGCCGTGTCCCCAACATCAGACACGCCCCGCGGACGCTGCACAGCACCCCATGATTTTCAGACACACATGTCTGGGAGGAGTGCCACGATGAGTGATATGGAACAGACGTGACAGGGGATTGGCTAGCAGCGAGCTACAGATCATCATGCGAGAGTTCGGATGCTTTTCGAAGATTTTCATTGCTTGCCTTCTGTACTACGAGTACATTGACTATTCATGAATCCCACCACCACTGGTTCGGAGCCCAATGCAAGGTCGTAGGCCTTCCTCAACATCAAGACCCTGCCCTCCTCACGTATGTACGTTCATGCAGAATCCGGATGCCTCTTGCCCGGTCATCCCATTGCAAAAGAACAACTTTTTGCGAAGGGTATTCTTGTTCCATCGATAAATATCATCAACGCCAGGATTCTTGTCATAGGAGAGAAAAAGTTTTGCCTGCCATGCTGTCGTCAAGTCTCTTTTGCAAGATATCCGGAACTCCTTTTGGTTGCGGCATAGCTGGGGTGGGATCCATCTTCTATCTAGCAAAAATTGCTCAAAGCCATCCCATTTTCATCCCGCTCGTAGATTGTCGTCTACTTTCTTCGGAATGAGCAGCCCTCTGTGAGTCTGGCCTTGCCACCAGTGGGTTGGCAAAGCACGGTTGAGCAGCCTGCGCAGATGACGACGGTCTGAGCGTGTGAGAAAACGGTGGTGATGGTGAAGCAGCCGGGGCACTTGACGTCCATGAAGAACGATCGAGGGGCAGGGACAAGAGTCTGTGTGTTATTGTCAGATTTTTGCATCCTCCAGATCGGGTATGTCTGTGGTTCGTACCTTGAGCTTGTGCTTGCGGGCCTCAGCCTGAGGCGTAGGGTTGAGAAGATCGATTGCGAGAACCTATGACCAGGAATGTCAACTGTGTACGTGGGATGAAGACGATCGAGTTGGCGTTGATAATTGTTGCAGTGCTCGTGTGCATTGCGAAGCCGAGAGGGGAAATTTTGAGCATCGTTGACTTCTGCTATCATTTGCGGGCTGGGCTGCGTACCATTTTGTCTGATTTCTGGAATTGACCTGAAAGCTGTCTTTCGTATCGATCTGTTCTTAGTCTGGTCGAGCTGGATGAAGATGCGACTGATCACTCGAGGTGCAATGATGGGTAAGTGGCGGTAGAAATGGGCTTTGAAGAGGAGTCGACGAGGTTTCGTGCGTGGCTTGGCAATTTTAGATCGGACTTACACTTTATCCGAGCCAATCATCGTAGAGACTGTTGCCAACCGATTTCGAGTTCTCAGGCTCACTTCATTCTTGACTCACAAAGAGTCATTGCATCGTGATGAGCACAGTGATGGTGAGCATCTATGTTGCGCATCGGCGTCTAGACCAGTCTATCACCTCTACAGGGTATCTAACGTAACGTTGGGCATGCGCAATCTTCTCAAAAAGGCACGTCCATGTCTTCCACCCGTTCCTCCTGCTCTGGCGTCTCATCAGCAGACGACATCCTCTGCTTGATGAACACGGCAATAGTGTCGAGATACTGCTTTCCGCTCGGTACAAAATGTCCACCAGGATGAATCACAACTTGGGTGTTCCCTGCCCCCCCTGCAGCATCGACCAGAGCCTGTGTTCTAGACTCTTCCACCACGCTATCTAAGCTTCCAATAAAATGACATACTGGGGTCTGAATGTGCGGCTCCTCGTAAAAGCCTGCATACCTCGGGCCAGGTGCCCGAAAACCACAATATGCTGCGCAAAATCTGAGTGGTGGATGGCTCAGTCGTTCAAAGGAGGCTGGGTATGGGATCGCGAGAGCTGATTTTGACCGTGCCTTTTCGAATGCTTGTTTTCTTGAATCTCCTTCCAGTAATGAAGCAACCATAGCAGCTAGAGCTGCGCCCTGAGAGAAGCCTATGACTCCATGGAAGGGGCCTTCTGATTCCAAAACTTTCGCAACTGTCTCCAGTCCTCTATCCAGACCAACATATTCGGGTGGGTCAGAAGTGTCTGACCGTCTCCACCAGCCGTAAGCCTCGATACTGTCCGGGTCCTCGCTAGAGGTCGGATCAAAGCCTGGGACATCGCTCGGCTTGAGTTGTAAAGGTCCAGTTGGATAGCTGAATGAAATGCCCGGCAATGCCTTCTGAAGGTGCTTTTCCATGGCGCGTGTCTTTGCATGGAAGAGAGTGCCGTTCTGCGTGTATCCATGTAGCATCAAAACTTTGATCTCCGAACGCGACTCTCTTGCTGCCGGCATGATGTGAAGGTGTTGGCGTTGTGACTTTGCCACTCGCAGCAGGCGAGTTACCGGAAGCGCTGAGGAAATGGGCTGGCTTCTATTTCCAAAGAGAACTCTATTCATCAGTTGCCGTGGTTTGGGCCGGAGAAGCAAGGCGGAATGAACGAATCAAAGGACTTTACAGAGAGGACCCAAAGTCAGAGAAGATCTGGTTCTCGAATCCCGACAGCCTCGAGATCTTGCCAAGTCCTGCAAGTGGCGGAGATCATCGCCGACCAGGTTTTCCAGCCTTGTCGACACCCGTCCCTTGAGCGAGAGCCAGGGCCACCGCGAGTACCTGGTGGGTTGTCGACGTTCACATCGTAGGCATCCGGACCAAGCAGATGTTGCAGAGTGGGAAAGTCGCGCCTGTTTGTTTACTTCGTCGTCGTCCATGGTAAACAAGGCCTCATCGAACATGGCGCTGGTACCATCCTACTGTTCCAACTGGCCCGCCGTGAAGAGCTCGAGACATGGACCGTGAGTCTACCCTTTGCACCATCGTGGAGGAGGTCTGGGAAGAGGGAGGACCTTACGCAGGAAAAGTACCTATAAGTTCGAGCATCCTCCCTGGAGCATTTCGTGTCCAGTTCTCAAGATCTTCCTCAAGACGTCCACCTGAGCTATAAGTACACCCACAACTTGTTCTGGCTTCTTTCCCTTGATCAACATCAAGCAAGCAAGTCCCCTTTTCAAGTTCTGCAAGCTCCTGTGTAGCAGGGTTTGCCGCGTCCTCCGTCCACTTCCCTCTCGCCATTGTTCCTGCCGCCTCCCAGCTTTTCCTTTGACGCCATTCATTGACAATGTCTCCCCGCGTCATCACCAGCGCCGTCGAGCGTATTGCGCGCCTCGACGTCCAACACGGCCAGACGCGTGTTGGGAAGGAGCTCCGGCCCCGGGAGACGGTGCTGCCCATCGCCATCGCCTCCCTCTTCCTCTTTTTCATGTGGGGCCTCGCATACGGGCTACTCGACATCATGAACTACCACGTCAAGGTAGCCATGGGCGTTAGCCGCGAGAAGGCCGCCATCCTCGCCGCGGGGTACTACACGGCGTACATTCCCGGCACGCTTCTCATCGGCGGACCGTTGGTGAAGCGGTGTGGGTATCGGGTCGCCATGGCGGTCGGCTTGTTCATCCTTGCGGTGGGCAACGAGCTAATGTCCATCGGCGCGGCGAACTGCTCGCTCTGGGGCATGGTGGCCGGCCATCTTGTCATCGGTCTCGGTGTGTCGACGTTGGAGCGCTCCGCGAATCCATATGCCGTCAACTGTGGTCCCGAACGCCAGGCCACGCTGCGCATCCTGGTTGCCCAAGCTTGGGCCGGTATCGGCACGGTGGTCGCGCCTTTCCTGGCCAACGCCTTCATCTTCAACCTGGACAGCTCGACCGTGCGCCCTCCGACCGATCCCCTCCACGAGGGCCGATGCCTCATGCCGGACAAGGCCGCCTCGGGCTGCGACAAGCTCGGCAGCGTCATCACTTTCTACCGGCTTCTGGGCGCCTGTGTCGGTTCGTTGGCGCTGGTCATCTCTATTCTCTTCTTCCGCACCAACTGGTTCCCGGAGATCGCGGTCCCCGTCCCTGCCAACAAGGCCACCTGTGGTTGGACGCTGTGGAAGCACCCGCTAGTGTCGACCCGCTTTGCTCGCGTCTGGTGGGCCTTCTTCGCCAATTTCGTCAATCTGGGCTGCCAGGTGACGTTTGCTCAGTTCTTCATCGAGCACATGAAGGTCAACGCGTGCCAGAGCGACAACATGGCCGCCATTTGGATGTCGGTGGCCCAGACGGCATTCGTCGCCGGTCGGTTCGCTGCTGCTGGACTGGTCGCCTTCCCCAAGGTGTTCCGGCCTCGATGGGTGCTATTATGCTTCATCGCGGGTGCGGTGGCCTTTGTCGGCGCGGGAACCGGCATCTCGGCCGAGGCTGCGATCGCCGTGGCCGTCATGGTCATGTTCTTCGAGGCACCATCCTTTCCTATGGTCTTCGAGAGCGCGACCGCCGGCTTCGACGAGTGGAAGGCTTCCTGCGAGACACTGATGGTCGTCAGCATCTCGGGTGGTGCTCTCCAGCCGGCGCTGATGGGCCAGCTTGTCGAGCGCGTTGGCATCTCCCCTGCCTGGTGGTTGACTGCCGGGTGCTTCGGCCTTGTGTTGACCTACCCGTTGGCCATCAACTTGATCCCGCGCTTCTTCAAGGAGCTCGATCAGGCCGAGAGTGGCATGGGAGCAAATGAGCAGACCGTCGCCGATGAAGAGACAGGGCTCCAGGGAGCATCGAAGGAGGGGTTCAGGGCTCGCGTGATGGACATGGTGACATGGAGGCGCAAGTCGGCCAGTTCGGAGTCAGAATAGGAGATTGTTAACGGCGTCTTGGTTGGTTTTGGGACTTTCTGGTATCTGCAGGTCTTCTACTGTGAGTATGGACACTTGAACAATTGGGCAGGGTTGCACGTAGAGACAGGGCAGACAGGACATTCATGATACTCGAGATACCCCTGGTCAGATGCCTGACGGAGACGCCATATTGATACAAGTGGTCCCTGCCCGCGTGATACCGTTAACCCCTAACGTCCCGCTGCGATCATAGACTTCAAGCCTTGCTTTGGCGACCTGACCGCCTTCTCCCCGCGGCATTCGAAGTCACGTCAGGTGCTGAAGGCTTCCCAGCTTTTTTCGCACCCTTGGCTGGCAATTCTTCCGCCGTCTCCTTTGCGATCCTCGCAGCAGCCTTGGTTGGTCTGAGTGGCTTTGCATTCCCGTTGGGCTCCGGCTTTGCTTCTTTCTTCGCTTGCGCCTTGCCCCGAGCGGTAGTTTTACGAGGTAGCACCTCCTCTTCGTCTTCTTCCATTTCCTCGTCCTCACTCTCTTCTTCCTTTACAATCTTGCCTCTTCTCGATCTCTTCGGCTTTTTCTCCTCGTCGTCCTCGTCGGGAGCTTTGATGGCCTTGCCTCGCTTATTCGGCTTCTTAGGCTGCTTTTCTTCCTCGTCTTCTTCGTCATCCTCTTCCTCTTCCTTTACGGCCTTGCGTTTCTTCCCTTGTGCTTTCTTCGGCTTCTCATCCTCTCCATCGACCAGCACCGCTTCATCCATGTCTTTCGCCACAGGTCCCGTTTTCTTCTGGATCGAGGGAACCACGGCGCTGGTCCGACCACCCACGGTCAGGAACGCAATCTTCTCGCCACTGGGCAACGTGTTCGAAGCGTTCTTCTTGCCCTTCTGCCATCGGTGTCTGAACAGCCAATCGTCAGGAAACTTGTCGGAATCGCCCAGCAATTCCACGGCCGTGCTGCAGATGTAATGGATGGCCTTGTGCAGCTGCTCGATCTGTCCGTCCTTGAGTGTGTTTGCATACTGCTCCGGATGAATCTTTGCGTTGAACAACACCTCGTCACCGACCCAGTTGCCGATGCCCGAAATATTGGCCTGGTCCAACAGCATGGCTTTGATGGGGACTTTCTTCGACCCGCACTTCTGCCGGAGCCAGTCCACCGTGACGACGGCCTTGTCAATGACAGGATCCGGGCCGTTCTCTTTCAGCGGCGTGTTCTGTCGAATCTCGGCGGCAGGACAATCGACCAGCCTTATACGCGCGAGTCTCCTCATGTCGACGAATGCAGCTTCGACGGCGTCCTCTCCTTTCTCGGGCTCTGTCTCGAGCATGAACTTGACGAACTTGGGCGGCCACGGCTCGTCCTTCTTCTTGGCCGCCTTGGGCTGGTAGTAGTACGTGTGTTCTGACTTGAAGTTCATCCAGCCCGTCATGCCGAAGTGCATGACCGGATGGGGCGGGCTCGACATGATCATCCAGAAATACTTGCCTTGCTGGCCGGCATCGACGACTGTCTTGCCAGTCATGTGCTGTTCGAACTCGGCGGCGGAAGTGCCGACTTTGCCGTAGACGATCGGGTCATCCTGCGCGCTGACTTTGGCGATGGTCTTGCCGACAAGCAGTTTGCGAATATAATGCACAATGCGTGCGACCTCGGCGATCTCAGGCATGGTGTCCGATGTAGAAATCCGTTCTGGTGAGGTTCGTTGTTGGGTTGTTGAGAGACGTGGTGTGTGTTTCAGGAGTGCTTCAGTAGGCCTCCTTCACTTTGATTTTGACCTGCCTGCTGCTTGGGGCTCTTCTTTCAATCTCTCTGTAGATAGAGAGACACACTCTCGAGTGAGCGACGCCTGCAGGTAGACTCCTTCGGGATACTCTTTGACACAGACAGCGATTGTGCGGTGAATAATTGGTGGAACGAAGTTTCTTGAGTCACAACGCGTTCTCCCTATCAAGTGACGCGTTGAGTGGTTCGAGGCATATACGGCAATACGAGCGACGAGCGCCGAGCACAACGAGCATCGATGACATAATGCATGTGCGTCGTTGTCAAAGTGCAGCCTCGTCCTCTCCTCATCTACAAGTAACTATTGCACGTCACAACACTGTGTACTCCGTGCTGCCAGATAATCGTAATCATTCCCAGCGTCCTTGATGCCTTAAGTAAACTTTGTTGCTTTTGTATATTCCAGCGATAGTCCGTCACAGTCATCAATCTGGCGTGGTTTTGGACCTCAGCATCCCCTCCCTCACATTCTCCAGACTCGCCTCCACCCGCCTCTCAAGCTCTCCACGCGGACCCTCCATCCCGAGCTGCTGCACCACGAGATAGACAACCAGAGCCGTCAATACCTAGGCGAGCTCCTAAGCCTTCATCTCGACCTCCTATAATGTCCAAACCGACCACCGCACCCACGAATCTCACACCTCAATTCTGCTTCAACACGCGCGTGCTTCGAGACTTCCTGCGCCTCTCCCGCGCAAGCATAGACGACAGCATATCGACGAACCTCAACGCCCTGCTCACACCGTCCTCGACAACGCCGTTCGACCCGTCCTCCACGTCGATACGGAACCCTTCGCTACCGACATCGTTAACCCGGGCGCCTATACCGAAGGAGACGAGCCGGACGTTTATACACTCTGTTCTGTTTCCGAGCTGGCAGGTCCGCTCCGACGTGATTTCATACTGTACAAGTGTGGCCACGAGTCCGGACCCAAACGATCCGGACCTGATCGAGCGAGAAGCTTTGAACAGGCGAGACGCCGAACGGATCGTCAATGAGCGGCTGGATCCGTACTCGGGACGGTTCTTCCCGAGGGAGTCGCGTGCAGAAATGCTGGCCGGGTTATTGAGGAATGAGAATGCCGTGGAGCAGATCGTCCGAAGTCGGACGTGGGGAGTCGTCCAGGACCGGTGCGAGGGCGTCGATGAGGTGACGTGGGATGAAGCTGTGGACAAGTGGCGAGAAGGGAGGAGATGAAGGTGCGAACAATCACGCACGCTATATTAAATGAGAAAAGTCAACTTGGCGGCGCGGCTGTAATGCGATGCGATGCAATACAATACAATGAGACACAATGCATTGCGCGCAACACACCACCTAGGTGAGAAAAGTTGAAGTCCAAGTCTTCTCGGAAAGGAGAGCACACCGAAAGCCCGTTCTTCAATCAAACAGCATCTCAACTCAGTCTGACTGCTTGCAAGGCAGAGCTCGGACAGTCGAGGATATCAACTTAGACGGCGCAGCGCAAAGCACGACTTGCAAGCAGGGCCGGCCTAGCTCGGGTGAGGCAATCCATCTCTACTCTTACATATCACATCTCGTCGCGTCCGATTGGAAGTTCCACGAGAAAGAAAAAAAAGCCCTGACCGCCTTCCCCTTGTCTCCCCTGCCGACAAGAAAGGACAAAAACTCTGCGCGTGGCCTGTGTTGAACAGGACCTCGCTGGTGCAGAGAAACCCCGGGATGGGATTTTTTACCATTTCGTAGCGCCGCTCTCGATCGGGTTCGAATCGTGGACACATCGGATCGTTCGTTCGAGTCGGATGTTCGAGTCGGTGTTGGCGAAGGTCAGATCGTTCGAAAGTCGACAAGTCGTTCGGGTCCCTCGTTCGATAAGTCGGTCATTCGAGTCGTTCGATCGGATCGGATCCTATCATCGGTCGAGCTGCGAGTTCCTGCCATCGTTAGTTGGGTCATTTTTGGCGACTTGGATATATCTATCCCCGGTGGTGACTATGTGAATATTGATCTCTGGGGGAAACTAGGCCGGATGAGTTAGTGAAGATTGATGCGCATTCACTTCACTTTACCTGTACGGCGAGGCTGAAGGCGAGGCTGAGGACGAGGCAGGATCGATATCTCAGAACTCTGGACGTAAATAGGGGTTGGCCTAGAAGACGGGGAGGAGATACTACTAAACGCCAGCTCCTCAATTGTGTAGAAGACGTAATCAACGCCTGGCACATGCTGTTGTCTATGCCGCGTCTATCTTGACCTGTCCTATGCTCTATGCTATGCCACCCCTGAGGAGAAGGCGAGAGGTGGCGCCGTGGCCGACTTGCGTCAATTCTCCCCGCCAAGTCTATTTCTAGCCCTATGCCTGTCCACGCGCTGCAAGCTCTCCTTGACTCCCCAGCCGTGCCTTAACAGCTCGCCTACGTCTTCGAGCCCCAGCCCCATAGTTTCCGGATAGATGCACCAAACGACCACCCACCCGACGGCACAGACGGCAGCGTAGCAGACAAACGTCCACTGCGGACCGAGAAAGTCCATCATGGGAAGGAATGTCAGTCCCACGACGGTATTACACAGCCAATTCGTCGCCGTGGCCAAGGATGAGCCCAGCGAGCGCACACTGAGCGGGAATAGTTCGGATTGCTGCCAGGGAACAGGCCCGAGACCCATCGCATAATTTGACACGTATATGATCATGGCGACGAGTATGCTGATGGCCGGGAGTCGTGGGATAGGATCGCCATATGGATTACGGTTGGGCGCACGAGCGTCGACTTTGTCGTCATCTGCAGGGAGGCGGATGAAGGCGAATGCAACGGCACAGAGGAGCAGGCCCAACGCCATGAAGGGGATCGTGAGGAGTAAGATCCTCCGACGGCCAATTCTGTCGATCAGGTTGAATGCAGCAATGGTGAAGAGGAAATTGGTACCCGCAACGCTCAGGGACGTCAATGTCGGAGACTCGAAGCCTAATAGCTGAAAGATGGTGGCGGAGAAGTACATGAGGGAGTTGAATCCGCAGAGCTGTTGAAGACTTTGGAGCGAGCAGGTGATAGTCAGAGCTCTCGCGTGTGGTGGGTGGAGTAATAAAGATTGTAACGTCGGATTGATAAGGAAGGGTGCTTTGGACTCTGGCAAGTGGCGGAGCTGAGCATGGGCTTCCTCCTCGTCAAGAAGTTCTTTCCGGATGGCGAGAATAATTTGGGTGACGAGATCGTCCGGCTTGTCCGTCATTCCACGGTACACCTTTGTGAGAACAGCCCTGGCTTCCGTTTCTCTGTGGACCTTCGCCAGGAAACGCGGAGTCTCTGGCATGAAGGCCAACATGACTAGTTGTGCCAAGGCAGGCGCGGAGCCGAGACCGACCATCCATCTCCATCCGCCTGGCATGGTAGAAAAAGCCCATCCAATCAAGTATGCAATGACCTGGCCGCCGGTAATGAAGAGCAAAGATACTGTGACCAGCCTCCCTCGTAGGTGACTCGGTGCGAGCTCAGAAATGTACAGCGGCACAATGAGACTGGCGCCTCCAATGGCGAGTCCAACGATACTTCTACCAAGTATCATTCCCCATAGTGAGCTGGTCAAGGCTTGCCAAAGCGCGCCAGCCGTGAAAAGTGCATCTGCAAAGAGGATGATGTTCTTCCGTCCCACCTTGTCTGCCAGAACCCCGGCGACAGGACTTGCGACGAGGGCGAAAAGGCTGGTGCAAGAGGTAATGAGCCCTTTGTCGAGAGTGGTCAATGTCCGACCGGATAGATCGGTGCCAATGGACACGAGGGTACTGGATATGACACCAGTGTCATAGCCGAAGAGGAGGCCGGATATGCAGGCGGAAACTGTTAAAGCCCATATGAAAGTGTTCCCAGAGTGCTCTACGGTTACAGAGGCGGTGGTACGCTCATTGTCATGTCGCTGGTGGTCCGCAATTAGCGGCGCGTCTGGTGAAGTATCATCGTCTCGGGCGGCGGGCATCTCTTCCAATTCCACCTCTTCTCTCTTGTACTGTTCTGGCTGAATGGGCATACAGAGCCAATATATGCATGCTGGTGGTGGTCGGGTGTGGTCGTGTGCGCTGGTCAGAGGCAGGCAGAGGGTCGTGTGAGATGGACATTGGACATTGTACACTGCGCACCGGCTGCGTCGGGGAGACTTCCTAGAATATTGCTTAGTCATGCAGCACCGCTATCGCCACGTGATCATCACTATCACCAACGGCTGCGGAGGGGCGAATACGTCAAGTCGCAGGCAATTTTGCGCGCGGCCGATGGTCGGAGTTCGTGCCATTTTCGCCATTAATAATTCCTGCGCTGCCAGTTGATCAACCAACGCCACTCCCATCACCAATTAATTTGGAGGTTCGTCGAGTTCGAGGGCGTCCGAATTCTAGTCCTCCGCCTACCTCGCCCAGCGATCATGAGCGCCATTCTCTCAGCAGACGACCTGAATGACTTCATCTCGCCTGGCGTCGCCTGCATTAAACCTATCGAGACCCTCCCGAAGCAGGACGACTCGAACCCTTACGAAGTCACGACCGAGGACAAGGTCCTGGCACAAAATCCTGCGCCCGCATCCATATCCTTGACTGATTGCCTCGCCTGCTCAGGCTGTGTCACTTCCGCCGAAGCGGTGCTGGTGTCTCTGCAGTCACATACAGAAGTCCTGAACACTCTAGATGCTCATCCTTCGTTGGATGTACGGTACTTAATCCACAAGAAAAATGGCTTTGTCAATGGGCACATTGCCCCGCCCGCGGATGCGAAACTCTTCATCGCGAGCGTGAGCCCGCAGGTCCGGGCGAGTCTGGCTGCTACTTACGGCATATCGGAGAGAAATGCTGGTTTTATGATTGAACAGTTTCTTAGTGGATCGCAAGGTCTGCGGATAGGTGGACAAAATAACAGTGCCTTCTCTTATGTGGTTGATACCAACCAGGCCAGAGAGGCCTGTCTAGTGCTGGGAGCGGAGGAGGTAGCAGAATCAATAACCAGCAAGTCCAAGCCTAGGCCGGTCCTGGCTTCTGCTTGTCCTGGTTGGATCTGCTATGCTGAGAAGACACATCCACATATCCTCCCTCACCTATCGAACCTGAAATCTCCCCAGGCACTATCGGGAACGCTCCTCAAGTCAACTTTAAGCAGCACTCTGGGCATCCATCCTTCGCAGATTTGGCATCTGGCAATTATGCCGTGCTTCGACAAGAAACTCGAGGCCAGCAGAGAGGAGCTTACTGACCGTTGGTGGAGAGATGGCTCTGACTCTTCCAGTTCCCCGATACGCGACGTCGACTGTGTTATTACTTCCCGCGAGCTCCTTTCCCTCGCCTCGGCACGTGGTATTCAACTATCCGAGCTCCCGCGCAAACCACTATCCGCCTCCGATCGTGTCCCGTTTCCGGACTCTCGAATCTCACAGTTCCTCTTCCCGAAGCCACGACGGCGGAGTCAACAACAGACGGTGAACGCTGGCTCCTCAGGTGGCTATCTCTACCACATCCTTCTCACAGAACAGTCCCGCCACCCTGGGTCTACCATATCAGTTCAACGCGGCCGAAATGTCGACGTAGTTGAATATGCGCTCCTATCCTCGTCCGGTGCGTCACTCATGAAATGTGCACGATACTACGGCTTCCGAAATATTCAGAACCTGGTTCGGAAACTGAAACCGGCGAGACAGAGCAAACTACCCGGAGCGGCAAGACGGATGACCCAAGCTGCCGGCGCAAGCAGTGCAAGCGATTACGCTTATGTGGAAGTCATGGCTTGTCCCGGGGGCTGTACGAATGGAGGCGGACAGATCAAGATTGACGACGTCCTTGAGATTTTACCGCAGACAAGAGGTGAAGAAGTTGCAAATGGACTCAGTCCTCAGGCTCAGAAGGAGTGGTTGCGAAGAGTCGACGAAGCTTATTACTCCGCTGATTCGGATGAAGACCTCTCTTGTGATGACGATCTAGGGGATGTGGAGATGACGAATGGTCTCAACGGTCATGTGAAAATGAATGGCCACAAGGAAGGTCAAATCATCAACGGCATCGATGTGGATGAGGTCCACGACTTACTCCATCACTGGTCCCGTCTCGCTGGGGTCCCCATATCCAAGCTTGCATACACGACCTTCCGCGAGGTCGAGAGTGATGTAGGTAAGAACAAGCCAGCGAGCAAGATGAGTGACACGGAGCGAATAGCGAGCATCGCGGGGTTGAGTGGAGGAGGATGGTAGACGTCTGAGGACCACACTTCAAACAGGCCACTTGAGTCGCCCATATCCAGGACTACACGACAGACATGATATAGAGGCATTTGATACCCAATGACATTATCCCGAGACGCAACCTGGGACGAATACATTGATGACTGGCTCGGCTCGCTATAGAAGGCTACTGCTGTTTTTGTTTCTTTTCCCTAAATCGATCCTATCTTGAAGTCTACCGTCCGCTTCCGTCATCCAAGACAGGGTCGCTCCCGTGAACTACATGTGCTCATGTATCCATGTAGTGAAACCCTGTTCTTCCCACCGGCGTGTGTCTCGGAGTCTCGCATCCATGCAACCGTCCTTGACGCCCAACACCAGAATGTATTCAGATGGTATCGTATACCTTCACTCCGACAACCCAGTCTGATCTTCGACTAAACCAGAATTGACTCGACCCCTCCAAAGGGCTGCCTAGACACGAGCACACGTAGATGGCATCTAGTAGACGACAATGACTCGGCTTTAATATCCTCATCCCAAAGTGGGCAGAGTACTTCATATGGATCCGTCTCATATAGGAAGGCTCAACCAATCTATGTCGGATCTGATGTTATTCGACGGGTGAATGTTCGGTCACACCGTGAGGTCCGTGATTGCGACCCGCCTGGTGACGGCCAAATGAGGTTAGGACGCGATCGTGACTCGTGCACGCTAATGCAAATTACCTCATGCAGCCTCGCGTCGGCGGACCTTCCTTTGAATTTCTCGGGACAAGGCTGGTATCGTCCTGCCGGAACGAAAAAACGTGTTCGCGATTCTCCAAACACACGACCTAGAAAAGGGCAGAGGAGAGAATGAGCGGATGCCCCGTTACCTCGCTCCGCACAAATCGGGGCCTCATCGACTAGCATGTCTCGGGCTCTTCAGGTCTCTCCTCCGCGAGAGCCGGCACGTCGGCACTGCGACATCCAGCACCAAAATCGCTGAAACCCTGCGCTCGCTCGTCCGGTACCGCTTCCACAGGGACCGCACGCTCCTCTCTCGGTCTCAGATCATCCATGGTCTCGAGGCGGGCCACGGCTTCCTCGACCTCCTGCGCGGGTGTGCCGCGAAATCCCCCACCGCGCTCGACCAGCTCAGCCAGCTCCTCGAGCACGTCGCCCTCCAGGCCGAATCGACGGCCACGTACCGCCGGACGCTTGCCGCGCGGTGGAAACCGCCGCCTCCGAGCCGGTATGCGCACCTGGAGAATCTGAGGCGCGTGGCCGACAAGGCGAACCACGCTTCCACGCCGTCGTCGCCGCGGATCTTCCAACACCCGCGCCCGCTGGGCGAAGTCAAGTCCGGGGTGCGCAAGGTGCCCAACTTGATCCTTGCCCAAGGGGTCCCCTTGCTCAAGTACCCTGGGCCGACGCCCGTGCTGGTGAATCGCGTGCTGAAGGAGAAGATCCGATGGGGGGTGCGGAAGTGGGAGCAGCACAAGGATATACGGCGGCGGATCCAGATAGCCGAGTGGGAAGACCAATGGGACAGTATCGTCGCGAGGGTAGGCAACATTGTCGATGACAACGACGACAATGGTGCTGGTGCTGGTGGTGGTCCTCTGGTGGAGGGGGCCGAGGGGCAGAGGTCGGCGAAGTCACATAATCCCCGGGCGACAATCCGGTACTATCATCCGCCGATTGAGGGTGCTGGCACCTCGCCTAAGCAACATCCCGGCTCGGGGTTCAAGCCACGAATATCCTGGGCAACACATCTCCGAGAGGTGGATCGCGGGCTCGAACTGGCCGTCCTGGAGCGTGGGAAGCAGTACGCCCTGCTGGGAGAGCGGTACTGGCGTGAGGTTGTGGTCAAAGAGAGAGAATTGAGAGAACAGGAACGCAAGGAGAGAAAGCATGCAAGACGCATGGCCAGGAAGCAGGCGAGCGGCATCTTCGGTACTGAGGGGCAAGTGCCTACACAACATGACCAGGATCTACAGCCCAGCAGCGTATCTTCGGGTTTCATCTAGCACGGAGAGCAGGAATGGGCAAGCGCATTGATTGGGATTGGAGGATATAGACCAACGGCTCAACGAGCTGGTACCTTCCCTACCACTCGATGTGCAAGTCTGTAAATACGGTTCAGAAACCCGTGTGTCGTATCAGTATGAGAAGCCAACGCCGGCTATGCATGCATTCGTCAACCTTCGTCAATTCATCCCTGTACCGTTACAAGCTTGATTCCGCGTCAACGATCGGCCCTGGTGTGGTCCGGCGAGTTTAGAAAGTAGTCCCTTCCTGAGGCTGTGGCAGTTTCTTGTGCTGCGGGAGAGCCATGTATCTGCACGCACGCTCGACGTTAGCCCCGAAGTCCCGTCCCATCACATCACACTACGCTCTGCTCAGACGTACCGTCTCAGCTCGATCAGGATGGTTTCCATGGTGTAGTCGCGCTTCCAGTTCGCCAGACAAGGCAGCTTCGACGGATCAACCTGACACCAGGCCATAAACATTAGCATGTGCTGTGCCTCTGTGCGCTCTCCCCTCCCTCTTCCCCCAGGAGTGTCTTCTCCTCACCTTTCCGGTCTTCTGATCCACGCACGGCAGATTGACTCGCGAGACGAACTGGATCGTGGGCGGAAGGTCAGGATACTGGTCCCCACAATGGATGTTGACGCTGTAAATGCGGTTCTCGTGCACGCTCTGCAACGGCGCCTGAGTATCAGTCTGGATTCCTTGATATGCGCACACCTGTCGCTTGGGTAGGCACATACGTGAGGAGGTCCGAGGATGGTGCCGTTCCAATTCGTCATCATTAGATCGTCGCCATCTGCTAGGCCGTACGAGCACGCCTCTGCGATACCGTCAATGTTAGCGTTGGCGTTACGCAGCAGGTGCACGCGACTGTATCCACGGCATGGCATGGTACGACTGGATGGATGGATGGATGGACTAACCTGCCCCCAGTCCTTTCTCGCCCTTCTCCAGCTCTTCCAGCAGCCGGAAGTTTCGAGGTACTTTGGCGCCCATGGCGATTGGCTCGCTGTCTTCTGGAACGCGGTAGGTGTGGTGCAGTTGAGTCCGTACGCAGCACACAGTATTCTGCTGTATGAGGGGTGGGTGTGGGGGGGTGTTTCGGAATCGAGTCTACGAGAAATTACCAAGGTCAAGCAGGGAACATGAGAGGCACGCGCCGCAAGGCAATCGCATGGCGTGGCGGTGCAAGGCGGGAGGGTCACGTGTGACATGCGGGGTGCCTTGCCACAGCCACAGCGAGACCAGCACGACTAGTCACATGCCTGCAGCCCGTTCGCTTACCCCCAGTAGGGTTCTTGGGGATCGCCGGACAACTGCTACAGTATCCCACTTTCGAGTACAGTATCGCGGCTGGAGAGCTACCTCGGATTTAAGCAACCTGTAATTGTGAGCTGGAGAACGATTCGAATAGCCCGGGATGTGAAGTTCTGGGGGAACTGCTTGGGATCCCTACAAGGTTTCATAGAATGCGGCAGATGATCCGCTGCCCCAGGCGGTGCAGTATCCCCCCTAACTAGGCCATTTACTGTAGCCGTGAGCGGGGTGAGCTCGGAGTAGATTCTATGTACAACTTCTACTCCGCTAGTATCAGCAGCCCACTGCGTATTTTCGTGGTCTACCATATTACTACTATGAGGATCCATTGAATTCAACATGTAAGGGAGCCTTTCCCCCAAAAGTCGCAGCGGGAATACCGCCTACCGCTGTCACGCTGGCAGTGCTTTTGTCCTTTCTAGCCCGTTGAGCATGAGCCAATGCACACTTCTTTCACCATGGGCGGTATGGTCCCCTTTCGATAAGCCTGCCATTGCGAATCGATCGCCGCATGATTATCCGTCCTGTTGCGATGGCACCTGGACAGGCGGCAACCGACTCAACGGGTAGGAGACAACTCCTAGACGGAGAGCGACAACCCCTCTTGCAACCGTCCGACGGGGAACCGATATCCTCTCATGACTCGCATACCCAGGGAGGAGGCAACACTCCTGTTCCCGGTGACGAGGTTTCAGAGACAAAATCCGGTCGAGCTTGGCAGCATGAGGACACCTTCAAGCTTCTCAGCGTGATATTCGATTTCTTCATCATGGGCGTCTGTCAAACCGCCGTGGGAGCTTTGATTCCCGACATTGAGCGATTCTATCACCTCAGCGACGGGCCCACGGCATCACTCTTCGTGGCACATATGGGGGGATACCTCTGCGCCACGGCAGTCATACAGCATCTTCATCTTCGTCTTGGTCGGAGGGGAATTGCACTGTTGGCGCCTCTATTCCGTCTCTCGGCTGCGGCTTTGCTCGCTACCGGGCCGTCCTTCAATGTTGCTCTGGCGACGTACTCTCTCTTTGGCTTCGGGACTGGCCTCGCCGACGCTGGCTGGTGTGCCTGGGCAAGCAGCCTGCCTTACGCCAACATTTGTCAGGGCATGATGCACGGAGCATTCTCCGCTGGGTGTGTTGTCGGTCCCATCGCTGCGTTGGCTGTTCTGAACAAAGGGTTTGAGTGGTATGGATTCTACGGCCTTGCTGTAAGCCACCGAGCCATCACCCTTCCATGCATGCCGAAGTCTGACCTCTCCATGAAAGGCCGCCCTTCTGAGCCTAGAGCTCATGGCAGACGGCCTAGCATTCCGGCGCGATACTGCTGCAAAGTATCGTTCGACTGCAAGCGGACCGCAAGACAACCGGGTGTCAAACCCCTTCCGAATCACCGCCACCTGGATGTGCGGTCTGTTCTTCTTCGTCTACGTCGGCATTGAATGTAAGTCCAACCTTGCAAGCACAGTCCCAGCTTGTCATTCTTCGCACTTCACACCTCATCCTTCATCCCCCAAGTCCATGCTAGATCCAAGGTACAAAGCATCATTTTCCGACTGGATCGTCCTCTTCATGCGCCGCATCCGGCACGCCGACCCGCTGACAGCTTCCCTCTCCTCCTCCTCCTTCTGGGCCGGCATGGCCGTCGGTAGACTTCTTCTCGGCTTCGTCACGCAGTCCTTCGGCCTCCGTCTTTCTATCTCGACGTATATCGTCTGTTCGACGATCTTGCAGATCCTATTCCGACAGATCACCCACCCCGCCTCCTCGCTGGTCTTTCTCGGCTTGAACGGGCTCTTCTGCGGTCCGTTATTTCCCTCCGGCATCTTACTCCTGGCGACGAAACTGCCGACAAAGGGACGCGTCGGTGCTGTCGCCGCCGCCGCGGCGATGGGACAGGCCGGCGGTGCCCTTGCACCCCTGTCTATCGGTCTACTGGCGGACAGGTTTGGAATCAGCCACCTGCTCGATGTTGTCCCGGCGCTGTCGACACTCATGCTGGTGATTTGGTGGGTCTTTTCGACTCGGGTCTAGATGTTAGATTGTACTGTCCAACGCGGGGGACACCGTACTGCAGAATACATATCCCGTGTCCCGTGCTCTGGATACTTTAGACTGCGTGGACAACGGATTGGTGAGCGAGTCCATCAAGGGAGAACCTCCCTCGTGACCCACGATGCCTACAACGGGGGCGAGCGGGGACCACCTAGTCCCATGGCCCGAGGTCGCTGACTCTGATACAATGGAGAGGAATGCTCGCCGTAGATGCTAGACGCGAGGACGACAGAGGCCGCTGCGTCGTCCTCTAGCGTCGGAGATGCCGGCACATTGACGATATGGCCCAAGCACGTACACGGGAAGGGAAAAAGGAGTATGGGCTCAATGTCACAGTATGTGGAAGTGTCCAAGTGGCTCACCAAAGTGGTGGTCAATCAAGCTCCTACAGAGACATCATGGACCAACGGGCTCTTCACGCCGATTTTGATTCTTCAACTACTATGTGGGGGCTGTGGCTGGGGTTGAACCATCAGACTCGACCTGAGCACTTCTTCTATCAACTTTTGGTGTGCGTGGCATCTTCCCACGACAAGGTGTGGTCTCTCCTGGCATCCTCCCTTTCGAAGTCGTGCTGAAGTCAAGAGTCGAGAGTCTTTGTGTATCATGCATGCCATGCCACGGGTCTCCCACCGATTGCCATGCCATTTCCATGCCGAGGATTTTGCATGGTTCATCACTTCCATGGCCCAAAACGTTTCACGTTCGCTCGTTACCATTGCCAAGGTTCATGTTCGCGTAACTCTGCACCAGCGCGTAAAAGCCCGGACCGGGTTCGTGGAACTTGCGCTTCTGCGCCGCCTGGGTTGGGGGAGGGTCGTACTCGGCGCCTTTGGCACCAAACACTCTGCGATCGCCGATGATCGGGGATGGAGTACGGACAGACGTGATAGGGACGGGAGATGGTTGAGGGGACGGGTCGTCACCCCATTTGGACTTGATGGTAGTCTTGGAGGAGAAGGGAGTGGAACGAGCTGGCTGATCTGATGGTTCGTCCCCCCACTTCGAGCTGATCGTGGTCTTGGATGTGAATGGCTCGGTTCGAGTGGTGGTTGGGGCTTTCTCAGGCTTTACGGCTGGGACTTCTTTCTTGATGTCAGCTGAGGGAGCAGCGGTCGCACTGGTGTTTGCGTAATCGTTGCTAACTGGTTCGCGCGGCGCAAAAGGATTGACATGACGCGCTGGAACGGCCGTCGTGGGGGTTGACGAGGAAGTTGTCGAAGACGCCACAGTGCGCTGTGCTCTAGGCGCGTCGACAGCCTCAGTCGGTTTCTCAAAAGAGCGAGCGGCGGCGGCATCGGTCGTCACGGCGGTGCTGATGTGCCTCTCAATGGCTTCGCGGAGTGCCAATAGCTCGTCGAGAGAAACGTACTTGCGTCCAGCGAATTCGATGAAGTTACCTGGTTGAGCAGGCAGAACATCGCTCTTGACGTCGTCAAGAATTGGCGAATCCATGATGCTTCCCGTGGGTGACAGGCCAGACACTTGTGCAGCAGTATTCGAGGATTGGTGCACGTCTAGGACTGTAGTCGCTTCTTGCACCTCCACGTTGCCAATACCAAGGCCGATCAGGTCACTGCCATGGGATTCGGTTGAAACAGGGGCTTGCTCATGCATGTCTGTCGAGGCTGAGAAGCCAGACAGCGTCATGGGACTTGGAGCGCCATCAGTATGGGTCGCCACCTCACCAGGCGCCAAAGCAGCAGCGGCAGGGAAAGAAAACTCCTCGATAGGGACACGCCGAATGGAGGGATCAGAGAGGTTTGGATGTACGTTCTCTTGAGCAGCCGCGGCTGGTGGTGGTGCAGGAGTGTCGTGGCCAGCACTGACTTTTGGAGCCGGCGCCTCGTTGTTTGACTGTTCTGCTTTCTTGGACGGACCTTTCACTGCTGACATGAAGTCCGAGGGGTCAGAAAGGATAAATGCCTGAGGCTGTCGAACAGGCGCAGGTGGTGGCTTCATGGGCGCAGCCTTTGCAGGGATTTGACCACCTCCAGCAATACCAGGCATCCTCTTTATAACAGCTTTGGCAGGTGAGGCGTTCAGTCGCGTATCAGGTGCTGGACTGGGTGTGCCAAGGGGCGGTGCCGGCGGCCATGGTCGACCATGTTCTGGCCTATCGCGATTCGGATTCGGGGTGACCTTGGAAGAGGCAGGAGGATTTGAACCCTGCGGTCGGGGAATGTGACGGGACAAGAGCCTGCCATGCCAATCAGTATGAGCTCGAAACAGAATCCAGGAAGGACATACGCTTGGGGAGGATTGAAACGACCAATTGGGTGCTTGTTCCCAACGCGTCGACCGCCACCACTATGGTCATCGATGTGTTCGAGACTCAGCTGATCAATGGACTTGAGCCCAAGCCGAAATGCTTCCTCCTGCAGCTGATCTCTGGTTCTGGCACGGTGACCATGCAGGTTGCGAGCCTCATTGATGGACATGTCTGAGGCGTCAACAGTAGTGTGGAAACCTGTACCTGGGTCAGTGTTGAACCATTACATATGACACCGACGACGCACTATTCCAACTATCCATTTTCGACCGGTTCTCGCTTGCAACATCTGCCTCTTTGATCCCTTGTCTATCGGACTGCCGCGAAGCATGGAAATTTCGAGCATGTCGGCGACTGCCCTCGTCGGTGCCGTACTTGATGTCGTGAGCACGGAATTCGCCTAATTCGGCCTGAGAGAAGATCAGTATCAAAAGCAAGGAAAGCTTGACAACCGAGATATACGCGTTGAAGGAGCATCATTTCGCTTTCTTCCTCCGCATTCGGATCAGAAGACTGGACGTCGAGGTGCTCTTCTTCACTCGCCCTAACGTGGCGACGTGGATTCGGCACCATTGTGTCTTTCATGATGTCTTCAACCACACATAAGACGCTGCAGAAGAATAAACGGAAGAGAGTGGTGACTGAGGCTGTTCGAGAGGGTCAAAAAGCTGAACGTGCTGCGGATCTTGCTGGGAGAAGACCTACCAAGCTGATACCCGGGAGTCTCCTTCTGTGAGATCCCCGGGTCTTCAAAAGCAGAGATTGAGGGATATGGATAGAGTATCCAATGACGAAGAGGTCAGGAATAGAAGTCGAAAGTATGAGGGATGTGAGAAGGGAGAAACAGAGGAGGAAAGAAGAGCGTTGGATCAGCAGTCGACGACGAATTTGAGGCCGCACACAGCAAACGCTGCTTGGCAAGAAGGCGCGCAGTTCCCTCTGTGTTCGAAACACTGGACGAGGGGAAACGAGGGGCAGTAGACGTGATATTGTTGTCGACGTGCGGATGGATGATGTCGTCGGGGAAGCACACCGCGATGTTCCCTCGTGCAGACGCACCCGTGTTGGAAACTGTTGGGATCGGCCGAAGTCAATTCATCTAATTAATGTCAACCATCTGGAGACAAAGCAAGTAGACAAGGTGAAGTCAGAGGTGGGACTGAGGAGGATTAAAAGGAAAAGGCGACGGTGAGGTCGACGGTTGTGGTGAACATGAGAAGACATTGTTACAAGGAGGCATGAAGACAAACTTTCTTGATTCTCTCCCCATTCAGCGTCATTCAGTGGCATTCCTCGCGTGTGCAGCACAGTTTGAACCGTCCCTTGAGAATCAACAGAGCCGGAACAAACGTTGACCAACCTGGCCGTCGCCAATAGTGTTGTTGAGCTTCCAGGCCTGGAGGCTTCTCCCTTTATTCGGCATTTGCATATTGCAACTCTGCGCAAAGCCCTGACTGTCTTAAGGTGCGCGGGCTGTTGGCAATTGGCATCGCCTGTCTCTTGAGACTGCGTATCTCACACCTTGCCTCACATTGAGTTGTCTTTCACGGCCTCAAGCTTCCTGAGTTGTCATTGTTGCGATTGACTGTCTGCCACACCAAAAACAGCGCCTTGATTGTGTCAAGGTCAGCTTCACTGCCACACATCCAGAATCCGTGCCTTTGTTCTGATATTAACCTGTAGGATCGAACCGTTATATGCCTTGCAATGGATGCACCAGCAGCCAACCCAGAGGGGAAGAGTGTACCACCTCCTGCTGAGAATATTCGGCAGCTTGAGATCAAGGTCACAGACGGCAATAACGAGCTTGTCTTCGAGGTCAAAGGAAGCACCAAGCTCGGAAAGGTTGTGAAGAAATTCTGCGACTATCAAGGCAAGGATCCCGAAACAGTAAAGTTTCTTTTCGATGGAGAGAGAATCAGGGCTGGAGAGACACCAGACGATGTGAGCCCCGACGTCCGAACACCACGATGAATTCTAACAGAACATCAACAGCTCGAGATGGAGAATGACGATATAATTGAGATGAAGCCTGAGCAGATCGGAGGCTGGTCGACATAGCGACAAGCCAGCACCTGAATCAGTCAGTCTCGAATTGCGTGTCAAACAATGACACACAAGGCTTGTCAAAGACTGAGCTCGATAACAACATCGATTGACTTTGCATCAAAAGAGCGACGGCTGAAGAAGGGTCAGTAGCGGAAAAGGGATTGGAAAGCAGTGTCCACTTACTAGCTCGTGCGGACCCGATGATCCGCCTGCGATCCGAGGTTCCCCGACCAATTTTTAGCAACTCCTCAGCCTCATTATTGATTATGACGACGGGGATTTGGATAGCATTGGGAAACGAGATACGACATACGAGACACAGTACTCGGTACGTATGCTCAACGGTGGTTATGGCCAGAAAGTCGATCCTCACTACTCCGTACTCCGTACAGCACGAGATCCAGCTGTACCGCGACCGGGCTATTCGTTTTACCGCACGTCCAGACATCGTGTGGCCAGTCTGGTGACCACTGGCAAGCTCGCCGCCGTCGCAGCAACTCCGACTCACCCAGTTTTGGTCCGTGTTGCTCAGTCCCTTCCTTGCGAGGTAGTCGTACACCGCCCTTGCACGACAGTTTGCGAGACGGCAAGTTGGCACACTGACACGAGGTACTTTACCACGGTGGGAAGTGTTAGTCGATGTTGAGACCCCGCTTTGTGCCTTAAGGCGCCTAGAGCCGACCGGGTGCATCTTCGGACTCCGCAAATTGCTGCTCAACGCTTAAGGTCCGAGCCACACTTCGCCCAAATCGTAGCCATTGAGCAGCCACTCAGGGCCCGAGCTGGCCAGCTGCATTGAACGCCGATTGATGAATGAGATAGAGCTGTCTTTCATAAGGGCAGCAGGGTCTCCCGCATCTGAGGTACGTCTCCCTGCCGCTTCCGTTACTTTGTCTCCCTTCGCACACCGACGACCCGAATCTCCCACATCACAAACTGTATCAGGTCACCGCCATTTCATCTACGTCTCACAGCTCAGCCCCGGCTTACCCATACTTCAGAGCTGCATATGAACCCTCCACAGGACTACATCGACCACCACATTTTCCACACCATTCATTGACCGCTCTCTATCCTCTTCCATTCAGTCATCCATTGTACCAGCATATCCATCACGTTACCATGGCAGCACCTCGAGCCTCTTCTTTCAAGGCACTGCGCAACCTTCAACGCACTTCTGGCTCGACCTCGGCCAAACGGAGCTTGCACATTACTGGTGTTCATGAATCTCCGAGGCCAATCGATCCGAATCACAAGACTACCTATATGCCATGGAACCTCCAAGACCTTCGTCACGAGTGCCAGAAGCGGACCCTTTCAGCGTCTGGTACCAAGCACGAGCTAATTGACCGCTTGGCCGGTCATGATAGCTTGCAAGCAAGAGCTTTCTCCATTGCGATGAAGAGGATTGCAGTCGAACAGACCAGAAAGCCGGTCTCAGGGTTAGTAACCGCAGCTAATCTTCACTTATCCCTGCGAACTGACCTGTGTGCAGTCCGTCTGAAACAGCGCCTCAGAGGCACTTCAATACCTCCCGTGCCCTGAAAGCCGTGGGCGATACTTCCACGATCGACTTTGCATACCTTCCCAAGCTCTTTGAGGAGTCGTGGGGTCCTGCACCCGCTGCCATTCGCGTTCCTATCCTTCCTAATATCCAGTCCGACCATGCCGAAGCCGTCCTGGAGAAATACCCAGAGCTGGATTCAGCCGCAGGCGGATACCAAGATACTCCGGGCCATGAGACAATCTTGAAGCCACAGATCTTCCACAATGGGGATTCCGAAGGCAGCGTGGCAAGTGCCCTGAGCGACGTGCACGACGGACATCCTACCGAGCTGTCCGTCGAGGTGCTCACCGCATTGACGGAAACTGTGGGCAAGAGCGCCAGACAGTTTCTCGACCAGGTCAAGGACAAAGACGAGCAGACGATCCGCAAGATCTGGAGTGGCTTTCTCGACGATGTGTTCGGTGAGAAGAGAAAGGGAGCCAGTGCATGAGCCTTGCAAAAGGCGCAAGGGGTGGCAAAGCAATGAAATCATTGTCGCACCGTCACGACAGCGTTGTAGTAGCACGAACTAGCGAGCCGTGTTTTCTTTATGACCTATACCACGTTATATAACGTCGGTCAAGGGGATGACACCTATTCCTTATAATCCAGTGCACAGCGCACTTCTTGAACCGAGAATAATTGTTTCATCCACAAATGCCTTTCGTTTCTGTCGGCTGTCGAGGGATGAGATGTCAGTTTGCGGTGGCCTTGCTTGCGCCTTTGGGACGAGTGTTTCTGATCCGACTCCACCAGTCCGCTTTGACTCCACAAACCTCCACTATGACCATTCCGTCCGGTTGCCCCTGCGCCCTGCGCTTTGGGACACTTTCAGATTCCCGTCCCGCGCTGCTTGGCCGTATCAGACTGAGGGCTTCACTCAGGTACTTGTGTTCGATGTGTTCGGCGGGAGCCCCCTAGCATCTGTAGCAGATCTCGGATGGCGACGAACTCGGGTGACTCGTATTCACGGCAGGTTGCTATGGGGCGTTCGTTGATGTCTAACCCGCAAAATGTGGGTGACGAGCTCGTCCAAGCACTCACTACGCCAGCCACAGGGGGTTGGTCTCCGACACCCGGGCCCTGGGCTGACGCCAATCGCCGCCACCAGTTCGGGGCACATTCCAAGGGCCAATTGAGTGAGCACGCAGAGAGATCGTCAGGTACGCGAATGGCGAAACCCTGCCATACCTTGCCCGATTCGCATGCTTCTCCTGGATGGCTGACCCATCTGAGCACCCCAGATGTCCTTGGCATGTCGACGCCGCCGCTGAGATCCAGAAATTATGCGATGGCGGCCGCATCGGCAGCCGCTTCCAGGACTTTGATCTGTGTTTCTTCAAGTCTACGCATTCTTGCATCGCTCTCTACCACTGTCATTATACTACTGTATCTCGTTTTGCAGAGTGTTGTTTCGGGATCTCTTGATTGAGAATTTCTCGAGCTCTGTATCCATCACAAGTTGCTGCCTCTGCACCGCTATTGTCGTTCATCGATTCAATTCATTTGGCTGGATACCAAATTCGAAACAGCACATTGCGATGTCATAACTAGGACGGGCTCCTTTCAACCTATTGCTTCCAAAAAGCATTTGCAAATGTGGTGATCTTGTCCACATCTTAATATCACAGCCATGCATCGACGGTGGTTGTCAGTACCTCTCTTGTCAAGCTGCGTTTCAGCATTCTATCCTTACCAGTCTGGCGACGGCGGAAACGACAACAGCAAGAGATTCATACCTTTGGATCTCGAGCCTCAAACGAAAGATGATTCCGGAGTCGTGACTCTTGACATCATGAAGGTGGTAGGTCAAATCGAAGAGCTCCCATGCCACCAAATGCTAACCAGGTCAGGCCAGGAGGAACAATATATTCCCCGTCGTCACCTCTACAGCAGCTAATATGCCGAATGCGATGGCCATCAATCAAGACGGCAACGACTACACCTACTTCTCGACCATGAAATTCGGCTCTGAGGGACAAGAGATGTACATGCTGATCGACAGTGGCTCGGCCAACACCTGGGTCATGAGTTCGGATTGCGAGTCGTACGCTTGTCAGACACACAACACCTTCGGCAGTGAAGACTCGAGCACCCTCAAAACAACCACGCAAACATGGTCTATGACTTACGGTACTGGAGAAGTTGACGGCGTGGTGGCGAAGGACACCGTGCAGCTGGCCAATTATACCGTCAGCATGAACTTCGGACTCGCTTCAACTGCTTCGGATGATTTCAACAACTATCCCATGGATGGCATACTGGGCATCGGCCGGGCGACGTCGGATGCGCTGGACTCGCCGAGCATCATGCAAGTTTTGAGCGACCAGGGCCATCTGGCTGAGAACATTCTGGGCATTCACCTGCAGCGGAGCTCTGACGGCGCGAAAGACGGACAAATCACCTTCGGCGGTGTCGACTCGTCCAAGTTCGTCGGCAAACTGTCGTACGCGAAGACCATCAACAGCGATAGCTGGCAGATATCAGCAGACGACGCAGGCGTCGACGGCAAGGCAGTGGGATTTCAGGGCAAGACCGCCATCATCGACACCGGCACTTCATACATCCTGATGCCTCCGAACGACGCGGACGCCTTGCACCAACTCATCCCGGGCAGTTCTCACAACGGCGAGCGATATGTGGTCCCGTGTTCCGCCTCGGCGAACGTGTACTTTACCATATCAGGCATCAAGTATTCCGTATCACCAAAGGACTATGTCGGCAAGCAGAGCGGCTCCGGCTGCCAGAGCAACATCATCGGACACCAGCCTTTCGGCCCGAACGATTGGATCCTCGGCGATGTGTTCCTGAAGAACGTGTACACTGTCCTTGACTTTGACCATGCTTCGGTCGGGTTTGGAACGAAGGCTGGAACTACCGCAGCCAACGGCAGCAGCGCGACGTCCTCATCAGCCTCCTCTTCCGGGACGGGCGCTCCTTCCTCGTCAGGCTCGAACTCTACGGTTTCGAGTAAACCTTCGGCGACATCAGGGCTGGCATCTGGCGGATCAGCTGGCCCAACCACGTTCGCCACATCGACGACAGGAGCAGGCGGCTCGACAGCAAACGGTTCCGCCAGCGGTGCGGCAGCCACGTCGTCGGCCAGTACCGGGGACAGCAACGGCGGCAGCGACAGTGACCCCTTCAGCCAGGCGGGTAATACTGGATCGTCATCAGGCTCGTCTTCGTCTTCCAGCGCGGTCAGGTCGAGGTCCAGCTCCCTGATACCCATCATGGCCTTGGCGTTTGTGGTCGGGTTTGTTTTGTAATTTTGTGGTTTATCCGTCGGTCGCCCGATAGTCTTCCATCGATGGGGTGGCAGCAAAGAACGGTCTGGATCCCATCGTGGGCGTTGGTTGGATACCACGAGAGAGAGATTGGCATGTCATACATAGCGAGGATTCCCTAGCGTCAATTAGTATTGTTTAGTCATAGAGCCATGATGGCAATGGGCACCAGTCCGCAAAGAAAGAATATTACCTATTTCCCACCGGTCAGTGGTGGGTGTTGTATGAAAAGCAACAAAGTTCTACTCTATATGAGAGGTGTCGTTGTTGAACTCTGCCGGTTAATTTCCGTCCGAGGCCTCGTATACAGTAAGTAAGTACCTAGGTAAGGAAGGTATGTATGTGGCGGTCGGTCACTCGACTTCTAGGTTGTGACGAACATGGCTGCAAGAGGCATTACGGTCTCGAACAAGTGCGATGCCGGACACGCTTGGACGCAAGTGATACGGTACGTACGTACGTCTCAGAAGTCAAGAATGGCGATTTCCATATCGCAGTCTTTGAAAAGTGCTAGGCAGTTGACGAAGTATACTTCTTATAGAGTGCTATATAGGTATTTGACGGAGTACACTTCTTGCAGAGTGCTATGGATTTGACAGAGCTTTCAGAGAGCTACATATTTAACGGGGTCCACTTCTCACAAAGTGCTATGTATTGATCGAGTACTCCGTATACTTCTCACAAAATGCAACGACAGAATCACCAGCTGCGATTCCGTCTTGTTCCAGTTTTCGAAAAGCGCGACACCACATCCTCTTCATCTCTATTTGTCCTTGGCTTTGTTGACTTGTCTTGATCCATGTCTACATACCTATCCTGGCCCTTCACCTCCGTCCAGGGACTGCAGACTTCCTGGTTCGGCTCCCTCCTTCGAGGCTCGTCTCGTGTCAAGCCACTGACCAGCCCTTATCAATGCGTAATTCTGCGCCGTTCAATCCCACAGCGGTTGCCAGGAACAAGATTGCATTCGCCGCGTCAATGGGGTCGCAATTCCCACATTGTGTCGCCATGGTCGGCATCACCGTGTCCAAACCTACCTTATCCGGAAGCACCCTGCTGTTCTTCATGATCTCTGTTGCAACGCCACCGGGCAACAGGATGTTTGTTTGAATTCCCTCTTTAGCGTACATCCATGCCGTGTTGCGAGAAAGGCCGAGTAACGCGTGCTTGGAGGTCGTGTAGGCAACCCCTGCGGTGCCGCCTTTCACGGAGGCGAGCGAGCCGACGTTGACAATCCGGCCTTTCTGCTCGGCCTCCTTGGTGAGGAAATGCTTGATAGCAGCGCGCATGACGTTCAGCGGGCCATGGAGGTTGACATTCAGTACGCGGTTCCACATCTCGTTTGAGATGTCTCCTGTGCGTTCGAACTGATCCATAACACCAGCGACATTGCAAACGATGTCAATGGTAGGCCATTTATTCAAGACTTGTGTGATGGCGGCGTTGACCGATTCTTCGGAGGAGACGTCGCATTTGATGTTGAGCAGGTCGGGGCTTGATGAGTCCGAGGCGTCCACGACGTCTAATGCGGCGACTTTGGCTCCATGGGAGAGGAATAGTTGGGCAGTTGCGGCGCCGATGCCATTTGAAGTGCCGGTCACGAGCACGACCTGGAGCTATGTCAGTGCTTGAAGAGCTGGGAAGGCTTTTTGAGACGGTGACAGAAAGGGAGGGAATTGTGGGCATCTCTTGTTCTTTCTTCGGTGCTTACCTTGTCCTTCAAGTCCGCCATTGGAGAGATCTGGTATCTAAGTTGGTCGTCCTGTGTATGGACACGAAAGCGCGGCTGAGACAGAGCTTTTAGAGGAACATGACGGCCTTGCTTACACTGGTTCAGGCCACCCCCAAAACAGTCAACTCTTGCTGGATCCTACCCTCTTCATCGTTCTTCTTCCCTAGCATCGACTAGCTTACGATCGATGGCGGGAGATCATGGCCCGATCCTGGAGGTCTCGAGGACCACAGACGGTTGATAAGTACGGTCGTTCCGGATGGCCTTATTCAATAGGAGATGGAGGGGTCGCGTGGTTATGCGGGGTCAATTGCTGCTGCATAAAGTTATGAACGATGCTTCTGGTCCTGACGCGCGTTGCTGGAAGTACGAGAGACTGAGGAACGTGAAGCAGGAGTAAATGCGAGAAAGTAGGAGCGTAAGATCAATCCAAGATACCGGCTGAGTGCCCGATCTTTATAGCTTGATGCGAGGCCACCAGGAATCAGCAGCCGCGGCGAATCAACCGTGATCCACGCAGCCTGCCATCTTTATGGTATGGCTGTAGCGTTCACCTGACTGGAATTGCAGGTCAGCATGAAGCGCATCACCACCATCACGCCAGCGTAGTGACTTCTCTTCTTAGGCTCTGACGCGAAAGCAAGCTCCAAGTATAAAACGAAGAGCGGCAAGGCTGAAGCTTGTGACTTCGTCGGTTTTCTATTTGGTGCGTATGCGAAAACGTACTCAGTATCCTGCATTCACCAACTTCTCACGCTTACATACGTTGGGGCATCATCTCGCAACTCGTGGACATCCCTCTCTCTCTCTCACTGCTAACAGGCGAGATGAAAGTCCTGCGACATGCCAACAGATGATGAAGATAGCAACGGCTTCATCGGAAAAGTCCCTAATGGCAAGATCGAGAGTTACAGGCACCTGCTGGCATCGGCGGACGACACCCCTTCCGAGTCTCGAGATCGAGACTCTCCGACCGAGTCAGTCGGCCATGGAAGCCGCCCACCCTCCCTGAGACAGTCGTCGCTCTCCCACCCTCGTCCGCCCGGTACTCCTCGAACCAACAACAGGGTGCGGTTTGACCTGGAACACGTTGCGAGCAGTCCGCAACCAGAAGAATGGGTAGACGAGGAGGACTACCTCAACTCCCCGAGCCAGCGCGCTCCGCTGCTGACCGACATCACTCCGCCGTCTCAATCTCCCTTCCTGTCCGAATCCTTCCAGCCGGAGGATTACCTGCCCGATGCGAGGCCCAAGAGTGGGATGTCGAGTGCGTTTATGAACATGGCCAACTCAATCATTGGGGCCGGGATTATTGGTCAACCATACGCCTTCCGACAAGCCGGGATGACAATGGGCATCATCCTGCTGGTGGCTTTGACAGTGACGGTGGACTGGACCATTCGTCTGATCGTGATCAACAGCAAACTGTCAGGCGCAGACTCGTTCCAGGCGACAATGCAGCATTGCTTCGGGTCGAGTGGTCTTGTGGCCATCTCAATCGCGCAATGGGCCTTTGCTTTCGGAGGCATGATTGCTTTCTGCATCATTGTGGGGGATACGATTCCTCATGTCATGGAGGCCTTGATCCCAGGGTTGAGAGATGTGCCTTTCCTATGGCTTCTAACCGATCGGAGAGCCATCATTGTACTTTTCGTCCTTGGTATCAGCTGGCCGCTGAGTTTGTACAGGGATATTGCAAAGGTAGGATACGCTTTCATCGCTCTTTAGATCACTACTGACCCTTGCAGCTGGCAAAAGCATCTACACTGGCGTTGATCAGCATGTTGATTATCATTGTGACCGTTGTCACCCAAGGAGCCAGTGTCGATTCTGAACTGCGCGGAAACTTAAATGGGCTTCTTTTCGTCAACGACGGGTTCTTCCAGGCAGTAGGAGTCATATCGTTTGGTAGGGCTCTGTTGCATTGGAATCACCCGAGCTAACGTCTCCAGCGTTTGTTTGCCATCACAACTCGCTACTAATCTACGGCTCTCTCAAGACGCCAACCATAGACCGATTCGCGACAGTGACGCACTACAGCACCTTTATCTCCATGATAGCCTGTCTGGTCATGGCCTTGGCAGGGTTTCTGACGTTCGGCAACAAAACCAAAGGCAACGTCCTGAACAACTTTCCCTCTCAAGGACATGTACTGGTTCAGATTGCTCGGCTATGCTTTGGGCTCAACATGCTCACGACTCTTCCCCTCGAATGCTTCGTCTGTAGAGAGGTCATGAACAACTACTGGTTTCCCGAGGAGCCTTATCAGCCGAACCGCCATTTGATCTTCAGCAGTGCTCTGGTGGTTACCGCTATGGCCATAAGCTTAATCACATGCGATCTCGGTGCTGTGTTTGAACTCATCGGAGCGACGAGCGCTTGTGCTCTTGCCTACATCTTACCACCGCTGTGTTATATCAAGCTGAGCACCAGAAGCTGGAGAACAATCCCTGCTGTTGCATGTATTGTATTTGGCTTCGCTGTGATGGCTGTCAGCTTGATACTCGCTATGAAGAAGATTATCAAAAGTAAGTAAGCGTCTGACCTATTCCGTGGGTATCACTGACACAATTTTCCGCAGATGAAGGTCAGCACCAGCAGTGCTAGAACGGTAGATACGGAATGATAGACAACTTCTAATGTGGATGATGCTCGATAGACACGACATGTCTAGAGACAGAAACAGAGATTCAGATGGTCTGCCAGCCATTTCTCGAAGGGACTTGCTTTTGCTGCCCCGTTCTCCCCGTTTCGCTAACTACGTTGAAATGATTAAGGCCTGGGATATTGATGGTTGATACACACGAGTAACCATTTCCCAAGAGTTGTAGGGGGTAAGTTTCGTTCTTGAACCCTTGACATCATTTCGCAACACCTCAACTCGCGATGGGCATTCGTATGGGTCTCTGCGGTGATGGGAGATCTGTCGACATACATTGGCATTGTGACATCGAACAGCCTGTACCGCTCGTCTGAGCATTGAGCACACATCGTTACGGCCTTGATCACTTTTGACGCTGACAGGCTTGATCGTACATCTGCCTCACATGTTGTTTCCTCACCTAGCCTGCTAAAGGCATCCCACGAGGAGTACGACGACAGCCTTCCAAGAGCACTGCTGTACACGCTTTTCCAGCCTGCCATGCAATCCAAGGACTTCACGTGATGTACGATTTTCCGCTCCCTCTCGCATCAATACCGAGAAGCAAAAGAAGCGGGACCAAGAACCAAATCACATTGGTTACGCAAAGGCCCACGCCGCGACTCGGACCTGAGAAACACCCCTACCTCAGCACATCCTCCTTGGGCCAGATCACGAAGTTTTACAGACCCAGCAAGTCCGACATGATAGCAACATCAAGGACGTTCTTAGCGAATATCTCTCAACGGACCACTCCAGGTGGAGGATAACGCTATCCCAAAGGGAATATCCTCCCGATATTGGACGAAGAACGGAGTGGCGTATCACTACCCTCATTCATCGCCATCGCCGGTCTTACGTGGCTGGTTAACGACCACGGAAATTCGGGCGGATCGTGTCCCTGACTTGCGTCAGAACAGGAGGAACCTCTTTAACAAATGGACCACGTACATGGGAGTCGATCTGCTAGCTGCCCGCAAATCTTATACTGTACATGGTGAATCCTGCGACGACCACAACCACCTCGGTCCTCTTTCACGACTTGTCATCGCCGATGCGACTGGGGGTATGTCTACATCTCTCCCCGGCCGAGATAAGAATTCACAACGAGGAATTACCATGGCCACCGCGAAGAAAACCCTACAAACTCGAACTTTAACTCAACCCGCGCAGTCATGTCTCAGTCAATCAATCGATTACTGAGTCTCGGTCCGGGTTGTATACTTACAAAGATACAAACATACCTACATACAGACTCCGTACATACGCACTATATTCCGCCCGTCGGCGATCACGAGTAATCTCGGGACGCGCCCGTGCAGGAAAGAGGGGCTATGTAAATTGCCAGAGTACCTTAGCTGAATACATAAGCACATAAGTATTAAATACATAGCTGCCTGTCCGTCACGCGTGTCGTTAACGGCGTTGACACCGCTACGAGTGCCCGACGTGGCGCTCGACTGTTGCTATCTATCGTAAGTGAGTGGGTAGGCAAGCGTGGCAAGAACGGGATTGTGAAATGATCATAATACAGTGCCCTCACTCGCTCACTGACTTTTTCTCGCACTGATCGACTGATTGACTGGCTGGCTCACTCACTTACTCACTCACATTCACCCCGTCTCACCGTCACATAGTCTCTCTATCTCACACTCATTGACCGACTTACTCACTTACTTACTTACTCCCTCCCTCACACTCACACAGTCTCTCCGTCTTATACTAACTGACTAACTCACTCACTCACTCACTCACTCACTCACTCACTCACTCACTCACTCACTCACTCACTCACTCACTCACTCACTCACTCAGACTCATTCTCACTCAGACTGACCCACTCACTCACTTACTCACTTACCCCTCCCTTATACTTACACGGTCTCTAGCTCACACTGACTGACCGACGGACTAATTAACTGACTAACAAGAAACCATACACGTCTTTAGTCCTTCTCCATCCTCATGTTAGAATTTCCTCACGTCTCGATAGGCAGATTGTGCTGATCGTCATGCCACCGCCACCTACCCTCCTAGTCCTTCCCTTCCCTTCCTTTCCTTCCAACGTATCCTTTGTTCGGAGCTCGGCTGTTCGAGAGGATCGAGACAGGCCGGGCCGTTAGTCCATCAGAACAGCAGGCAAACAGGCAGATAGGCTACGGCGATGTATTGATGCCGAGGGCGCAATCCATCTCGGAATCTCAATCTCGACATCGCACACTATACGATGGAACGATGGAAGGGTGGTCACTACTTAATGTAGGAAACGAGGCATTGCATTTTCAACCCTGGTTTTTTTTTTAATTTCATTTCTTTTCATGGCACTATCGTGGCACTTTCTCAGGAGCGCAGAGCTCATTGCTCATCTCACTGTCGTGGCACTTCTCATAGTGCGGTCTTGCTCATCTCACTGTCGTGGCACTTCTCAAGTGCATAGCTCTTGCTCATCTCACTGTTGTGGCACTTCTCAAGTGCATAGCTCTTGCTCATCTCACTGTCGTTGCACTTTCCCTCCAGTGCGATGGAAGGCTCATCTCGCTTTCCCAGGAGTGCAAGCTCGTCTTCTCCCTGTTGTGGCCCCTTTTCAGCAGTGCACAGCTCATTTCATCGTTTCACATTTCACATTTCACATTGCACGCCTCTGTTGCTTGTCTCTTGAATCTCCTTGATGCAGCTCACCCCTCAGAGTCTGCACCATACGATTGTGTAGGTGCTCTGACATCTCAGTCACTTCACTTCTTGGCCTTTCTCTCGGCTCTCTTCGCCGCGATCTTGGCCTTCTTCTCGGCCTTCTTCGCTTCGTCGGCTGCTTTCTTTGCCTCATCAGCTGCCTTGCGCGCCGCGTCTCTCCCCTCTGTCTCTTTCTTCTCACGCTCCTCGGCGGCAGCCATCGCGCGATGAGACTCCTCCTCAGCCTCGCGATCGATTTGGGCCGAACGCTCGAGAATGTCTTCCACGGCAGCAGCACGACGCTCGCGAACTACACGCATTCTCTCAGCCAGACGTCGCTCGTTCTCTTCGGCAACGCGCTCATCTCGGAGGCCTTGGATCTGCATGCGTTCCAACTCCCCAAGCCAACCAGGCATACCGCCAATGTCGAACGAGTAGCCCTGTTCACGAGCACGAGCGTTGATTGTGTCATTTCCAGTGGGGCAAGGGGTAGGTCTGGTTCTTGTAGCCCCGGCTTGTTCGGCGCGGCGTTGCTCCTCGACTGCATTCAAGGCATCGTCTCTTCCCTCCTGCAACGCAGCTTGGGTGGCTGCAGTGGCGGTGGGGCGGAGAGGCATTTCCCGGCGGGCGGCAGCAAGGGTCTCAGAGCGTAGAAGGCGTTGTTGAGCCTGCGCAAAGGCAGCGCGACGGGCAACTGGATCCAGGCCTTGAGCAGCATCTAATTCGGCTTCGATTTCATCGTAGAGTCTCTGCATGGCGCGACGAGAAGCTGCGGTTTGACGTGGTGGACCTTGACGGCGAGAAGCTGCAGTTTGACGTGGCTGCGCTGGAAGACGAGAAGCTGCAGTCGGACGCGGAACGTCTGGGAGATGATGAGGAGCTGTAGTCTGACGTGGCTGAACAGGCAGACGACTGGGACCGGCGACAGCGCGGGAGGTGGTGTGGGCACCAGCGTTGCTGTCATCAACAAGAGCCATAGCGTCGCGAATGTCTTCAGCGCTGATGTTGGAAGGACCAAGGAAGGCACCACGAGGGGGCGGAGCTTGACCGCTCATGATTGCGCGGGCAATCGAAGCAAAGTCCGGTTCATCGGCGTCAGGAGTGACAGCACTGGCAGGGAGAGAGGCATGAGCACTCATCATCGTTCGAGCAATCGCAGTAGGGTCATCAGCACTGACGCCAGATGTGACAGCACCAGCGATATCGCGGACAGCTGCAGTGAAGGATTGGGGACCAACACCGGTAATGACGAATTGCTCATTGTTGAGGGGGTGGACTCTGTACTCGGTAGGAGCTGGAGCCACAGGCGGAGCAGTGCGACGCTGATACTCTTCAATGGTCTCATTGCGACCGTGTCGTTGACTTGCGGGAAGAGGTTGCATGATGTCGTCAGTAACGTCCTCAGTCCCAGCGGCAGCTCCGGCGCCGGCAGCAGCTGCATTGCTAGTGAGAGCACTTGGAGCTGGCCGACGACGACCATCGCGGCGTGGTCGACGAGGAGGTGGGGGCACATCAGCGCCTTCGGCGACAGAGCTTGCATCTGCAAGATTGCGTGGCTCGGTGTTTCGCGCAGTGGCAGAACGAGCAGCACGAGGGCGGATTGGCGTGCCGAGATATTGGCTCAGACCAGCAGGTGGGCGGGCGCCATACATTGACAGCGCTTGCGTCGCCATTTCCATGGTGGTGAGAGGGTCATCGTGAGCAAGACCAGAGGGAGGGGTGAGAGCAGGAGCGGGATTGGTGATGGCAGCTTGACTGCTGGCTGGAGGGTGATCGGTGACGGCCGCTTCATCGCTGGCACGCGCGATGTGAGCGGGAGCAGCTTCATTGCTGGCGGTTGTGGCATTGGCAGGACCACTGCTGCTGGCCTCACCGGCAGTGTCACCTTCAGCGACTTGAGTGTTGTTCCTCTCGTCCTCCTTGGCCTTTGCGGCCTTCTTGGCTGCGCGCTTGCGAGCCTTCTTCTTCTGTTTTTCGAGGGCGATCGCCTGCGGATCGTAAATTTGTCCCATCTCACCAAACATGAAGAGATTCGGTTCTTCAGCCATGTTGCTCGCTCTGGCGTTCTCGAAGAGGCGAAGTGGGTTCAGGGAAGAATTCAGGAGATGTTTGCCTCTGACGAAAGCGCGGATGGCAATGAGGCCAAGGTAGACAAAAGTTTGGACGCTTTCGTGGAGCGGATCTTCAGTGAACTCTGGCTGCTCGGGAAGGCTTGGCAATTGGTCTCGCGCACAATTGAGGGCAAATGTGCGGATTGATTCGAGCGCGCTGGCTTCGGTCTTTCCGGACAGGTACTGACAACCCGTCTCTAGATCTTCAATGAGGTGGACGTTTTCAAGCGCACCAGGCTCGCGGCAGGCGTTGGCAAGAACTCCCAGAATGTCGGTATCCAGTCGCCAGGTCTTTTTGCCAGTCTCTGCGTCGGTGTCGAGAAAGGCAGCGGTGAAGATTTGAATGAAGACGCGGTCGCCCGCTTCTTCACTATTGAATATTTTTTTGCCCTCTTCAAAGGCCTGAAGGGGAGAATTTGTGTCAGTTTTGACGCGGCCGAGACTTGTCAATGGGGGGTTGGAAGGGAAAGACTTACAAACTCCGCAAGGATTGTCTTGGTCGCGCTCTCAATCGTGGCGCGGTCAAGATTGTCGTCGTCCTCTTCTGGGGCGGGCGAAAGGGAAGCAGGAGAAGACGGAACTGCTGGTGGTGGTGGTGATTCTGGCTCTGAAGAGGACCCAGAGTCTAGGCCGTAAGAGAACAGTGCATTGTTTGCGCGCTGCACCTGCGCAGCCCGTGGGAACTTGTTCGCCTTGGTTCCTCGACCCATTGCGGTTCAGTGCGCTGCGGTCTGCAGCGATGAGATGCGTGGGTTGGTGGTGTTCGGTCTGCAGTAGTGGTGGTAGTGGTAGAGAAGACCGCAGCGACGAGGACCGCGAAAGTGTGAAATCTTCTGTGAAGCGCTGGCGCACATTCTGCGCACCGCTTGGCGGAGGCAGCGACGTGCTCACCCATCTTCACTGCAGGTCCGGTCGTAATGGGTGAGCACGTCGCTGCGCGGTGAGCCGGTGAGGTACTGAGGTGAAGTGAAGCAACGGGGTGAATCTGGGGCGTTAATATGGGGATGTTTTAGCGCGCCTTGGCAGGGGCAGCCTTCCTCAGCCTCGTCCCTCTAGTGCACAAGGGTAAAGTATGATGCATGTGGAAAATGCACACTTATGCACGAGACACACCACGATCAACATTCTTTGCTGCCCTGATGGTGATGGTGATGAAGCATACTGCGACTTGAAGCAAGTCTACTGTTGTCCACCCGTCATACGGCCTGTTTTCAAAGACATCAGCCTGGTGCTGGCCTAATGCAGCCACAACACAGTACGAGCATTTTGCTGAAGTGTTATCCCATTTGTCCCCTTTGTCCCCTTTGTCCCCTTTGATGATGGAGGATTCTTACCTTCAAAGTTGTCACAACTCAAATCCACTCATTGACCGCAGCATACACCTCCACGTCCATCTTCTGTCCTTTTGTATCCCTCACGCTACGTGTTCTTGACCCCAGCAGGGTCGGAACAGGGGATGTATGTATGTACGTTGCAACAGGAGCACCCCCACACGGCTGCATATTACATTTTGTTTATAGCACGGGAGCTCCATACCTAGCCCCGTAGTCCTCACATACACATCACATGAACACACAACCACCACCACCACCATCTACAATGTACAATGTACAATGTACAGGGAAGGAGCCGGAGGGGCGAGAGTACTCCACTACAACTGGCATCAACCACGTCCCACTATGGTCTTCTCTATCTTACACAGGGCATGACTTTGACCCCCTACGACCCTCGTACCTACGTACCCGCTTGGTCATCTGGAATATACCCCGTTCTACACGAATGGCTGATGTATCAACGCCAGTCACGTCCAGGCCTTCGACATTTCAATGTCGCCTATCTCGAACCTCGTCCTCACTGCACCCACTTAAATAGCGAAGCGGTCTCCAGACAACATTCGGCCGAAACGCCACTGCAGTCAAACAATCGATAGGGATTGGTCGTCAATGGCAAAAGGTGGATAGCATCAATCATTGACATCGTTAATGGCGAAGCTGGTATCTCGGTACTTGGTCATTTCAAGGCCCACAAGTCCACTCCCTCCACTGCATGTAGCCCACCAAATGCAATGGATCATATACCCACCGTGTCTATACACGCGCCCTAACCACCAAAAACACCCAGCTCAATCATGTACCCCCACTCAGCTACCCATATACATATGCTGCTGTCCTGGTACTTGTTGGGGGTTGGCAAAGTCCATCCCGGTCCCGCTGACGTACCCGTCTGAAATATCTTCGTCATAAAACTCCCCGCCACTCGACCCATCGAAACTGGGCCGCCCCATACCCCCGACATCACTCAGATCACCCGGATCGTCCGCCACAGAGGAAATCTGACTCCAGTCGATGTTCTGCAGCGCAGGGTATTGTTGCAGCAACGCCGCGGGCAAGGCAAACCCACCGGTCCCGGTGCTTGGATCCATTCCAATCATCATAGGTTGGGGCATGGGTTGTAAACCGCCCTGCTGAGTATATTGGGCGTGTTGAGCTTGTTGCTGTTCCATCCTGGCTCGGTTCTGGCGCTCTGCCTTTTCTTCCTCGAGGAGAGGCTTAATGCATATCCTGCCAGCTTCGCTGCGGAAATGTCGACCGAGGGCATCGGCTCGCGCAAATCGTCTTCCGCAACCCCAGTGTTGACCGGGCGTGGAGTGGAGTTCACCTTTACACACGAACTTCTTCTCGCCGCTATGCAAACCCTCGTGCCGTTTGCGATCGTGCTGCCTCGCAAACGCTTTCCCGCAGACGGTACAGACGAAAGGCCGCTCGTCAGTATGCGTCCGCAAATGCGAGCGTAGGTTATAGGCCCGAGTGAAACGCTTCGGGCATAGAGTGCATTGAAACGTGGCCGGGTGTTTTTGAACCCTCGTGCTCGTTCCGGACTGAGACGCATTAGGTCTGTTTGGATCCGCCAGATCAAGAATGTAATCCCTGTTCTGACCCATGGACGAGGTACTGGCTCGCCGGTTCTTGTCGATGCGGCCTGACTGCACGCCGGGCCCGGGAGACGATTCCCGTGACATGGAACCGCCGCGTTCAGGAGTGCTAGAACGTACGGATAGACTGTTACGGGCTGCATTGGTTGCTGTAAGGCCAGGCGAACTCGACCTTGACAGTGGACGTGTGAATGTGACATCGGACTTGCTTCGATTCCTACCTCCTATATGTACTGTCAGCTCAATTTCAGTATGTATGGCGTAGTCGTATCTTACTGTTGCTGGAAGGTGGACTCAAAGCACCTTCCATCGTATCTCCTTGTGGTCCGAAGCTCTGCTGCCTCGAAACAGGCGCCGGTTCGATATTGATTGTTGGAGGCGCAAATTGATCAGCCTGCCCAATGTCTGAGACGACTGAGGTATTTCGCATGTGGTTACTTGGTACAACAGGAGCTTGGACGTGATATTGTGGGGGTGATTGAGTCGAATACACATCCGGAACCGGGATGCCCATGGGCTGGCTCAGCAAGCCACTACCGTCCATCCCGGTACCGGGTTGGCTTCCTTCCAGATGGGGCATGAGCCTGGGCGACCGGTAAGCCTGGTCACCCAGGTTGAAAGATTCTATGCCAAAAGTATTGCTGGAATCGGGTTGCGCGGGGAGATAGGGAGAATGGCTGAGATCCACTCCCGTATTATGCAGTTCTGCGTGAGCAAGATAAGGGGAGTGTTGCGCGGATGAAACCTCACTGTGCTCTGATGGCGCTCTCCGATGCTGGGTGAAGCTAAGACCGGAATAGGCGCTTGAAGGGTCAAGCGAAGCATTTCGTGAATGCTGCGGAGTATAGAACTGGCCATTGGTCGAAGCCGGTGAGCCAGGTTGAGAAGACTGGGTCTGGTTCTCAGGCGGCTGCAGCCCTGGAGATTGATGGTCTTGGGGCGAAGATACCTTGCTCAACTCTGCCGGATTGACATTGTTCTGGGGATTCATGTCAAAGACCTGGTTCATGGAGTAGGCCTGGTTGAAATCATTGTTCATGTTATCGCTCTGATATATGAAGCCGCCGTTATTGTAGGACTGACCCAGATTCTGACCTCCGAATTGATTGTCCGCGTAGATATTCTGGTGATATTGGCCGTTGTCATAGAAAGTGGTCTGGTTGGGGTCAGCCTGGAGTACGCCCTGTTGTTGCGAGGCAAGAAAAGGGTTGTTGAAGACGTTTGCCGTGTTGAATTTGCCGTGGGTCAAGGCTTGCTGTATGGAAGGGTCGACACCTTGCACTGTATTGGGGTAATGGTTTGGTGAAGGTTGAGGGCTTATGTGCTGGGCATTGCCTCTTGAAGGGGATCTTCCCCGGGTGTTATCCATCTCTTGGACTTCAGCTCCCGCAATGCTCCACTACCGGTCGTGTCAAGGATGCCGGTGGCTGGACGTAGTAAGAAGCGCTTGAGGGGGCCGACGATGACACTCCTTCCGGAGAATTTGGGTTGTCGGCGATGGCGCAACGTCTCGAAAGAAGTTCGATTCGCGCCAGGGGTTGGCAAAGAGGTGTACTTTGAGGATTAGCCTGTGGCGCAGCGAGTTAGAGGAGACATTCTCCCTAAGATAAGTGAGTGACCGGGCTAGCAACCTACTTAGCCAGGCAGTGAGGCTGTGCCACAATGGAATGGGCTATAAGGTCGCCAGGATGCCCAATGACTCAGCGAGTAGGGAGAGGTAGGTTTTCTGATTGGCGCGACGCCGATGCAGGTCGATGGGAAGGTCGGCGACGGTTTGTGATCAATCTGTGGTGTGAGTGTGAGGCGAGCCGATATTCACGACGGCTAGCTGGAGAAGGTCCAGACTGCGGGGACGAAGACCGGTAAGATAAACCAACAGCGACTGCACAAATCGCACAGGACTGCCAGGGAGAGACAGCCAGGTGGTGGAAGCAAATCGCCGAGTATATCCAAGATGCGACGGATGTGAATTGTGAGACGTTGGGTGTGGGTGTAGGAGCGGGAAGGTGAAGGCGGGATGAAGGAAGATCGAGATGTGAGATGTCGCGCCGAACGGCGTCCCTACTCGTAAACGTGCGGTTCCAAGGTGTCGGCGGCACGCTTGAGACCATCCGGGCTGATCGCTTCAGCTCTGGCTGGCATGGGAGAGACCATTTCTGCGTTTCCTCAGGCTACTCTGATTGGTTTGCCTGGGTGCTGTTCACGGACCAAAAGGCTACCAAAGGTCCCGCGAGGCATCACATCCAGTTCTACAAGCTGTATACTTCTGAACAGCACCTGGATCTTGCTCAACTCGCACTCTTGCAAATGACACCAGGACTACGCTCAATACCAACCCTGGCCTGTCCCGAAAAACATGGCCATCAGACTCCCGCACCCCATTACATGCTTCAGACCTGCTTCTATTTCCAGTGCCAACTCATCGCGACTACACAGTATCAGTCCTGATCCGCCTGTCCTTCTCGAGACCAGGGTACGGAGACCTATCCAATCGAGTGCAGTATTATGAGCGGGAATGGATGGCATAGGACCATATTCGGTACAGAGTTGAATAAGAGCCTCGCAGTGTCCACTGCAATGAATGTAAGCTCTGGTGTTCTGGAAGGCGACGCCTGAATTACCCTGCATAACGGCTGCCTTCTGTGAGCCCTTCACGGCCCTGATACCGGACCCACACGTACCAAAGGCCACAATCACCGTGTCTGCCTTGCATAAATCGCCCCTCCACCAAGACCACCTGTCAGCAAACTTATCTTGGTGCCATGGTTCCTGGTGATCATGACGTTGAGTACCACGCAGTCAACGCAAAAGTCAAGGTAATGTGCAATCGACGCGTGGACAGTGTCTGTTTGTTTTCATTACTGCTTCTTGCCTTGCATGATCTCCCCAAGTTTTGCGGTCCCGTTTCTATGTTACAAAGCACACCCTCGTCTATGCTCGGAGACGAAACTTCACCTCTTTGTTCTGTTCCCTCAGTCTCTGCCATGCTTTTCTTGTAGAACTTCTCTTGCGAACTCCTCGTTGTGCCAGGGAGCGCCTTTGGATTTTGGTAGCTGGTGACCCCGTGAACGCCATGCTCCCCACCTGGAAAATGCTGCCGTAGATAACACCCTGCTGAGCCTTGTACACATAGAAAACATACGGAAACAAGGAGATATGCCGTGCGGAAAAAGAATCGTCATCCATCGTGAAGGGATTTCGTGTCTTCGGCTGTCCTGCCTGCCGCGCGACTGAGTAATTGAGCGTTCCAGCCGAACCTCGGTCGTGGACAGGTAGATTGAATTTCTGCCCAAGAAGAAGCCTATGTGCTTCCGCCAACGGTGCAAAGTTCATGATATGGTTATGATTTGGACGGTAGTCATTGCAGAAGTTGCGACTTGGGCGCCTGGCATGTATGCGTACCACGGGATGGTATCCCTGGATGGGGAATTCAACCTGCTCACTGGTGAGTATACAGACGACATACCAAGATAGACAGAAAACGTACCGCAGCATAGCACCTTCATGATCTTTTGCATGAAACCTTGGTTCTGCTGCTCCTGTTGCGGCGCTGGACGCCCTTGGCTGCCCTGCAGGGCTCCAGTCGCGGGACTCGTTCTCGCTTGCTGATTCACCAGATTGGCATTGCTGTTCTGGAATTGAGCTTGGGTGCTTGCTGGAGGAGTGTTCATGTCGAGTTGCCCGGCTAAACCACTACCTCTCTTCGGGAGATTGCCCCCGGCGACGCCGCTTGTGCGATCTCGAGCGCTCTTCCCCATGGCTGCCACTCCGGGTTTTGCGGGTGAGCCTGGGGGCGGGGGCTGCGCTGCGTTTAAACGATCCGCCGATATTCCTGCTCGCTCCCGTGGAGTTCGTGTCCCATCTCTACCTTGCACGGCAGAGGCCCCATGCAGAGCGCGAGCAGATGCTTCAGCTGGAGGATTGGTATTGTGCAGATGAAGTTGAGATGGATGCTGCTTGACAGCTTCCCAGCCGCGGCCGCCGTTCAACTTCATCCAGTCATACTCGCCATCTTCAACCTCGCCGGTATTTTTCAGCGCCTGAGTGAACAGATCTCGCAGGAAATCGTAGTCCGGGGTGTCTTCAAATCCAAGATTCCGAACGTAGCTGAGATATTTGTTAAACTCCTCTGTGACCACGTTAGCACGACCACACAATTGGTTGGCTGGATCAAATTCCGACTTACCAGGGAAGCCTTCACACAGATCTTTAATGGCAGTTGTCTGTTTCTTCTCGCCAATCTTTTCGTATTTCTGCTTGTTGGTCGCGGCCTTGAGGCCCTGCCATGGAAGGCCCCCTCTCAGAAAGTACATGAAAACATGGCCTAGGGCCTCCAAGTCGTCTCTTCGCGACTGTTCTCGTCCCAGATGTGTGTTGATACTCATATAACGGGCTGTACCAGATAATGATTTTCGCTCGCGATAAGGAATGTGTTGCTTTGTCTTGGGATCACGGTATTGTTTGGCCATGCCAAAGTCCACTACGTGAATGACGTTGGCAGCTTTCGTGTTAGGTCGGCCAATGAGGAAGTTGTCAGGCTTGATGTCACGGTAGATGAGGTTTTTCTCATGGATGGTCTGCACCCTGGAAAGCTGTGGACGAGTCAGCCAAAGCCACATGTGTTTGAACGAGATCGTACCATCTGCTTGGCAACCATAACAACTGTTTTGATTGAGAACCGTCTGTTGCAGTGATCGAAAAGGTCTTCCAGACTGGGACCAAGGAGATCAATCACCAAGATGTTGTGCAGACCTTCCTGCCCAAAATAATAGACATTGGGGATGCCAGCTAACAACAGGGTCAGTAATTTGCTCGGACGACAAAGGTCGCGGCGCATGTAGCTTACGGCAACCGACCAAGATCTTGTATGTCCTGTACTCATCGCGCAGCTGAGGGGCATCGCTTTTTCTAGGTTCCTATGCACCATTTATAAGTTTTCTGACCCGTCAACTATCTCACGCCGTTAGAGCTCACGAATTTGATAGCGACCTGCTGGTTGTTGAGCAGGTTGGTGCCTTCGAAAATAACGCCAAATGAACCCTCCCCTATCTTCTTGCCGACGCGATAGTGCACCCCGACGACGTTGGACGATGAGGATGCCATGATCAAGTGAATGCAGTCCCGGCGTGCAGGCGGAACGTATGGACGGGTGATTGAAGATTGTCAACGGCGTGGTGGTCGCGGAGAAAGAGGGCGTCTGAGGCTGGGTGCGAAGTGCGAGTTCACGCCTCCGCCACCGCGGTCACTGCGGAGGTCAGTGAATGTGCACAAAACTGACACGAGATGTCGAGATGGCCGAGGGCATACACTAAGAAAAAGGCCGCGGAAAGATAGGGCACATGCGGCGTGATATTCTGGCGGTCGATGAGGATGGCACCGGCGCAGGTGTGGTGTTGTTTTGTCTCGAGGAGATTGAAGTTCAGCAGTCAGAGCGAGGGAGCTCCTGCCAAGCCTGAGCAATGGCTGTAGCCGCAGTCCTGCCACCCAGTCGCCCACTGAGCCACTGCACTCCACTAAGAGGGTCTGTGGACACACGCCGACATGCAGACACTCCCCGTCCGTCCTTCAGTCTGAACAAAGCAAAGGAGCAATTCGGCGAGGACAGAAGAACAAAGATGACAGGCATCAGGACCATCATATTTTCTCGTGTGGCTCCGCACGCCCAGGGAAGCGGGCAGGAAGCTTGACTCGGATGCGGCTACGACAGCGGCGGTGAGGCTCCTTCAGGAAACATCTGCATCCACGAACAGCGATGCCTGGAGGCTAGAACGCGCCGTTAACCGCCCACACCATCACCCATCCTGAACAAAGCAGCAGGGCTAGAATCTTGTTCGACGAATCGCTGCCATGCTCCAGTCTGTGTTCCTCAACGATCCAAAAGCCCAACTGGCCGTGGCAGGCATGCCTCACTTGTTCCTCTTCCATGAGCAGACGCCCTGCGACTCGAGCCAGAACCATGATCGATAATCTGCCCTATTCTTGGCTTTACCCAATCCGCGCAGACTCCGGGCAGGAGCTGGGGACAGGATGATGCATCCCTTGCATAAGCCTTTGACGGTGGGCCTGATCACCACTCTGCTCCGATATCGTTTTGGTGGGCGTCCTTCTCTATTTGTTACGACCTATTGTACACATTTAAAAACAGTTGAAACCAAGCCCTGCACTGGCTCTCTCTGAAAACAAAATAGCATGATCATCGGACCCTTCCCTGTTGCAACTATGTTCCAACGCTTGAGCGCAAGAACCTAAACACCCCAAGCATGCTCCGTACCGATGGCTGTCAAGTTAGATATCCGCTCGAGCGTCGAGGCTCCATAACGCCCCCATGCAGTCACAATGCAAGCCACGCCGCGCAGCTTTGCATTTTCCACACACCGCAACGTCCCGATCTCTTCTTCTTCCTCCTCCTCTTCTGCAACCCCTGTTTAGTATACTCCGTACAAAGGTATCAATGCCCAAGCTAGATAGCTGTATCGACGTCCCGGATATGCGTTGGAGCTTCTACATGAAACCCTTTCTCAACGCAACTGTTTGCCTGGATCAACCATCATCTGCAGGTTTTCCTCCACGTCCTTTTCCTTGCCCCTCTCCACACTTCGTCCAACCCTAATTACTTCCTCGCCGACAATGCCGTAGGAGAGCTGCCACCTCCCGTCGACTGACTACCATACCGCATCACTTTTCTCAGTGGGGAAGGCGTTGTCGGCTGGAACGGAGAAGCTGGGACCGCTGACGGCTGCAAATCGGTATGCTCATCCTTCCTGAAAAGTCCTCCAAAGTGCAAACTCCTGCTCTTCTTAACCACGTTTCCTGCAATATTGGTCAGTTTTTGATTCGCGTCCCGTTGGTGCAAGGGTCCGCCTGTGACCGTCGAGTTGTTGTCAGGTTTGGATCTCGAGAATAAACTGACACCACTCCTACTTTTCTTCAACAACCCGGAGTGTCCTTTGGCTGAGCTGCGGTTCTTGATGGGACTTCGGGTTGGTGTTGGGGCTGCAACCTGAGCTTTGCCGGTTTCAGAGAGGGCAACTTTGGCTGATCGAGGTGTATCACGAGCGTACTGGCTGAGATCGCCGAGTGAAGGCGAGTATATTGGAGCATCCTCAAGTGAGATAGAGTCGGAGTCGGTGTCAATCTCTGCTGCCGGAGTCGCTGCCTGCGGCCGCGCACCAGCTTGAGGAGTACTGCTGTCTGCCGGCATGATCGGGACCGTTCGATTTGCAACAGCCAGCGGAACAGCCATGGTACCCGGTGGATGCATCCTCAAGGGGTTGACACCTTGAGAATCCTCGAGTTCAGGTGCAGAGGCTACATAGCCATTCTTCTCATTCGAGAATACTATCGGAGACAAGACAGACCGGCCAGCAGCAAGTGCGCTATGCTTGGGGTTGCCACTCGATGTATTCGCAACTGACGGTACACCCCGCTGTGGTACTGGTGGGCGACGCCTTGCATTGCTTCCCAGAGTCGAGAATGTGGACACTTTTCCCCGAGACGACGCAGCTATCAGTTGGCTGACCGGAGGTGCAGGTTTTGATGGCGAGATGGGTGGGAAAGGTTGCCCTGCATCCTTCGGACTACCGAGGGCTTTGTCTCCCTTCTTTAGGCTGAAGAGAGATGACCTTGAACGAAGGAAGGACATGTTGCGTGGAAGCGTGGAGTAGAAGTCGAGTTTGTCGACCGCGCTAGCAAAGGATTTGGTAAGAGAGCCAAAAGGTGAATCGTTGTCGCTATGTTCGGCAGCACAATCTGTCGTGGGGACGTCTATGATGTCGCCCAGCAGAGGCGGGTCTTGGGCAACTTTGGATTCTGCTATACTCTTGGTCGTATTCAGAGACCTGCGTCGAATGTGGGCATTGCCTGTAAGTCCTTTGATCTTCCCTTTGTAGAGATTTATCGTTTCCGCACGACGACTCGATAAACCTCGCATCAGTGCTGGCTGGTCAGCCACCCTCGTCTGTCCACCTTGTTTCTCCATCTGCTGCGTGTTTGAGGTTGCCGCCTGAGTACGTTGGGGTCCAGTCACGATCTTGTTCCTGATGACATTTCTGAGACGCAAGATCCGTCCTCTTTTCAACGCAGTCCCATCAGCAAGCCGGTGGACTTTATCCTCCACGAGTGGTGAGAGGGCAGGAGTCCCAGGTGGTGGACCTTGATGTCCGTCTCCAGAATCTTGACAGGCTGTTGCGATCCAGCCCACCTGTGAGTTCCATGTAGACTGAGAGAAAGCAGCATCTGATATCTCTCCGCAATGGACCCCTTCGGCACGAGCCACGGAGACATTGGTGGTGCTGGTCAGTATTGGAGCTGAGATGACACTGCGAGCAACGGTCGATGTACTGGCAGTCTTGGGAAGCTGAGTTGAAATGCTGCGGGGATAAGGGGTTAGTTCTACCGGGCGTGCGAAGGGCAGCCATGACTTGGGACGCAGCCGATGGGCTCGTCGACGTATGCTGTTGAATCTTTGCGGTTCCCTAGGAGCCGTGGGTGTCTGCTGGATCTTCACTCTTCCTGGTGAGTTGGACTCGACAGATGCTTCCCCGCCATGGTTGACGGATCTTGGTTCAGGTGTGGGAGGTGGCTGATTGTTCGGGTCACATCGATGCGAGAGACTAGACTCAGCACCCGCCCGCAATTCGTCCTTGGACGGAATCCTTGAAGCTGAGCACGGGTTAGTCCTGGTATGGTACGCACTCGAGGTTTCCTTACCCTGTCGTGAGCCAGCACGACTAAAAGACCGTATTGTGTCCAAGGAGAAAATCGAAAATGATCCCTTGCTCCTGGAGCGGGTATGGGTGTTCGACACCATGCTTGTCAGGGTGCAGGCGTGTCATGAAAGGATCACGTTGGTACTCGACAACTGACTGACATGGTCACGGATTCCCCAGGAAGGAAAACAAAAGAGCTGACTGGTAGGGGAGAAACGCAGGTAGGAGTGGCATGATGAGAGTAGTATACAGGAGAGAGCAGTTCCTCCTTTGTTGCCAATCGAGGGCAGGATGGGTTGGAAGGCGGCAGCGACCACGGTCAGTAGCATCTGCTGAAGTACGGCAGGCGCAGGCTGCCAGCATTGAGAGGCGCAATGCCAGCGACATCATGAAAAGGCGTCGACGTCGAGATCACAACAGGTCGGGGAAGCAGCAACTTGTACCCGCCATGCTTGAGTAGCAAAACGCATGTCGAGGGTCGAGTCTTGTGTTTTTGCATCTGTCCCTCGAATACAGCTTCCAGGTCGGGCTCTTACACTTAGACTGCCACACATTCGTCAGATATGCTACACATCGCACAGACCACGTCGCGACGCTGGCAGGACTCGCCTATGGTTGTGATCTGCGGTTATCAACCTAGCTATAGGACATTGTCGCTAGATAGCTAAGACCGGAATACACCGCCTCTCACCCACTAAATGATGATAGTGATCATATACGAATCCGTCAGCAAGCGAGGAACTACTGTGGTCCAGTCCATACATACCGCGGCATATGACGGCCAAATCACGGCGTCAGCGAATTTGAAATGGGAGAAAAGTGTGGGTTCACCCAGCACGGTACGTGTACCCTTTCATTCTGCCGCCCCGCATCATCAAAGTGAGCTCGTGATTAATAACTGAAGGGTCTGCTATCCTACTCCATAACCCAAACAACCTATATATCCGGTCGAGCAGGCTGGAATCCTTGTGCTATCGGTGGACATTACCGCATCAACAAACCTCCTGTTCCTTCTGAAGATGCCCTACTCTCTCAAAGGCCGAAACGTGCTGGTGACTGGAGGGTCGAGGCAAGCATAGACAGTAAACCCCACAAGACATTGCTGACAGGTAGAGTAGGGGATTAGGAGCGCTGCTATGCGAGAAATTCGCCGCAGAAGGATCCAACGTTGTTGTTAACTACATGAGCAGCAAAGACAGGGCCGAACAAGTGGCCGACAAGTGTAAAGAATTGGGAGCCAAGACTGCTGTGATACAAGCCGTGAGGATACGCCACCTCTAAAGTTTAAGTCTATTATCGTCTGATCGCGCTCCGCAGGATGTTGGCGTCGTCGAAGACACCATCCGTCTCGTGAAGGAGAGCGTTGAACAACTAGGAGGCCTCGATATCATTATCAACAACGCAGGCTGGACCAGGTTCACCACCTTTGGAGATCTGAACGACTTGACTCATGACGAGTGGAACAAGGTACGATTGCAAGCCTTGAAAACCCAACTTGTTACTGATTTCGAAGTGCTGGTCAACCAACGTCATGTCCCACCTGGTGCTGATGCAGCAAGCTGTCCCCATCTTCAACGCGAACCCTGATGGAGGAGCTTTCATCATCTCGTCCTCAATTGCGGTAAGTGGACCGGGGTGCGTGCAACCCAGGCATATTGACGCGGTCTAGGGAGTCAGCCAAGGTGGAAGTAGCATGGGCTACTCAGTCACCAAGGCAGCAGGTCTGCATTTGATGAAATGCCTTGCCACTACGCAGGGTCCGAAGATCAGAGTCAATGCCGTACTGCCAGGTCTCCTTCTCACGGAGTGGGTATGTAACCCTCGAAGAGAAAGGGGGAGAGTTGAGAGAAGACCGTCTTCGATGTTGACAATATGGCAGGGCTTAAGGTACAGCGAAGAGCGCATCAACACCATCAAGAACAATGCAATTTTGAAACACGAGGTCCGTATTCCGCCAGACGAAGATGCATCCCGTGGACTGACGTTCTAGACTCTGCTGGATGACTGTGTCGATGCATACATCTCACTTGCGAAGAACACCTCAATGACCGGCCAGCAGATCATTGTCGGTAAGCCTCCGATTCTGTATAATACTCAGTCTGGCGTTTGTCGTGCGATGAGGATTTGGGTGCTGACAACTCCAGATGCTGGCATTGTCCTTCGATAGATCCGGGTCTTTTTGGGACCTACCGGGCACTGTTAACCTCGGGAGGCGTTGGCTGCGCAGTGAGTGGGTGCGAGAAGCGGTACAGTGTGAACTGTCCGAAGGATTCTGGCTTTGCGAAGAATTTAGCGCGTGCAGCAGCTGCAGCACCGGGAGCCCTCGCCATAGCAGCCACAGTGACCTCGGGAATGACAATCTGACGACTGTCTTCATCGTGACCTCTTTTTGTGTTGACGATCAATGGCTTGTCACTCTCATTGATGTTTTTATGTGAGCGAACGATTGCGTATGGAACTGCTTCAGGGATCGATAGCGCTGCGGCTTGAACTTCTTCAGGAATATCGCCTTCGTCAAGAGTTCTTATAGCCGTGTCGAGGTTGATTCGACGTGTCTGGCCCGGTCCGGAACTGGAGTCTGCAAAGGCATGAAGAGGTCCACATGCTCGGTTGCGCCTGAGTACCTCAACTGTGGTAAGTTGTGTAAAGTCGACGGCGCGGAACTCCATCTTGATCTTTGGAGCATGGGTCAAGTCCTCCTTTGAGATGTGTTGGCCAGGCTGAATGGGATTGTACGGTGGAATGTACAGTTTGTTCTTGATGGCGTCGACCAACATTTCTGCACTGATCCGAGCCAGGTAACCCTCAAGCTCTTTTGAGGTAATTGTATCTGGGTTGGGTATGCCTATGCCAGGCTGTGGGGTTTGATCCAGAACCAATCCCTCGTCGAACCGTGAAGGGTGAAGCGTCTGCAACGATACGCCCGTATCCCTCCGCCCAAGCAGAATAGACCATTCAACAGGTGCCGGACCGCGCAGGTCGGGGAGCATTGATGGGTGAATGTTGAGACCACCGTATTTGGCAGTGCCCAGAATTCGAGGCGGGATCAAGAGCCCGAACGAGACAGCAATGATCAGGTTGCATGGATCCTTCTTAGTGTCGCCGAAAGTGGGAGGCTGCCAGCCGGTAAATGTATCGATCTGGTGCACAGCCAGACCACGTTTCTCCGCGACATGCTTGATGGCCGGCCCACGAAGTTGCCTCCTTCCTCGACCCACCCTCTTGTCTGTTCTTGTGACCACATCGATTGAAATGATACCACTCCCAGGTGTCTTCGAGTGGTCGTGCAAGGCTTCTAAAGAGACTGTGCTGAAGGAGTCTGTGCCGCAAAACAGAATCCTCAGGGGGTCGTCGCTCACTGGCTCTTCGCTATAAAAACGGTGACTGGCGAACCTGGACTTGAAGATGAAACTGGACGTGCGAGACCGAATCTGCGAGCATGTCGCCACTGGGAAAAGGTACCGCCTCATGCGTTATGGGATAGAATACAGATCAGATATGTGTCCACGCGGTACTCGTAACGTTTTCAGGAAAATGCAGTGGCATGAACGCGACGAGGCTGTGAGTTGACCAATCACAGGCCAAGCTGAGAAATGCCCCACGTCCTAATAATCCCGACGACTTTCGTCATGCCTCGGCCTGCCGGATTGACGGCGATACGCTGTGACGGTGATGCTTCCCAGTTCAAATACGAGGGCCAATCTGCGGTCCTGCATATCGAAGTGATATTGGCACTGTTACCTCGATCGGCTAATCCCACATGACAATTCTCTGACGGACACGGCCGTCTGATACTGCGTCCCCCAACGATTCCAATTCGCAATCCAACCCGAGATTTGCGCAGAGGCTTATTGATCTTAGAGCCTTGTGCCGTTCGTGGGCGCGCAGGTGGAAGACATGGCTGAACGCCCTGACGCAAAGCAGTCCAGCACGGGCACTGAGTCGAAATCCGCCGCAGCAGAATCGCAACCACAGGACCTTCCCGGAGCAGCAGTTGAGGACGACGACTCAGATCCCGATTTCGACGACCTCGACGGTAAGATTACAGACTCAAGCCAGCCGCACCGGCGCCAATGAGAATCACATATTAATATGTTTGTGAACCAGACGTCCTCGACCAGTTTTCCGAAGCAAGGGCCACCCAACAGCAACAGCAGCAGCAGCAGCAGCTACAGCAGAGATCTGAGCCCTCAGAACCCACGCCTTCCTCCTCCGGTCCAGGTAGACCCGGCTCAGAAGCAGCTCTCCCACCAGACATACCATTGCCGTCCGGACCCCATGAAAACGAGTCTGAAGACGCCTTCATGGCGCGCCTCACCGCCGAGATGTCCTCCGTCATGTCGAAGATGAGTCTGGACCCCGCCGCCAGCGCAGCCACACCGGAAGATATCGCCAAGATGGGTCGCGAATTGGAGGAATTCACGCAAAAGATGGAAGCAGAGGGCATTCAGCCAGAGGACCTGCTTAAAGCTATCCTGGGCGAAGACGCTGGCTCCAAAGTTTCCGACCTGGCGCACGACGAACACGACCGTCGTGAGAGTGAGAGCAAGGGCGACAGCAAACCGGCGTTGAGATCTAAAGCATCCGAATCCACAAGCCCCGAGACTTCATCACGACCCGCAAAAGAAGACCGCCCCGCGAGTTCATCTCCCTCCTCTTCCTCCAAGACAGCACCGAAACAACCGTCAACCTCCTTCGAAGACACTATCCGCCGCACCATGGCCCGCATGTCGGAATCCTCCGCCGCAGCCACCAGCGCCACCACAACCGCGACGCAGCAGAAATCGGAGGAGGACCTCCTCGCCGATCTTCTCCGGTCCCTGGATTCCGATTCTGGGGATGCCTCCGAAGGGGATCTCTCAAAGATGTTCCTCTCCATGATGGAACAGTTGACCAACAAGGAGATGTTGTACGAGCCCATGAAGGAACTGGCGCAGAAGTTCCCTGACTACCTGGAAGCCAATGACCCGAAGGTGCCGAAACAAAAGTCAAAGAGCGGTGGGAGTAGCAAGGCATCGAAACTGTCGCCCGCCGACTTTGACAGGTTCACACGCCAGCACAAGATCGTGGGCGATATTGTCGCCAAGTTCGAAGAGCCGAGCTACTCGGACGAGGACCCCAAGTGCAGGGAATTCATCTGGGAGAAGATGCAGGAGATGCAGGCCGAGGGCGCTCCTCCCGAAGAACTGGTCGCGAATCCGTTTCCCGGCGTGGGAATGGGTGGATTGCTTGGCGGTGGCAGCGCAGGTGCCGGCGGAGAGGGCCCAGAGGAGGGTTGTCCTACGCAGTGAGGGCGCGAGGGCCTAAGCGGCGCGTTGATGTGTGTGGATGGGTGAATGTCTCGATCATGTCATCAATCGTGTCGAAGCTGGGAGTGGAGCGAAGTATACACCTACAGTGACTCAGTAACGGACTTGCCACGCTTGAGTGACGGAGACATCAGACGAGAGCCGTCTCCAATATGGCGGACGAGGAGCATATGACACCACGAGCGGACGGACGGGCGAGAAGCGTAAACAAGGCGGACGAGAAGCGTAAAACAAGGCAGATGAGAAGCGTATAACAAAGCAGATGGGAAGCGTAAAACAAGGCAAATGAGAACCGTACATCACGACAGGAAGACGACTTCGCAAGGTCAAGGTCGAGGTCAAGTATAACACGACATGGTTCAGTATAATTTGACGATGCCACCATACGAGTACAGTACTTCGTACTCACGAACCACATCAATCCATGCCATTCCATTCCATGCCATGTACTTCACCTTCGGTACCCGTAGTCCCAGCCAGATGACTAGCGGCAATGGACGTTCGTGAGCTTGCTTAATTTTAGAGATAATTAGTCCATGGCATGTCTAAGACCCCAGGTACCTGTATCTGGGAACTGTAGATATCACAACATAGCATGAACCCCTACTCCGTACATGACATGACAAGATGTAAACATGGCCAGCTAGCTTGTTAACGAAGCACGTATGGATCGTGATTTGCCATGACTATGAGATGAGACGAGACCCTGCTGGTGGTGCTGGTGCTGGTGCTTTCGACCGTGTATGCTGGGCAGGAAGATACCTACTGTACCTAGGTAAGGTAAGGTAAGAAGGTAAGACGTGGTACCTGGTACGAGGTACGAAGTACTTGGGCGGTGGTGGTTTCAATGTCAAGACACCAGACACCATGGTTTGCGTTCATATCAGATCAGACCAGACCGATCAGATCAGATCACATCACATCACATCACATCACATCACATCACATCACATTCGCTTCAATGAAAGGAAAAGGGAATATTGGCGGGAGGGCATGGATCCATGAATCATTAACCCATGTCTTTAGTACCGCACCGCACAGCATAGCACAGCACACACTGTACCTGTACTTGTACACTCCGCACGTCAGAGACTAAAGTCCGCACATATGACACGCCTTTGACACACGATGGACTGAGCGGTATGGAGAGGACCTAGGTACAGTACCTGGTACTGTAGCAGAGCAAGCATGGCTCTCCACCCGGTCTCCCCAGCACAGTGGCCATACACAGTATGGCATAGTATGCCTTCCAGCTCAATTGCACAGCCGTGTCCCTCTGCGCACAAAGACATGGACATTGACGTCAATAGAAGTGATGGATGCACCCGGCTCATTCACGAAATGTCCATGGCATCATCGCCACCACTACGCTGCTCCATGCCCTGCTGGGACGGATGCTGCTGTTCCTGAGCCGTGATATCCCGCAGTTGAGACACGCTTTGCTGGCCCAGAATCTCCATCTCTCGGAACAAGCGCTCGTACTCTTCATCGTCGGCATCGTCGACGGGGAACTCGAACTCGTCTTCGGGCATCATTTCGCCTTGTCGGTCAAACCCATGCTCGCGCTCGTACTCGTTATCGTACCCGTTCTCATATTCCCTTACCAGATCGTCGTATTCTTCCGTCGGACTCATCTCTTGGTCTCTGAACCGGGTGTCATCCTGCATGTCTGCGATATCTTCTGCTTCTTCCTCCTCAATCTCGACGCCCGCCTCAAAGGCAGCCCGTCGCGCCATCTGCTCTTCCCACCCTCTCCGCTCTCTCACAAAGTCCATACGAAGAACTTGGTCTCCAACCAGTTCACTTCGCTGGTCGTCTCTTCTCCGCCGTATGCGATCCAGGAACCTTGACTTGCGCTCCTCTCGATTCCTCGTCGTTTGAGTCGCGAGGCGGGTCGAGGGTGAGGATTCACGCGAGCGCAGTTCCCACTGCGACGCGCTCGAGGGCTGCGGGGCCGCGAATGAGAACGACGACCCAAACGGTGAGGAAAATGCAGCTGCAGGGACAGCGGCGCGGGTCGCCTGCGGATGAGGATCCGAATCAGGTGGTGATGTGACAAAACTCGACGACCCTCTTTCTCCCATCGAGAAGTTCAGCTTCCCCACTGGCGTTGCGTGCGTGGGATTATCAAATCCAGATTGTCCCAATGATCTACCATCCCCATCAGCCTCGTCGGTGATCCAATTCTCATCCACTCCATCCACTGCACACCTGGGCGGGCTCGAACTCAACAGAAGACCACCACCACCCGCGCTCTTCGCCTTCGACCCACTACTCCGCGTAGGACTCGACATTAAATTCGCATTCCGGGCGGTGCGCAGCGGCGAGCTCTCGAGCCGCAGAGGCGACGGGGCGTGCGGGGTGTAATATCCTCGATTGTAGGCTTTGGTGGAGCAATAGCTATTTCCACGCGCGCACGAGTCCGTCAAAGTCGAGCGAGGAGGGGCGTATTCTTTCGTGTGCGAGTTCGTACAAGTCGAGCGAGGGACGTATTGTCTTGTAGTGACTGGGGATGAGAACGGGTTCGGTAGTGCTTGAGGCTCTAACGCTGACGCTGGCGCTGGCGCTGGTGCTGGTGTTGGTGACGAGAGAAAGAACATCCTTCTCGGCTTGAATTCTGATCCGAAATGCGTGGATATGCAACTGGCTGCTGGTTGTTGCTTCCGGAGCTTTGTGCTTCTACAAGTACGGAGTACGTACTCTGTGCTGCAGCTTCGAGTGCTGTACTGTGTACTCCGTACGGTGTACTGAGTAATAGGTAACGGGCACTGTCTAAGGTAAGTAGAGTTCAAAACGGCTCTCGATGACGCGTGCGTGGTAAAAGCGCGACCGTGTTCTGGGGGACGGACGAGCTAGCCTAATCCGGGTTAAGTGGTCACGTGGTGCTCTCGACATAATCTCTGCATCCGGCGCTGACGTGGACCGGCCACACCGGCGTACTCCGTACAGGTGAACGCGTTACTGCCTAGAGCACTTTATGACGACGTTCGCATGTGGAAAGCAGGTATTTATGCAGATACTCCGTACGCAGTCTGGCTCTACAAACCTCGTGTCCCCGTGATGCACTCGGAAGCACGGAGTACATGAAAGGAAATGAAATTTGTCTCTCTACTACCTATGCCAATGCACTTGAGGCATCCAGCCCTTCAGCACCACTTCCCTTTTCATTTGGCTTATGTACAAATCGAACAAGATGGGACTTCTGATGATGGTGCTGACCTGCACAATTACGCGTCTGCTCTAACACCGTTCAAGATTCTCTTGAGATGCCCACTGCACCTCTTCTTCCGGGTAGCTCCGGGATTGGGATTCGCTGCAATGATTTGATTGATGATGCTCGGTTTCCGCTAATATCACAACACAAGATTTCTCATAAGGATCGTCAAGGCAGTGGCCAAGCATGCCTCAGAAGTTAGAGGCGGTGTTGACAGGGCCTGGCGAATGGTACTGATCCAATGTTGAACGGAAAGGCGTAGAGTCGGCCGTGGTACCACTGAGCTTGTCCTGGTTATTGTTGGGGTCGTAGAGATCGTCATCATGGAGATTCTTCTTCTTGCCCCAGATCCTCCACGCAGTGTAAGCCAGACCGGCGAGCAATAGAGCACCACCGACACCACCAACCACACCTCCAATGGTAGCCTTGGCTGTGTCGCTGAGTCCAGAGCTACCACCCTTGTCTCCGTTACTGGTCAGTGAAGCAGGATCGACGCTGGTCGTGAAGGGGATGACGCTGCTGCTTGTGCTCGTAAGATGGACGGTGCTGCCTGCGCTGACGCTTGTGATCGTGGTGACCACTTCGGAGACCGAGCTGCTCGTAATCAGGGTTCTTGATGGAGTGAGCGTGCTCGTGACTGTGGATGTTGAGTCATCGGAGGAGCTGATGCTTGCAGATGAACTCGTAGGAGTATGTGTAGATGTCGTCGTGATGATAGTGACGGATTGGGACGAGGTGGGCGGAACAGTAATGGTGGAGGAAGTAGTGATGGTGCTTTCGGATGTGGTATCGCTTGTTACGGTAACAGAAGTAGTTGTGTCGTCGTCGTCGTCATCGCCGTCGGTCGGCGTGGCAGTGCCTGAACCAGTGGCAGAGTCGGTGGACGAGCTCGAACCTCCTGTGGTCAACGACACGCTCTGACGCTTGAACAGTGCTATGGCATCGTCTAGTGGGTCGGCGGAAACGACTGATGCGCTCAGCATGCCGAATAGGAGAAGAGCGAGTGACCGCATTGTGAGGATGTTCTGAGGAAAGTGCCTCGAGTCGGAGGTCAATGATCGATCGACTACACCCTCAAGCGAGTGTCAACGGGAGAGTGTGTGTCTCTCTTTCGAGAAAAGGTTTGTTGTCTGATGGGAAGGGAAGCGCAAGTCGGAGCGAAACGAAGGGCCAATCTCGGCAACGGTCGAGAAAGTACGCACGTGTCGCGGATTTTGGTTATGTTGTTACGGCGTAGACGCCGGTGACGGTGGGGAGTGGGTGAAAAAAAGGGTTTTGATAAGACAAAGAAGGGAACAAAGCGAGAGATGAAAGGAAAACAGGATCCTCAGATTTCAACCGAAGAAGTGAGACTGAAAAGAGAAAGGTGGAAAGCCGTGAAGTGTGTCAGAAGGTTGCAAAGCAAGAGAAGTGCAGAGAATGACCAGAAAGTGCAAACGCCAATCTGCTGGGCGGGATGCAGCGGCAATAATATTGGCGCACTTCAGGTGCAAGGGACACGAAGACAGCCCGTGGCACAGTACAGTTTAGGCGTTGAACCAATCCCGAGCGCCCGTTTCAAGGGGACCTTTGGGCTTTGGGGACGGGCCAGTGCGGGCCCCATGCAGCCAAATCGCCAGTTTCTTCTCCAGACTCAGTTGTAAGACAGCACCAATTGACGACTTTATTGACGTTGATCAGCCGCTCTTTAACTCTGGCTTCTTTCTGTTCGGGCCGCGCGGTGAATGACTATCTATCCATGCTTCGAGAAGATCTTCCCCTTTGCCCGAGTCGCAGTTTTAGGTGCGGCAGCGTCTCCGCCTGACACTTAATGTACTCGTATCTGTTCCGCTCCGTGCATTAGCATATGCCTATGCATGAGATCGGAGGAATTCATTCATTGGATGCGTTGCAAGGGTGCACACAGTCCCGGTGTAATGCAACCTTAGCATCGTGTGAAAGACGCCTGCGAGTACGACCCCTCCCCGGCACGCGATCGCTGGTATTGGCGCTATTACAGGACGCAGTTCGCAAAGTCTTCTCGAAACGACATGCGTTACCGACGCCATTCTCGTCTATGCGTTGGGCCACATGCAACACCATCTGGTGGCGTTCGATGCGGGCGTATGGAGGACCCATGCCTGAAACCTGTGAGATCTCTCGGTGCATGCTTTCCGAGGACGATTACAAGTCAGACGTTGTCCGTACTTGTCCATTATTAAGAAAGGTCATCTGGTCGTGTTCGGTACGAGTGCTGGCTAACATCAGCATCGACCACGGATTACTCGGAATCGGGGATTTCTTGCAGATCCAGCGCTCTTCGCATCCGATACGGACGCGACCAATACGTATCTTGCCGTCTTACTCAGATCCATGCGAATGGCGTTCAAATTCCAATTGTTCGCGCTTGTCGCTTGTCCCATGTTGTGCTATTGATGATTCCAGCATAGGTGTCCTCCCTCCTCCGCACCACCAGCTCACTTGATCAAAAGGTCGTGGGACCCGCTTGCTACGTAGCCTGGATGAAAAATGACCGCGTGGTGTCGGTGGAGGAGACTTTTGTAAAAACAGGCACAATCTTCCTCCCTTCCAAAGGGAGAGTTCCTATCTCACAAATCGGAATTGCACATGCGCCTGGCTACTCGGGAGATCAAACAGACATCCCATTACATTGCATTGATGATACAGCATAATCATGCATGGCCCACGGCGGGTTTTTTGTCAGATCACAGCGTGCTCGGGCCTGGCCTCCTCCTCACCTTGGGCGCTGTAAATATGGAATTGAGCGAAGATAGTGACGTCCTCAACCATTGTGCCCAGACTGCCAATCAGCCAGGGCAAGTTCTTCAGGACGTACTGACGCTCGGTGGAATGGCAGAGAATACCCGCCCCGTACGTGAGATTCCCCATCAGAGACAGGATGAAGAAAAGGAGGGATAGGCCTGGCAACGTGTAAGCGGCTATGCAGTACAGCGGGACGAACGTGACAGGACTTACCTTCGCAACTTCGATCCCTCGCATTCTTGATGATCTGAGGGATTCTCGCACCCAGGTACGCCACGGCACTGAAATATCCCAGCACCAATGCGCCGGCAGGCATAGCTTCGCCCTCGGTCCCCGTGGACATGGGCGAAGGTTTCCAGGCCCCGGACTCATAGGCGAGCGCCCACCCAGCAGTCCCGATGACCCCAATGGCAATGACACTCATAGCATTCTTGAACCACAGCGTCGTGCCGGATGCGTCGCGCTCCTCAAGGATCTTGGCCAGGTGATCGTTCTGCGCAGCGAGGCTGCTCCTCCTCCGTCGCAGGCTGGCACTGCTCCGCCTGCGATCCATAGACCCGGGGATCGTCATACTGTTAGTCCTCGAGCGCTTGAGCAGCGGTTGCTCTTCGTGGCTGTCCTCCTCGGACTGGCGGACCTGTGCGTGCCCGTCTCCTTGCGCCGCAGAACTCGAACTCCCGACTAGGGACTCCCGGCGCAGCAATGCCTTGCCTTCCCTCCTCTTGTTTCTCAGCCCATAATACAAGCATTGCCCAATCAGCACCCCATCGGCAATGCAGAAGTAGACCCCGATCGCAACGACGACGGGCACCAGCCCCGCCCACAGCGCGCCCGCAAGGTTCGCGATATCGCCCAGGAACCACACGAAAATAAAGGCCAGCGAGATGGCTTCGGCGCTGGAGTTTCGGTAGTTCTCGATCAGCTGGGGCACGAGGAGGAAGATCCAGCACGCGAGCGAGATGGAGCCGAATATGCCGGAGAGGGCTTCGCGCGTGGTGAGGGGGATGTCATAGGTGCTGGGAGCGATGAGGGCAGTAACAAGGGTGGCCATCATGCGGCGCTTGGTGGTGCAACGAGAGATCTTTTGTTCAGCACATAATTTTCGGAGGAAGAGTAGAGAAGCAGCCGCGTGTGCAGAGGCTGAGAGGCTAGGTGAGAGGGGGGAGCTTGCAAAGTTGAAATCGAGCTGGAGCTTGAGGGTCTGGTTTTGCTGAACGGGGCACGAGCACGAGCACAAGACTCGATCGGGTCGTGATCTTCGGGGCGGCGCCAGGCTCAACCCCACACCTGGAACAATTTTTCGGTGCGCCTAGACTTCCCCCAGAAAATAATGCAGCTTGGGCAAGACACTGGATGTCCTCCGTACTCCGTACAGAACAAAGATAAGAGTACTCTGCACAGTAGCTGCAATAAATGGGAAGGACATCTGTATCGCGACAGCACGCTCAATAAACCCCATACTATCATGATGTACACAACGTCTCCGTCTTGTTCAACCCACTACCTCCGCCTTCACAGCTTTGCCGGCCTTCAGTGTGAAGCGCACCACGGTGCCTTTACGCGTGGCTCTGTCCTCTCCCATCGTCGTTAATTGTGGAGGTGAGGTGGCGCGCGTTCTTTTGGATCCAGCGGTAATCAGTTTCCGTGGTTGACTAGTTGACGTTGCTGCCATCCAGGCTGGACATGGCTGTACGAGTGGCGGGCCGCTCATTGTGATCCCGAAAGGTGCAAGTGATTTCTTGCCGTTGCAACTGCTTGTTCCTGGTGGTCCTCGTTAGTGCTGTGGCGGAACGGTGTGTACGCGCCGAGCAACGTACTTGTTATCCGCCTAGCGAACCCCATCTCGACCAAGTGGTGTGCCTGTCGCTCTGTTTGGGTTGGAAGACTGATGGAAACCGGGCTTGCTTGAATGCTCTCTCTGGTCCAGCTACCCTGACCCTTGCGATCGTTATACTTCTCCGGCGTTGAAACGGATGGAACTCCGGGATGCGAATTCAACGTGTGCTTGGATGGTTACATTTATGCTTTCCACGTCTCCCCTGGATGTCGAGGTTTGAGAGTGATAGAACCTTGTTCATGTCTTTCCCAAGGATCCAACAGGTGGACTGTTTGTCTCTCAGCAAAGACACGTTGTTTGGCTAGGTATATCTCGCGGGCCTGGCGCCGTTGAGATGGACAATGGTTGTGGGATATTCTGTTCCTGTTTGTCCCATTGATGGTGTGAATGCTCTTTGTTTGACGGTCTCCTTTCCATGATTTGTTCCAGAATGGCAAACACCAAGTGAAAACATGGTCTTAGCGACTCAAACGAGCTCTTGCAGATGTTGGTGTTTGTAACAGACCATGATGGGCATTGTCTGATGGATGATCCAGGATCGTGAAAACTTGTCTCTCGGCGCGCTGTGAGCTTGACACAGTCTCGTCACGTCACTGTGAACATGGGCTCACCCGACGACACAAAACTTCCCACCAACTCATTTCCATCTGCTTTGCGCTTTGTCCAGTTATCCAATTCAACAAGGGCCCATGATCAGGGAGCACGACCAACAGCAAAGGCTGGCGGTCAGATATTCGCCATGTTGGAGACCGTCGCGCCCAGCGTGGAAACAATTGACGCATTTTACTGCCCCAGCTAAACGTTCAAGGGTTTGAGTCAGCTTGATGGTTATCGAAGCTTCAAGTGGCGATAGGACACAAGGAGCTCCGCCCTTGGGGAGGTTGCCTTTTGCCCCCAACCTTGAATTTCCGACAGTGACAGAGGCGTGCGTCGGTCAGAATCGGTGATCAACCGAGCCCGCTCCGCATCATGATGGGCAGCACCTTGGCCTGCAGACTCTTGTAGATGTCCAGGATACCGACCATCCCTGCCCACTTTTTGGAAAGCGTATTCAGCAAAATCAAGCATGTGCCCGATATCTCATGGATACCATTGAAGTCCACCGGGCCTTCCGCCTCACCACTGAGCTCGCGGGAGAAGCTCACCACCGGCAGGCGCCCATCAATCGCCAGCAAGCAATGTGCCATGATGGTGATAGTGGCTTGATGAATATAGTGGGCCGAGATTATGGTGATTGGATACATGCCCCAAACGGTTCCCTCGGCGCCGCGGAAGATTTTGTTGTAGAAGTCAACCACTTTGACAGCTGAATGGTAGCTTTCTCGAGGGATGACCTCGGTGATTTCCGGGCCAAGCATGGGTTCCCTGGTGGCCGCCAGTGCTCGCAACAACAGAGGCTGAAATAGGAAGCAGATTGATGTGTCGAATCCCATATCGCAAGTCATGCTGCCCATGCCCACATTGCTCTCAAGGAACTGGAGTTCTCGCCGCCACGCCAACATTGACTCAACACTCTGCTCATACCACATCCGAGGTAGACTAGGAGCCAGCGCCGGCAGGTATAGTTCTCGGAAGATTTCCGAGCGGAGATAAGTCAGTCTGTAATAGTGGGATGTGAGGATACTCTGGAGTTTCTCTGGGTCTGCCATGCTAGCCTCGTTAATGGCGGCGGGATACTCTGCGGTGATGATCTCTTCAGTCAAGTCCGAGGGTCGACCAAGGTGTTGACCCATGGTTCGCTCGATGCAGTACAGGCCCCAGAAAATGCCGCGGCGTTTCCTCCGACTCTTCTCGTCTTCGTACTCGTCGTTGGGTTCGGTATGATAGTTGAGCTCCACGCTCAGTCGACAGGCAAAATCCAGCAATTTCCAGAGATCGCCTTTGCGGGGTTGGAAGAGAGTGAAGAGTATCAAGAGCAGCAGTGCCTGGAGGGCATCACAAGACACGTCGGACGTGACCTCCTCTACGCATTGCAGCCCTTCGGTGTAATAGGCCATCGACTCGGTATCGTAAACAGAATGATGCCGTGCCTTGTTCGCCGAAGCGATGGCACAGATCATGGCAACCCGGAAGAACTGGTGTGCCTCCTTTCCGGTGAGATATTTGACATTCGAGCCATGATGGCGGAGGTAGGTATCGATCTCGTAGGTCATGTCTTCCGAGTCGAAAAAGCTCATCATGACGTTCGTGGTGGACATGTACAGACCGATGAGCATCTGTATCTCGGCTCGAGATGGAGTGGCGCGCGGCTGCAGAGGCTCGGCGACTTCGGTGCTCTGCGCATTGAGCCAGAACTCGGGACCGGCATAGTCGGGATGATGGACCATGGGGCCCAGCTTCGCCTGGGCGTGCACGAGGACCTCAACCACCAAGGCGTATGGTGAGCTGCTGCCGAGAAACTGCCAACACGTCGGATTTGCATGTTCGATGATGAAGTGCTTGTCAAACGATAGGTCGCTTGTGTATGTCCCCCAGTCGTTGGGCGGAGGGTCGAGGTTGGCGGATGAGATTGAAGTGTTCCTCTCATGATGAGGCGGCTGGAAGGGAGTCAAGGGCACCACGTCCCCGTTCACTGAGGCCTGGACAGCTCGTAGCCGGCTGAGACGCGTCAAGAGCGAGTGCACATAGCTTTCTCCCGGTCAGTCCAGTCGCCGCGACACAGTGCATCCCACTCACCTTCGCGGGAGGGTCTGTTGCAAGGCATGGTCGAAAAAGGTACATTCAGCTTTGCCCTTGAGACACAGGCGGCAGGCAGGCAGGTTCGTGTCACACTTCCTCCTCAGGCGGCGGCACCTTTGACAGGTGGGCAGCAGGCGCGTCAGATCTGCTTCGGAGATGGTCGTGTGGTCGAAGTCCATCGTGTGCGATCCCGACAGACCAAGTCCGTTTTACGGGGGATCCAAGGCGTGTATAGACAAGGACATGTGCGCTTCCGTGACGCAGCCTTGCAGCCAAAGCTTGGAAGACGAGTATCTCAAGTCCCAGATCTCTTTTCCAACTTCACTCGTAGCATCACCGTGGCCTCGAGAGGAGAATGCAGGTGGAAATGAATAGCCGAGGGCGAGGAAGAGGAGGAGGAGGAGGAGTGGCGCCCGCTGCCCGCTGCCCACTGCCCGCTGCCCGCGCCCTTCTGTACGAAGGACGAAGAGGGATAGGCGAGCAGGTGGCGGGGTTGCAGCGATAAGGCCAAAGCGAATTGCAGACTGCGAAATTAATTAATTGCTCCAACAAAGATCCAGCACGTCGATACCGCACCGGCCGTCTCATCTCTCTTTCTTATTCCGGCAGCTGGGAGCACGCAATACAACCGTAGCCGTCGGCTGCTGATTGCCGCTGTATCTTCATCCTCACTTGGTTCCTGCGCTCCTTCACACTGGAGGACCGAGTCTGATTGTTTGATGTGATGCCATGACGGGCTGATCAACCGCCATTATGAGCGAGTGCCGCCGTTCCGTGCTGTCCTGTGCCCGCTGTCGCAGACGCAAAATCAAGTGCGACCGCGCAATCCCCTGCGGCCAATGCATCGCCGCAAAGTCGGAGTGCACGGGGTTCAGCTCGAAGGACCAGGATCCCAACATCCCGCGGAGCATCGTCCAGCATCTCGAGGCCGAGATCGCCAAGGTGGAAGGAGAACTCGCGCGCAATGGCCACCTGGAAGAGCTCAACGCCTCGGACATTCTCGCTGGGATGCCCACGAACGACGGCGTGCCCATCGATGATGCGGCTCTACCGATAATTGACCTGCCCGCCACCAAGCCCGACACGCCCAAGCTGAGCCTCAACACCGACATCCTCGCAACCTCAACCGCCCCGCGAGACACCATCCGCGACGAGGTCATGACCTGCGGCGAACTACAGGCCATGATATTTGCCATCCTGCCCACGGGCCCCGGAATCACCGACCTCATCTCACGGGTCCGAATGAGCCTGACACCGTCTACAGCCATCGCATCAGGGTCACCGAGAGAAGCACGCCGGAGATCGATCTCGCGCGCCAACCACGAGGTCAGCTGCGCCATGCTCAAATCGATCCCGACAGCGATTCTGCGGAGTCTCATCAAGAAATACATGACGCGAGTGTACCCTATCTACCCGGTCCTGCACGCCCCGTCCCTCTGGCAGCAGCTCGATAAAGTCGTCAGAACCCTACAGGAACTGCCAGAAAAGCACCGCTCTGTGGCCCCCTCGTTCGATTTCCTCATTGTCTACCTCATGCTCTCCATCTCCGCCACGCTGGGCAGCGCCCGGACGGGCCACGAAGCGAAACACATGGTCTTCTCCGGCTCGCTCTTCGAAGAAGGCCTCCAGCACTTATCCGACAAGGCCAAAATCCCCTCTGATCTAGCAGGCATACAAGTCACGCTGTTGGTCCTACAATACGCATCGATCAATCCTCGCCTCGCAAACGTGTGGATGTTGACTGGTGCGGCAATGCGCGCGTGCCTCGAACTCGGCCTGCACCGCGAACCCCCAGAGGCGCTACAATTCGACCAATTGACGCTTGACCTCCGTCGCCGCCTCTTCTGGTGTGCATACAACTTTGACCGTGCCATCTGCTCAGCTTTGCAACGCCCGCTTTCCATTCCCGATCAGAGCATCGACGCGCACTTCCCCTCTGTCCTGGACGATCGACACATCCATCCCAACGGCATCGACGCCACGGGCGCAGAAACAAAGACCCACAATCTCCGCTGGATCCAGTTTCGTCGACTCCAGTCCGCCATGACCGAGGTGCACTTCCAAGGCAAGCCGTTGGAACACGGGCAAAGTTGGGAGGATTGGCTCGTCAGCATGGAGCGCCGCCTGCAGGCGTGGTACGAAGACTACAATGACGGGCATGAACTCACTGAATTCACGCTCGCCCATGGACTGACGAACCTGCATCGGCCGAGTCCCAGAGTGCCGCTTCCCGGACCCCGGAGCCTCATGGTGGCGTTCGAAGCGGCCTGCTCGAGCGCCAAGTCCCTTCGAGATCACATCCTCACAGGCTTTTACCGACGGAGCTGGTTGATCGCGCACCACGTACTCGAGAATAGCATGGTTGTGTTGTTCTGTCTGAGACACGGCTTTGACACCATCTCGGCCAGATTCAACGCCCAGCAGATCTTCGAAATGACCAAGGTCTTCACGGCGAATTTTCTGGCCCTGGCCGCCCAGGGCTGGAACGAAGTCTCGAACTATGCAGGCGTGTACGAGCGGCTCCTTGGCCCGCTGCTTGAATCCGTCTTCTCGAATCGACCGCCTTCTCTATCGTCGTTTGGTCCGGCGCAAGACGCCGAACTCACGCGCATGCTCTACCCCGGCCCGGCGCAGCTCGATAAACTGCGCTTCGGCAGCCGCTCCGGCTATGAAGGAGATGGTCTCCCCACGTTTGATGTCGGAACCTTGAACTGGGAGGAATTCAGCGTCAGCGACACAAGGAGCGCGAGTGCTGAAGGATTTGTCGCAGGGTGGGACTTGTTCGACCCTAATGCCGTCAGCAGCGGTGCCCACGACCTAGTTTTCGGGATGGCTTGACCTCCTGCATATGGGGAGTATGACTCAAATAGAGGGGGCGAGGGAGAGGGAGAAAGGGCACGATGAAAAAGCGCACATGTGGGATGTCTACCGAAGATAAATGTGCATTGACCCTCGTCAAAGACCACAGACAAGGGGGACCGCGCGCGTGAAAATTGAGCCCCGGCGGTGGTCCGATGTCCGTCGGGACTCCGGCTCCAACCAAACCAGACGCACAACATACGAAAGGAACAGGGGGAAAGGTCCACACGTTGTCGCGGATCTCCCGTTACCAGTACCGATGCGACTACCAAGAAGGTACACAGCACGCAGTACGTACATACTGTGTGCGCCGAGGCCCTATGCACAGCACCTGACTGGACCTCGCTTCGCCGCGTGGGTGCCTCGCCTCATGCATATTGTATCAGATCAGCTTAGCCATGATCAGCTTAGCTTTGCTCAGCTCATCTCAGATCCACGACCCACTCAGGATCTGCCCACTCCCTCTTGCTCTTCATCGCGTCCTCGCCTGGTTCCAGTTCACCCATGCAAGCAGGCAAGCAGGCAAGCAGGCAAGCAGGCAAGCAGGCAAGCAGGCAAGCAGGCAAGCAGGCAAGCAGGCAAGCAGGCAGTCAACCAGGCGCTTCATTTCAAGGAACCAGGACTCGAGAGCCGCCACTGCACCGCACCCACGTCAAAACACGAGGCGAAGAAATGCGAGCGAAGCTAAGCTCAAATTATCCGTATGTTGCAGGGACTCTAGGTCGCGTGTCGACCGTGATGCGACGTACTCGTATGTGTTGTCCTCCTCCGTGCCGTTGAACGGGTTCGATGCAGATACTGTTTCGCAGTGGGTGCACGTGGTTGCACGTGGATCTGCGTATCATCCATCTACTGTCCTGTAGCGGAAAGAGCCGCGTAAGAGCCAGAGCGAGAAACCGTGGGATGAGTGCGATGGCACAGAGAGGCTGGAGGGCGGGCGGATAAGGGACAACACCAACGGGCGCCTGCATATAACTAACTATAGCACACTGCCACTAAGCCGCCAACCCAAATATCGGCATCGGCATCGGCATCGACATGATTGACGGACGGATGTGTGTTTATTATTGGGTCACAGGACAGGAATTGGATTAGGAACAGGATCAGCCCTCAGGACCACGCCATGTACATGCATGACCAGAATCAGGACCACACCATGTACATGCATGACCAGAATCAGGACCAGGATCAGGATCGGTATCACGCCATGTACGGAGTACATGCAGGACTTTGGCGAATACACAGAGTACATACTCGTTTAATTGATTGGTTTACTATTCTCTGCATGTTTGTGAATGGAGCGAGGAAAGTCTGGAGGAATGAGGCGGGATCATGCATGGGCATTGTTTGTATTTTTCTTGTCTTATAATGTGCCGCCAATGCGCCACGCTTCTCGGTCGTCGCTGTCTGCTACGAGGTACTCCGTATCGCATTCAGGAAGCCCGTGAGAGGACTAGCCATGCATAGTCAATAGGTATCTACAGTAAATCATTCTTCCTTGCTGGTCTGTACGGAGGGAAGACTGCTTTGAGTCTCTGCACCAACATGTCCGGAACACATTCCCCCACACCCTCACTGACGTTCACGCGCACATCCGCGTGCTCGCTTCCATCCTTCCCTTGCTTCACGGACTCTGTGGTTTTCTCATGGGTCTGCCTTTCCGCGCTCGAGGTGGCCACCCTCAGCAAAGCCTGCCAGTCTTGCACCTGATAGAGCTTGACGTTCTCGTCGCTGTCGCTGTCGCTGGCGCCGTGATGTGCCGCTGTCTTGCCAAAGATCTTTCTCCGCTGCCTCCACACCGATCCGTCGGGGTTATCCGCTAATCCAGGGACGGGACTTTTCAACCCGATGGACCTTATTGCTCCTTTATCGGCGTGGAGGTCGACCTCGTGGTTGTCGAGCATGCCGCTCCTAAAGTCGAACTTGGGGGTCTGCTCGAATATCCAGCTTGGCGATACAAGTTCTTGCACACCCTGTGCGAGCCAGGGGTTCTGCTCTTCCAGGTCCTCGAACGAGGCCGGTGCGGAGAGTATGATCTCATTGATGCCGGGTTCGCGGAGCTGGCCGGTTCCATACATGGTCCAGAATTGCTGTACGATGGCCTCGGTGATGTCCTTTCGGATATTGTTCCGCATATGCCGGCTCGCCGTGTAAGCGAGGTTTCCAACTTTGCTGCGCACGCTTTCGACGCCATGCGCCGTGATAAAGTCGCGACCGGGGCTTCTCAGCAGGTCGGAAATACGGTGGATGTACGGGCTGGAGTAGAGCAGTGTGCCGTGATGCAGGGCCCGACCTCTGGTCAGCTTGTACGCGCTGCCGCTGACTTTCAACCATTCGGCCTCGTTTGGTCGCTGCATGACAATGTCATTGCGCTCGTTGACCCGGACTTTGGGGAAGTCGCTTCTTTGGCTTTCGGACGAGAGCCACTTGTGCGCAGGGGTGTTCAGGGTCCGCAGCGCTTGCACCACCATCTCAGCATGTTTGCGTCGAGTGAAGGACCTCGTGTTTGGAACAATGATCGAGTAGTTGAGGTTGCCAGCATCGTGGAAGACGGTGCCACCTCCACTGCGACGGCGCACGAGGTCGACCGGTACGGTGCCTGCCGGACGATCCCTCAGGTGTCTACCCGGTGTCCATCGTTGTTCCCCAGCAGGCGCTCTTCCCCGCGCCTCCGACACCTCCTGCTCGTCAGGGTCAAGGCCTTCCTGTACTCTCTTCAAATCCGTCTCGAGCCAAGGGTTCTGGTTGCGACCGATAACTACACACGGTCGATTGGTGTAGAACAACAGAATGTGGGATTCTGGAGAGGATTTGGTGAGCAGGTAGTGCTCTATTGAGAGGTTGAGGTACGGATCATCCGAGGGCAAATGGAAAACAAGAGGCCCAGACGCTTTCGAGACGCGCCATAGCTCTTCAAGGTTCCATGAGGCAGAGGACGCTGGCTGCGCACGATCATGTACTGCTCGACGCTGGGCGAGCGAGACAAGAGGGAGTGAGAAGGTTGCTTGACTACATGTCCTCCATTTTGCGAGAGTCGAGAGCAGCCGCGGGGCTACTCGCATTGAACCGGACAAAGCAGTCTTCGTGGACGAAGCTCTCGTGAGACTGAACATGGCTCTCGAGATGGCACAAAACAAGCAGCTTGACTCGACACGCCAAGCATTGCAGTATCCTAAAGTAGAAGGTAGAGCGCGGCTAAGACGAGTACGAGTACGAAGTACGAAGTACGCTTTCACTTGTTGGTCGTCGTACTCGTACTGCGTACAACACCACCAATTCCCATGCGTCACTCAAAACCTTCACACCGCAGTGCTGGTGGACAGACTCGAATCCTTCAACTTCATGCATACAGGGATCGACCCCTTCCTCCTGTACCTTCGCATTGTACTAGTCTACATTGGGAAATTGGTGCCGACCAACCACGAGCTGCGTTCAACATGCAGCTCGTCAACTAACACCGGAGCTAATGCAAGTGCACAAACGCCTTCTGGTTGATTATCGGAACTTCCTTTGACAATGCAGCACAAACCAAAGCGCACAGATTCTCACGGCTTTTCTACCTGCTGTATGGTTGTGACAGCCTGAGCAGCTTCCTCGTCAATCGTCCGCTCTCCGTTTCCCTGCAGCGACCGATACCGAGCCGGCGCCTGACCCGCTAATGTCCTCCTCGGGTTCGCCGAGGAGAAGATTCGTGTCCAGCAACGGCTCTCGCCAGCTGCAACCGGAGGATGTGTAGAGCCCTTGCCTGACATCCATCACCCGATGCGCGCGCCCCGACTCGATCTCTTGATGGAGCTTTTCTGAAAACAGGAATTGCCGGACCACCTTCTTCGTGTCCTCCCACTCCGGTACACCCATGCTCTCCGCGTGGACTCGGTACTTGCTCGCGAACCAGTCTTGTTCAGCTGCGCTGACAGGGTGGACCTTTTCGGCGAGTGAACCCACATACAGTGCCCACAGCCGAAGTCGCCGATGTTCAGCAGCAGCGCCCTCAGAGTCACTTTCGACCAGCTTTTGGCGTAAGTCCGCGAGCAATTTGAGCCCGAAGCGCACGGGTTCCGGTGTCCCAAGCACCATCGCCGCCATCAACCCCGTGGCGGCACAAGTGTAAGCCTGCGTCAGTGGTCGCAGAAACAGATGGGGGTATATCGCCAAGTTGCAATCGTGATCCGCCAATCGTGAAATGCAATCGAACTTGCGTAGCTGTTGCCATCGAAGGAGTTGATCGTCGCCGGGCACGTCATGGGCTTGAGTATACTCGTGCGCTTTAAAGAGCTCTCGCAAGTCAGTCACAACTGCTTTCATGACGGCATGTTCGATCAGCGGGTCAACGCTCGCCGCATGGTCTCCGAAGATCCCTGCCGACAGCAGCCGTGCCTTCCATGGTTGACTCAGTGGCCCTGGAGTCCACTCGGAAGCCGGAAACAGCGGGCGTGTATCGTATTTCAATGCGAAATAGCAGTCGCATGACAGAAGGTCTTCGCGGAACCAGGCGTCCATGAGAATGACGCCTCCGGCCGCGTTGACGAGGTTGCGGAGCATTTTGAGATGCATCCGCGCAACAGAGGTATTGTCCACAAGAGTTTCCGATGAGAAGAGCTTCAAGACGGCCTTGAGCGTGATCAGGTCTTGGGGACCGGGTCGTGCCACTCGCTGCCTCAATTCGGTCATGGCTTGTCCTTGGAAGTATCGCGAATGGTAAGTAAGGGTGTCATCCTCGGTCAGTGCTCCCATGGCGGCTGTCAGAAGACTCAGATAGGCGTTAGCATAGCAGGTGTCCTGATTGATCAGAACCGCATCATCCCAACTCCTGGCAATCTCGTAGGAATTCTGACTCTTTTCGGATTCCTTCGGCCAGGACTGAGGAATGAAGACCTCGTAAGCAAAACTGATAAGGCTGTTGACGAGCGGAGTCATGGAAAAAGCAGATGAGTCGAACGAGTTTGCGGTGGGATCCAGCGCCCGATTGATCGAGTTGAGAATGGCTGTTGGGTCATCTTCCATGATACTTGATTGTGTGGAAGGGGTCGAAATAGCTGATGTCTGTACTCCGCTGCCCCCAGCCGCCTGAGCGGAGCCGATGCCAGGGTAGCCAAGCTGGAGCGGCTGCTCGACCATCCATGGATCAAACCCAAAAGGAGTCGCCGGTGGTACTGTTGGCGGCTGGGACTCGCTGGTCAACCGAGCTCTCTTGTTAGGATTGTCAATGGAAACTCGACGTACCGACTGTCCTCGTGGCCGAGATGGTTGTGGCTGCTGTCGCGGAGTAGGGATCCGGGGAGGCTGCTGTGAAGGAGGCGACAGAGGCCCCACGGGCACGTTGGCCGAAGCGCGCAGCTGCTTCGCCTGCTCCTGCTTCTTCCACCTCTCGTAGCGGTTCATGACATGCCACGATACGGCAGCATTGTGGTCTTTCGAGTCGATATTGCCAGCGTCCTTATTGACAAAGGAGAATTCACCCTTGAAGGGCGCCGGCTGATTCGACGAACGCTTGTCCTTCGACATGGACTGCTGGTAACGGTGGTAGGCAATGTCGTCCACCACAGAATGCTGATACACGAGAGTAATACTTGCAGCCATCTTGCCGGAAATGGTGTCGGGAAACTGTTTTGAATGATGCAGCCCATGGTGAAAGGTCGGGAAGACCGAAAGGACGTTCTATAATGATTTCCAAATCCTTACCTGAGCAGTTCGATTGCAATGGAAGCTATCGCACACCCAGAGCCCAAGGGCCTAGACGCGAGGCGCAGAGGTATGGACGTTCCCCTAGAACTAAACCGTATTTTGAAGGGCACCTTTGTAATTCCATTGGATGACGGCCGGGAATGGGAATAGTGTCAATGCATGAACTGGCTTGAGAGACAGTTCAATGCCTCCCAGTCGGGAGAGCCGCTGTTCGGACACCAGTCGAGTGCCGGGCTTTGATTCCCAGGCAGATAAGCGCACACACGTTGATTCATGACCCTGCTTGCACAGCTCCAAGGCCGGTGATCGAACAGTGACATAAGCATTGCTTGCTCCATGGTGTCTCTCGACCATGGGAATTGAAATCCAGACCGAGACACCGTGGTCGGGTGCGGAAAACACGAGCGCATATGCGGCGGATACGAGCTTGCAAGGACTGGCAACCGGCCAAGTGGCTTGGTGGGTGCTTGGAAAGGAGCTGATGCTTAGGTCAGAAAATCGTCATTCCATCGATAATCGCTCGAAGAGAGAACGCCAGCAGGCCTAGTGGGTGCCTAGATAGGCATAGACTTGATTGAGTAAACCATCTGATGGTGAGCATGGCTCAGGTTTAGCTAAGCCAGAGCCAGCGGTTTGCTGGCATCATCAGGAGGGCCGGTGACTGACTAACGTATCCAGTCCTTCCAGAAATCCGATTGCTTCCCGATCCGGCGTCCGCTCAAATTCCTCGCCGAGTCGCTTCGCCTGAGAGGACTTAGTCATTGCAACCTGCCAGCAACTCTGATAAACGGTCACAATTACCGACTCGTGGCTTCTGCCCGGGCTTGTGTCCTGCCAATTGTGGCCTGTACGCTTCTTGCCAAATCAGCTGTCTAGATAAAGCCACCCCGCGGCAGGGAGCAATTTGTCCCTTTGTGCTGGCCGAAGATGCGACTTCGAAGAGGTCGTGCAGCTCGGCTACCGGTTGAGGATAGTGCCTCCCTCTTTGGGCCCCGCGATGACAAAACGACAGCTTCGTCCAACTGGCCCCTATTTGGAGTGGCTACAATTGTCTCTTTTCCGTCCTAGGGAATCAGGGTGTACTCTGGCCTGTGTCGGCTATGCGGGCTGTTGAGCAACAAGTGTGGAAGTGCAACTCTTCTGGTCACACGCAAAAAAATGGTGCGGACTGACAGCCGGAGCACGAAGCAAGGGGTAAATCCTCTGGGCGGCCAATGCCACCACCTAGCATGTCCCAAGAAGATGGCCTCGACTGACGGCGAGGCCGCAATGCTCCAGTAGTCTAGGTGCTGGCGGCGTGCGTGGCACCTAACTCCGCCGGTGATCGCATGTTATCGGGCGATAAGTCCAGGGAGCCGAGTTGCAAAGATGATCGTCGGAAGGGGAAGTCGATTGGAAAGTTCTTCTCCGAACGAGGCAACCGCATTGCCAGGGCATAGAAGATAGCCACGAGGCTGTATGTGGGATAGAGCTACATGATTCGATTGTTGGCCAGATCGGTGTCTGAGTGTTTGAAAGCTCACAAACCTGGGGATGTGGAGATATCAGATCTCAGCGCAGTGGGAAATGGTGGGTCTATATAGCCCAGCTGGATATCGAACCAAGGGTCTGAGATCCGGCCAGCCTCGGAATGGAAAACCTACAGAATAAGCAAGAGAACTTGTAGACCGCTAGGAACTATTGTCGGGGTGACCAAACTGGACCAAACTGGGCCGCGCATGGCTGAATTTGTCAGATGCTCCCAGGGTAGCATGTCAAAGCTGAGTTGAGCAATCGTGGCGACGACTTGCCCGGGCCAGCCGCCGAAGAGGTAGAGATGATGAAGCTCCTGGCCAGCACCCATGAGGGAATTTTCGACACGAGTTTCCTGCTGGCTTGTTCATGGTCCCCAGCATTAGGGTCGGCCGGTTGGTTTCGATCTGAGGAGATGTGTTGTGCGTCATTTAGCGGGCGGTGTACTCTGTTTGCGCTTTGACAATCGGCCTCGCTGGGCGGTAAGTTCATGGTGGCAACGACATCACGCAGCTTCTTCAAGCTTACCAATCGTTGATATGGTAGTTGTTGATGCTCTCGCGGAGGGGACAACCAATATGCTATGGCTAGCGTAGGAAGCGTGCAACACGGGACGGTTTCCTGCAGGCGAAGATGCTCAATGGGTTGCTCGTTCGATTTGGGATCAGCACAGCCGGAGTACATGTGACCGCATCACGGTATGTGCCTTTCGCCGGTCGTCTTCTGAGGGTACCCTCGGCCAGAGTATTGCCGTACTACCACTGGAGTAAACGATTCACAATCCGCTTGGTAAATGCAATTCTCGTAGAGATATACATCCTGTTCATAGTAGCAAGCTTTAGGGCAGTTTCCCACAAAGGTCCTAAGCGTAAGATTCCAGAAGCAGGGATATTGCACCGAGACCAACAAACCTGTATGCGCGACCTTAACAGAACGCAAGCCGAAAAGACTGTGCGACAAGGGTCAGGAGTGTCAAGGTATAGCCCTTAGTGCCGAATGTCGTGTGTTTTCTCCATTGAATCGACACGAAGACCTTCTTATGCTCATGTGATGCGCGTGGTCAAAGGGCCGCTCTGCTCACATAGCCCGTATCTGCCAGCGCTGTCAATCCGTATGTCACACTTCATCAGACTTCGCATGGCTGGGGCGATAAGAAGATTGGCGACAACGACATTGATGCTGCTGGCGCGCAACAAGCGACCGACCGGCAATCTTTCCAGACACTCCATATCTGCTTCTAGACGCTGACCTCTCAAGGTTGAGGCACAGCAGGTGCTGAATCATGACGCGAACCTACCCGGTTCGGCCTGTATCACGGACACCTTGGACGAACGTGGGTTGGGGTGGGCAAACCCCTGACACGTGCACGTGTGGTGGTAGAGCTGGGCGGCCGGTCGGCGACGGCAAGATTGGTTTTCGTGAAACACGCAAGGCTAACTCAAAAGAGCTGTTGAAGGAATGTCGTGCAGCAAACCCGTGACTCGTAAGACGGCTGCCATCTCCGCGGTGGCTGCGGCAGGCTTTTGGCCGGGGTTGTCGATCTCGATTCTCGAGACTGGAGTATGCTATAATTGGTTGCTGTCCCTTGCTCCTCACATGCCCAGACGATCTCAGTGTCGTCGATTGCTCTCGCACAAATACGAGTAGGGGGATACTTTTGAAGCAAATCGCCACAGACACGACCAGCCGTCCTCGTCGTCGGTGGCATCCATCGCACCCAGTGGCTAGCTAACTTTGTGGCTGTCACGACTGACCAGAGAGCAGCGTAAATCTGAAGACGAAAACATTGGTGAGATGGAATCTCTTTATGCACTCAGTTCCTGCTCTTCTAAGGGACGTTCGAACGTGCTTGACTCGCTCCATTTTCCGGGATCCGTGGTTGAAGACGCTGCTTCTTACACCAGGAGATCTGCGGGTACTGGGACAGTTGGAGCCCGGCAGGGTCGTGGAAATCCGAAATTGCGTCAATCAATGTGCTTGGGGGCTCCAGACCAGGCAAGGGACACGGGAGGTGTGATAGTTCAGATCACACCGACCATCACGCCATAGACCAAATTCAACTCTTTGCCCAACCTCCGTCTTCGGTCGGATACTCGACATCACTAAGTGATCCCGGTCTGTGCAGCTGTTCGCCATTTCTCATTTTCGACTGAAGGTTGGCATTTTGCACAAGGTCAGCGGCATGTTCGCGTTTGGGTTGAAGCGAGCGGCCCTCTCGTGGAAAGTGGATCTTACGGCGTGGTCGTGTGATAAATTTGTCACAGCGTCATGGAGGCGACGGCTGACCGGCCAAGGTGGAGGGGCGCTGTCACTGGAACTAGCACACGCTGTGTGACCATAATGATGCCGCGAACGGCATCGTTGACAGGTCCATGAACCTTGCTGTGTGTGGTGCTCAGGAGACGGTAAACTTTGACGTGCAGGACCCAATTTACACGCACAGCGCATTTCTTGTTACGAGGTACTACGAGTAGTGAGGCTTGGAAAAGAGTTGGGTGAGAGCTGGGTGAGAGTCGGGTGAGGGCCAGGCAAGCCGGCTAGTTCCGGAATGGGCGCGCTAAGATATGCGCAGGGCCGCTGATCTCAAACAATCGCGGCGGCGATCGCATGCGCAAATTTTCATTGTCGGGCTTCGAAGCATGTGAAGATTTCTGATGGTGGCACCAGGTTCAGTGGCTTGCGGTTTGCTCCTTTCAACACAACCTCTCAACTGCCACTGGCTACGCTCATTTTCTAGCACGTTTCTTCTACGGTCGCTGCATCAACACATTCTCACAGTGCGCCTCATCGCGTCCACTGACGTAGTCAGAGCGGCACGCTCGAAGTTTCGACGGATGGTTCAACTGTAGTCAGAGCGGGCTGGGGCGGCAGGATTCGTTGGCTTTTGGGCCTTCTCCTAGCTTCCGTGCTTGTATCTAGGCGCGGCGTTTCATTCGCTTTAAACCCTAGTCCCCAACCGGTTTCAGCATGGCACGCGTGGGCCCGTTAAGCCCTGGCATGAACTTCTGCATCTTCTCCACAGTTTGTTGGCGCTCATCACCTTCGTGACTGAGAAACGGCGTGCACGCAACTCCAGACAAGTCATTCACGTTGCGAAACCTGGGGCCGAGCATGGAGTAATCAGTAATGCCGGGAGTAACCACAGAAGCGTCTGCTTTCAGTGTGTCCGTCCGAGAATGACCAGTGGTGCCAGGGCCAATGGCGATGAAAAGCACCCAAGCTGTCAACGGCTGCTTCCGTTCAGCTGAACAGCCACGGCGACATGCAGATCTCAACCTCGCCCTCTTCGGCAATCCAATTGAGCGACAAGCAGGTCGGGGCTGCGTCGAGGCTGCCCATCCTTGTTGTCGCTCGTATTGCTGTGAGGCCTGGAATCACTGTGG